GTGAAACTCATGAAAAATGGACAGAGAAATAATTGGACTAAAACCTGAAATTCTGGCAATGACTTCAGTGTACATTCGGAAGCTGATTAAAATTAAAATCCAAATATATCCACTAGGATCTTTCATTAAAGCCTTGCTGGAAAGAGCCAAAGGATTTAGGTTAGTGCAGAACATTGTTAGGAATACCTAATAATGTCCAGGATATAGTCTACTGGCAATCACTCTACGCTGGAGAGAGAGAAAAGACAACAAAAGTATTCCGAACTTATGCATTTTTTGAAGCCCAAAGGAGAATCTACCTGCAGGGTAGAATGAGGATAACTGAATTTCACATAGCCATTCATATGTGAACCCCAGTACCATGTAAATTAACTTTTTTTAAAAAGCGGACTTCTGTTTAGATGTTTTCTTATTTTGTTTATTATGATCTAGTGATACCCTACATGTATCACTTAATGGGCTTCAGCCCATAACATGGAATTTTAATTTAATCATGTAGGCTTACATTAATTCCTCAATATATCTGGTCTCTCTTCCCCTTCCTCTACTATTTTATTTCCTCCACTGTCATCTGCTTGGGGCAGAGATCTGTCATGTTTGATTACAGTGCTGTGTAAAACACCATGCACAAAGATTGTGGAATTCCCTCCTGGGTGAGATCCAGTGAGAACCCTTTTTTGCTCATCTTGATATGCATACAAAATACTTTTAAGAAAAAATCCAGTTCGCTTTTAATGCATGTTCCTCAGTTTTTATACTGGTAACTGCTGGCACTCTTAGTTTTATGCTTCTGGGCATTATTGGGGTTTTTTTGCTGCCATTTTATTCTTATTCGTGATGTGTGTTTTCCCCAATATTATTTATTCAAAAGCATTTCTACACCACATAATCTTTTTCTTAAAACACTCTCTCTCTCTCTCTCTCTCTCTCTAATAACAATATTTGTTATTCTTCATCGCAGGGGTATTTGTGGAGGGGACATATTAATTGAAAATGCCTAGTAAATCAAATTGGTTCCTACTGAGGGTATTTGGCGAGCCAACATGAAAGTGATGAGGAATTCAGGGTTGGAGTGATCACTCGGTGATATTATGGCGGTGGACAAAGCTGTATTGTAACTTTAAAATAAATGTGTTATATAAGAATCTGAATAACAGAAATAATAAAAATCCCCAGAATTCCCCATGAAGAACCATCTGAGGAAACTCTGAGCAACGTGAGGAGCACACTCAACAAACTACAGCTCCCAGAATCCTTTGAGGGGCGTCAAGACAGTTTTTTAAAAAATATCATAGTGCTTTAAAATGTAGAGGGTGAATTAAATAATTTAGGTGGCCCTAATCATTATTGCTATTTGAATTATTGGCATTAGGAATTGTATTATAATTTGGTGTTGTTATAATGAGGCTATTATTGGATGGTCATTGAAAATGAATAAAAATTATTATTCTAAAATGTAGAGGCTGCGTTTTTAAAAAGTACCTGTTCGCTTTATTTTGCACGGCAGACGCGTATGGTTGCACACATGCATACATTTGTGGTGGGTCAGGCGTCGCATCCCAAATAGCCGTGTGGACGATGGTTGGGCATCTCAACATTTTGACAAGGCCTTTCCACTTCAGCCCAGGGAATATCTGCTTCAAATAACGTGGCAGGGTCCCTGTCCGACCCCCACTGTAGGTTGCCTCTTCAAATGAAGGAAATTATCCAGGTTTTCCTGCCCTGAGGCCCTGTGGGAGTTCTTGTTCGGTGCGCCCGGCGCGCCCTGCCCTCTGGGAACCCTTGGTTGCTCAGAGTTGCGTTATCTGGGAAATGCATATCACTTTGCTTCCTCATCCTCGCTCCCCGCTATTGTTTGTCCTCTCTTTTGTTTTGTTTGCTCGTACAAGGTTGAAAGGGGAGGGGGGGAATACAAATCTACAGATAAACTATATTACAGTCGGGAGACGGGCCTTGCAGGAAGGGCGCTACCTTTGACCTCTGCAATATCGGATGCTTCTTTGTTGCCGAGGAAGGAATGTCACCCTGTAACCCTGCAACATTCAAGGGTGACAAAGGAGTGTTGCTCAGGGAGCCGGTGAAGTGGCGCAGGCATCTCGCCGGAGGTTGCCTAGCAACTGTCGAAAAAAGGGAAGGTTTACTCCGAGTCAAGTTGAGAGGATATTGGCAGCATCTTCCTTCTGGGATGGTGTCCCTGAGGGGCACCACACAAACACATAAAACGCGTATTCTAATCTTAGTATTGTCGTTCCACCGTGTGTTTTAAATAACACAGGTGAGGGGCTTTTCTCCAACCACCACAAGACTCATAATATAACAGGATCTTTTCCAATAGAGGGTATGTGTGTGTGTGTTCACTCCCACCATCAAATTCAGCAGCCAAATTGCATTTTTCTGGGGATGTGGGCAAGCCCAGACTCGCTGTCATCATTTTGACTTGCTCTTTTGTTGGAATCCATAAATGTCTTGGAAACAATGTGCAAATGGAACGCATGAAACCTGCCATACCACTCAGGGCCGGCCTATCCATGAGGCAAGGCAAGACAACCGCCTCAGGTGGCAGAATCCATAGGGGCAGCGGATCCTGATGTAAATCTTTATTTCCTCCTTGTTCCCGATGTAGTTTTTCACTCCCTGCCTTCTCCCCGGGTGCAGAGGAGGGCACCATTTTGTGGTTCGCCTCAGGTGACATATATAACCGTCGCCGATCAACCAGACTCCAGTGAGAAGAGCCAGGATGGCATCCATGCCTTTTTTACCTGCTTTTATTCCCCCGCCCCTCTTTATGGCACAACTGCTGGCTGAATGGAAAGGGCCAGTGTGAGCTGGCTGAGGTTGATGGGAGCTGAAGTCCAGAAACATCTGGAGGGCTGCAGGTTCCCCATCCCTGGTTTAAACCAAAGTGACTTATCTCAGAAACAAACAAACAAACAAAAACAGTGTAGCACTGAGGTGAAAAAATTGAACCACGACAAAAATAGGCAGAGTACTATGGAAAACAAAGCACAATTTAAATTATAAATTCAGAGGGAGTGCATAACACAAAAGAGAAGCAGAAGCAAACCTACAAGCAAGCAAAAGCTTCAAATGTGGTATACGCTATACTGTTAAAGCACATTCAAATTCCCTCAAAGAATTCTGGGTATTGTAGTTTACCTCTTGCAGACTTATAATTCCCAGCAGCCCCAACAAACTACAGTGCCCAGAATTCTCTGAAGGGAAAGGATCTGCTTTAAAGGTCTTGTGTGTAGGCCCAAAAGCCTTCCTGGAGGACCAGGACTGAACTTGGCCTTCATGCTGAAACCTGAAGGACTTCCCTGAGGAGGCCATTTCATGAAGTTGGTGCCATCACAGGTGTGAGAGGCCCACTTCTAGTAGCCACCCACCAAACATCAGCTGGCAGGGTGCCGCAGAGTGCACCTAAGGGTGCGCCTGTAGGGAAGATGTTCTTCAGTGGCCTTTAAATCACCACCTTGAATTTAATGTAAAAGAAAATGAAGAAAATAACAGCCTATTGATATTGAAGTAGGCACCTTTGCTCTGCTGTTCTAAGTGTCTGCCCGAAACATTTTTGCTTATGCAAGCCTATGCAGATAGGGAAGGTCGACATACAATTTAATGGGTTGTTTTGTTTTTTTAAACAAATTGTGTATATTTACCTGCCAACCTAGCAGTTCGAAAGCATGTCAAAGAGCAAGTAGATAAATAGGGACAGCTCTGGCGAAAAGGTAAACGGCGTTTCCGTGCACTGCTCTGGTTCGCCAGAAGCGGCTTAGTCATGGTGGCCACATGACCTGGAAGCTGTACGCTGGCTCCCTCGGCCAATAAAGCGAGATGAGCGCCGCAACCCCAGAGCCGATCACGACTGGACCTAATGGTCAGGGGTCCCTTTACCTTATGTATATTTTAACTACTTTTTTTTTTTAGGTCAACATGTTCTTAACTTCTGACTTTTATGTACAGTTTTAATGTGCACCGCTTAGATGTTTCATCCGGTTAAGCGGTTTACAAAGGTTAAAAATGCATTCTGCAGATGGCTCAAGACAGGGGTGGAATAAAACCCCTTCCCTACCCTGCTAAAGGTTTGTGTGCGGAAAATGCAATACTCGAGGAGTTAAAAGCAGAAGTGCCACTTCAGACTTACAATGCTGGGCCTGTTGTCCCCCCCAAAAAACTGCGTTTCACATCTGGCTCCAAGGCACTTGAGCTGTAGCAATTATGGCTTTGTTGACTCCGTAATTGGCCTAATAAATTACACTTTATAATTAGGGATTTTGTGTGTGTGTGTGTGTGTGTGTGTGTGTGTGTGTAAAGGATAAGTAGTCCAAGAGTAGCAGGCAGGAAGATGGTGAAGGGATGGGGGTTGTAAAACAGTCAAAGACAATCGATGATCATGAATAGCACCAAGATCACGCTGTAGAGATGGTTTCGCTCCTCTTAAAAGGGGCTGCTGCTGTTGCTGCTTGCTGGAGGATGGGGAGGCCCAGCTAAGGAAAACAGAGTTGGAGAGAAAAGCAGTGTTGGAATACAGCTGGGGTCATGACACTTGACCTTTCCATTCCTTTTCCTCTTTGAAACCTGATTATCTCTATTTTTAGGCACATGGGTGGAGGAGGAGCGGGGAAGCAAGGGCAGCTGACCCTGGCACGCTAGGCTCTCTCAAATTTTCTAGCCCACTGTAACCCCATTGTTAATGAGGTACACAAGCCGGCGCTCCTTGAAACAAGCTCCAGCTGCATCAGAAACGGTAGACTTGATTCAGAGGCACAGGTTAGCTCCTTGGGAGTCTCTTTATATCCTTCCCATAATCTCTCAATTTATTTAAATAAGAGGGAAGGTGGCGTGTAGAGATAGAATAACCATGTCCCATGAATAGTTGCACCCAATATTTATATAGCAGTTTCAGGGTGTGCTTCAGCTTGCCTGACCTCACATCCCTTTTAGGCCACTGCCACTACTAATTTGCACATGAGAAATTAAAGACACAGCAAGGGTATATTGATATTATAATATTTATTGGCCTTGATTTTGACTGGTTTGTGCAAGAAAGGTGCAGGCGTGTCCTCTAGATGTCTTCTAAATAGTGCTTGCATTTTGTTATTGCACATAAGAATGCAAAGCAACCATAGCTCTTAGATTATCTTCCAGCCAGGCAGATTTACAGGGCCATCTTCGTAATAATAATAATAATAGTAATTTTTATTTATACCCCGCCCTCCCCAGCCAAGGTCGGGCTCAGGGCGGCTAACAAGCAATAATAAAAACAAGTTGAATGAATACAATTTAAAAACAAGATTAAAATACAACATTAAAATATTGAAACATTAAAATATTAAAATGCAGCCTCATCACAGGAGGAGAAAGAAAAAAGAAAGAGGGGGAGGGAATCAAATTGGCTCCAAGCCAAAGGCCAGGTGGAACAACTCTGTCTTACAGGCCCTGTGGAAAGAAATCAGATCCTGCAGGGCCCTGGTCTCATGAGGCAGAGTGTTCCACCAGGCTGGAGCCAGTGTTGAAAAGGCCCTGGCTCTGGTTGAAGCTAATCTAACTTCCTTAGGGCCCGGGACCACTAGGGTGTTGCTATTTATGGACCTTGAGGCTCTCCGTGGGGCATACCGGGAGAGGCGGTCCTGTAGGTACGAGGGTCCTAGGCCATGAAGGGCTTTAAAGATCAAAACCAGCACCTTAAGTCTGACCCTGTACTCCACCGGGAGCCAGTGCAGCTGGAAAAGCACTGGGTGAATATGCTCCCGTGGCAGAGACCCCGTGAGGAGCCTCGCTGCAGCATTCTGCACCTGCTGGAGTTTCTGGGACAGCTTCAAGGGCAGCCCCGCGTAGAGCGAATTACAGTAGTCAAGCCTGGAGGTGACCGTCACATGGATCACAACTCTATTCAGACCATAGGTAGCCAGTGTGTGAGTATTCAGATATTATTTGACTCCTCCCATCGTTGCTGAACATTGGCCACGCTGGCTGGGGTTGATAGGAGTTGGAGTCCAACAATACATGGAGAGAACCAAACAGACTGCCCATGCCCATAAGGTAAAAATATTCATTTGAGTTGTTGCTGTGCAAATGTGATTCTTCTTCTCTCTTTCTCCCACCTCTATTTGCTTTCCTGATTATTACCATCACTATGTGGAATGCAACTGGCCACAGGCACCATTAGGTGCCATGGGTGTGCTCAGTTGGTAGAGCAGAAGACTCTTAACCTCAGGGTTGTGGGTTCGAGTCCCACATTGGACAAAAGATTCCTGCACTGTAGGGGGTTGGACTAGATGACCCTCGGGGGTCTTTTCCAACTCTGTGATTCTATGGTTCTTTGCGAGACTAGACATATCCACATAATCACAGAGCTAGAGTGCAAATGAAGAACTTTCACTATGTGGCTGCTGTAAAAATATTTCTGCTACTGGTAAAGGCTGTTAAGACTTCCAAACATTTTCTACCAGGATATTAGGTATTAACCACCCATGGCTAATAACTCATGGGGAGAATGTATTTCCCCAACTTGTAAGACTCCTCTGCAGCCATCAAACTCTATAAGGAACAGCTCATCTCTTCTGGTCTTTAACAGACCAAGAGCACAAAATATACAATGATATAACACAAATGCTTCAGTGTTTAGAACATATACAAGCTTAATTTTGGGGTGTTTTGATGCACACATTCCCCTTATGCCGCAGGTGACCCAAGAAATACTGTACCCGTATCAGGCAATTAAAAACTGGCCCAAAGACCCGAAGATAGTATTAAGACTCCCTGACCCATCCGCAGTAGAAGACAGGAGTGTGACAGGAGCATAGTTATGCTTGCAGATGAACACACTTTATTTAAAGAAAACTAGAGTTATGGGCAACTGCATCTATTGGCTGCTTAGCAACAAGCTACTGGGAATGCCCATCAATTCTCAGTTTATAATAACCTGAGACAGATCTAGTTTTTGTTTTCCCTTGAGGGTGTCTCCCCTACTCAGCTCTATAATAAATGCTGCATAGCTATGCATCCAGCACATCAGGAAATAATGCCATGGAACATTTTGCATTCTGCTCGCTGAGAATTGCCTAGCCAGCAGGGTGTCTGCAAGCATTATTAATCACGTAATTAATCTCATAGTGTAGCTCTAAGGGTGTTATTTTTTTTATTAAAAAAATACACTAAAAGTGCCATTTGAGAACTGGAATGTATGTATGAGCAACCTGCACTCTTTAGGACCGTACCAATCATTCTCCCCTTGACTAACTTGTAGAATGGGTCATTATCGAACCTGCGATACTCCTAATACTTAGGAAGAAGGACTATAGCTCAAATGTAGAGTATTTGCTTTGCAGAGAGATGGCAGGTTCTAGCTGCTGGGATAGCTCAGTCAGTAGAGGATGAGACTCTTAATCTCAGAGTCATGAGTTTGAGCCTCACGTTGGGCAAAAGGTTCCTGCATTGCAGAGGGTTGGACTAGATGATACTTGTGGTCCCTTTCCAACTCTACAATTGTATGATTTCATCCCCAGCATCTCCAGGTAGGTGTCCTCTGTCAAACCTTGGAGAGTCACAGCTGGTCCACATAGACAATATTGAGCTTAGATGAACCAGTGGCTGGCTCGCTAGAAGGTATCTTCCTGTATTTTAAGCCTTTTAACCCTAAGTAGCATAACAACCCAGAGCTTTTGGCTACAATATTTACATCAAAGATTGGCCAGTATACCTCCTGTGACACAAGACAGTACAAATGCTATAACAATCCCAATTGTAATTATATTCTTTTCGAGAACACTTTTCAGTACAGAAAGATTGTTCCAGACGACAGCACTGGTAGCTCAGCTATTTCCTAAGGACACTGAACCCCAATACTTGATTGTTCTTCAATATTCCATGGTGGAACAGTAAAGAACTTTGCTCTTCTTACCTTGGGGTTGAGAGCATAGAACAGAATATAGGTAACAGTGGAGAAACTTTTGTTTTTAGCTGGACTCCATGCTTTTGCTCCTAACTCTGATTTTCAGGATTCTTTTGGAAAGTCTGCCCCCTACTGGCAAGGCTTGGAACTACTTTGCAAATATAATGTTCACACTATTCTCTTCTTATATTAGGAATAGGATAGCTACAAGTTTTGTTATTCCATATGGACAACAACAGGAAGGCTCAGTTATATATGAACATGTAAGGCAGGGCATATTGCGACCTACCAAATGTAACGTAGATCAATGGCTTTATATTGCAGTCTTGCTAAGAGCTTGACACTCACACCCCTTTTATTTTTCCAGTCCCAGCCATGAGGCAAACATAGGGTATGTACTGAACGGCTGACAGGACGCCATCTCTGGCTATTTATTTATTTAATTTGTACATTGCCCTTCATCTGAAGGTCACAAATACAAAATGAAAACACAAAATGTGTAACAAACAAAAAACCCTCAATGATCCCGTTCTTCCAAACACATTCAAAAAGCCACAGACTGTTTAATCAGTCAAAGACCTAGGAGGAGAGAAATGTTGATAAGGCTCATTGGACTAAGTGGGTAACACTGCACAGGCCTTTTATCAACCCCTTTCATCAAAACAATTAAACCGTAAATAACATTAGTCATGCAAGTTTAAGACTGTTTTATTTCTGAAGAACAACACTGACATCTCATCAGGAGTAGTTTAAAAATACTGACACAGGACAACAGGACTTTCAGACTAATGACATCCAGCAGCACTCAAATATGTACCCAGAAGCTTAGGGATCATTATTTGGGAATATGAATGCCATCAGCTTCCAAGGAAACCAAAGGTGTTCCACTACTCGCACTAACCAAAGTGTTAACACCTCTTCCTTTCCCTGTTGAGAGATTTCATTGAGTTAGTCATACATTATAAACACGTAAAAACGAAAGTATTTTTTTTGGGAAAAATTTAAAGAGAGAGAAAAAAAACAGTGCTGCATTTTACCCCAATGAGATGAAACCAAGTACTTGGTAGACAATCTCATGGCAAACTAGTTTTCTCAATACTCTTCCTCACACTAATACTCTCATTTGGTAGTTTGCATACATCTTTTGCGTCTGAAGACGGCAAGACACGTCTTTTAAGGTGCTTATTTCAGGGATCTGACTTTTCAAACATTAGGGATTTCATGCAGAGTAGGTTTCCCCACTCTGCATAAATAAACTTCCTGCTTTTGACACAGGGGTATCCTGTGGAGCTTAGGGGCCCCCGTGTCTTATGGGTAGATTCCCCACAGTACCTAGTAGTGTGCACAGGCTGTTTCTGTGTGGACATGTACTATGCTTTGGCTGGAATAAGCTGTAAGTGCACCTGGAGAGAATCACACACCAGTCTCATGGCTGAAAAGAGGACAGTTTACAAATCAATGTGCAACACAGTAAGTTATTTTGTAAATTTCATCTAAAAAAAAAAGTTGAAAGTGCAATGCTAATGGGTAAAGGTTTTCCATAGACACTTATAAAATTTTGTCAAAACAAGCTGTACTGTACTTCTGCAAAATAAATACTCTGCCGTATGCTTTATGTACAAATACTCAACTAGAATATTGGCAACATCTGAAAAATATCCATTCTTCAGTTTTTATAGTCCCAACAGTGAGGGAGGGGGGAATCTGTGCTTCAATGCCAACTTCAATTCTCTAAGTACAATTTCTTATATATTAAAATCCATACTGTTCATCTATATTGGAGGATGTACTAACAGATTTTGAATATATAAAAACCCACATGCCTTTGTCGTCTTTAGATTTCATCCAAGTTTTGTACATCTTGTCCCTCAACAGATCCTTTCAGTGATCACCCTGAAGCAGACATATCCCGGACTTCACATAGGAACCACTCAGCCTTTTGTGAGACTGCATAAACTGACTTAGTAGTTTGTTGCTTTAGCAGCAGCTGAAAACCAAGGAAGCATCTTGGATTACTTGTAGAATACTGGCATAAAAAACGAGCATCTCAATAATTTAGTCTAAGTAGTTCCGATTGTTCATTTGCTTCTTAGCAAAATACTGGACTGGTCAAGTTTACTCAGCTGGTGGCTTCAGTGTTTCCAGTTCCAAGGAATACAGAGGTCTCCATCCTGCATCACAGAATAGAAATGAGAAATGCAGAGATGCATGCCTTGCAAGTTGGGAAGTGACTCCCCCTCCAGCAGTCTATTGCAAGAATGGATCATCTGTACGCAGGAAACGCTGGGCTCTTTGTACAGCCTTTGGAGACGAAATTTCTCAGCTGAAGCCTTGATCAGTTTCTTCTCTAACACCATTGACCTGAAATAATAAACATAAACCCCCATTCCAAAGTTATAAATGTGAAGGGGAGAAAATACAGAATTGGTTCTTGTGTTTCAGCTTTTGGAAATATCCGTTCCGCTACAAGAGACCCATATTTTACCCCCCACAAGTGCTTCCCAAACTGCAAATAATCAGTTTAATGGATGGCTAATCTTGTACCCAGCTGTGGGGGAGATAGGAATAAAGGAGTATTCCATGGGTTTTGTCTCAGTTATCATACCCATTTCCATATTCCTAGCTAGGGCCAGGAAAGGGAAGCAACTGAACTAGTTAGCGACTGGCTGGCACTAAGGCCAGGTGAAAACTAGGTCCTCAACCCTCCCTCACACTCCCCCCTCACCATGGTGTGTGGTTGTATGTATATTTGTGCTAACACATCCAGATGAGAACCTAGAGCACAGCGTTTAATAGCAGGGCAAACAAGGCAAGAGGTTTTTCACAACTTCCTGAAGCAACACACTCTTATAATCAGTGGAGGGCGCTAGTAGTTTTGTAAGTTGAACTACACTTTTTACACATTTTTAAGTGTTGGTTCCTCCCCATCAATCTCCTTGGAAACCTCCCAAGATGTCAAGCACAAAACGGAGCAGTAGCACTGAGCTTTAAGAAGCACTTACTCTTCCTTTCTTTTCAGTTTCTCTCGTGCTTGTTGTGCTTTAGTGATCATAAACCACTGGAGTGCTGCTGGGTCACAGGTTGTTGGGATGATGAAGTGCCCTAGTTCATGCAGATATGGTGCATACCTGTCACTGTAATAAAACAGAGAAAGTACATTAAGGATAGTGCAAAACAGCTGATGGTCCTTTTTGTATGGAAGGTTTTTGCTTAAAGTAATATTCACAATATAGAAACTTAACAAGTCCTTATTTATTGGATCACCCATATGCACATGCTTATTTGTACTCTTAAATAATGCTAAAACTTTACCATCAGCCATGCTGATTCTGCTTCTTTGAGATGCTTCATAATTCTCTATTTAATGATACTTTTCATCAGTGTTCCTGGAACATATATAAAGTCTAACTGGTCTGTAATTTGCTGGAACTCTTAAAAAATATGGAGCTGCCAAGGAGGAGGAAGTTCCTGCCTCCAAAGAATGCTCTGCAGCTGTTGCTGCCACAGCAGACAATATTCCTTCAAGCAATGGCTTTCAACCAGTGTGCCGTGGCACCCTGGGGTGCCTTGAATGATGGTTAGGGGTGCCCTGGGCAGCACTAGCCTCTCTGCCTCTTTCCTTCCCTCTCTCCTCTGATCCCCTCTCCTGTCTCTGCTTCCCAAAGGCTTAGACAAAGCAGCGGCTGAGGGAACACTCCACAAGGGAGCGTGCTCAACAAAGGGTGAGAGGCTGCCAGCTTGGCAGGAAAGGGGACGACATAACTGGGCTCCTGAGCCCCCCAGGTTGCCACAAATGGAATGTAGTTTGTTAAGGGAGCCATGGACTCAAAAAGGTTCAAAACCTCTGCCTTAGAGGCCAGATCTGCTGCCCTTGTATATCCTTCTGCCCAAGGCAGTTGCCTCGCATTGCCACATGAGTGGGCCAGCCCTCATTACTGTAATGCACAATGCTTTGCAGACAGTTCAGAAATTGCAGCTAGTGCAAAATTCAGTGCCAGATTGCCTGCCAGGGCAAGATGGTTTAACATGTAACAACTCTGGCACAACTGCACTAGCTGCCAGTTAGTTTCTAGGCTCCGTTCAAAGTCCTGGTTTTAACCTATAAAGTCTTGTGTGGCTCAGGTCTTCAATTAACTCAAGGACCGCTTCTCCGCACATGAACCAACCCAAGCCAGCACTTGTCATCTGAGACCCTTCTCAGGCTGCCCTCTGAGGAGTGTGTGGAAGGTAGTAACACAAGAATGGACTTTTTTAATTGATGGCTCCCCACTTGTGGAGTTCTCTCCCCAGGGAGGCATGCTTGGCACCATCACCATCTGTTTTAGGCACCAGGCAACGAGATTTTTATTTACTCAAGCCTTTTGCCCTTAGTTGAGAGGGTAACTAGCTATATCTGTGGCCTCTTTGTTGGGCTCATCCTTTTAAGTGGGGTGGGTAGGATTTGTTTCTTGTATAATAAAATCATACCTACATGGATGAGCACATTAGGTCTTGTTTTACTACTTGGTTTTAACATTTTGCCAGTTTCTATTTTTATTACGCAAGTCCCTTTGAGACACTTTGGTACAACAAGCAGCAGGTTAATATATATCATCATCATCGTCTTCATCTTCGTAAATGCACACCTTTCTAGAATCATTTGCAACCCACGCAGGCTGTGAGGGTGAAATGGGAGCCTGCTGTTACGCACTCGATTGTAAAAGCTGTCCAGGACAGAGTAATACTCTTCAAGCATCAGCATCGGTTGAAGCTCTTCAATGTATCCTACTTGTATGCCTCCCAAAATATGGCTTATGCGGTCCTCCAAAAGCAGCACTTTTTTCTGAAGTGCAGAGTAGCTTGGCAATCTCTCAAAAATCTGCACAAATTAAAAGGTTTATTTAAGTGGGTGACATGATCAAACACAACCAACTCCCACCCAACTGTCCAAATGTACGTTTTAGAAACTCTTTATCAGCAGAGAGTTACTGTTAATGGAAAATGATAAGCTCCCGGGCTTGAGACTTGAACTTTCTACCTAATGAAATCAAGTTGGAAATATCTGTGAGGGGTTTTAGGCACCAATATAAGGATTTTGTAATTTCAGCAGATCTTATGAAAATGATTTAACGTTTTTACAACCTTGTCAGGTGACTCATCCTGTATTTCCATTTTGATGTATTTCGGTTTGTTCTCACCTGTTGATGCCGTTTCAGTTTTTACAAATTTTCATTTGATAAAACAGTAAAATCACAATAATCTACGGTAAATAAAATACAGCTGATAACCGAGGGACACCATTTATTCACTTCAGATTTAAACCCCAGAAAAGGTTTAAGTGCACGGCTATTTTTTAAACAAAAGCATTAAATTGTAAATAGGAACTCTGGTTAGTATCAGCTATAGTCAAAGTGGCTCTGACACAACCTCATAAATAAGCTCACACAGACTACTAGCCTGCATAACATTTCACTAGCTCCTTAGGGGCTAGCAGAGTGGGATGCTTAGCTTTCTTTGGAAGCCCCCTCACTCGCCTACACGTAATTCCTTGCCAAATGGCTACCAGACTAGTGCTTTAAATACAAGACTGTACCAACATATCCCTTAAGGCAGGGAGGGGTGGGAGGAGGGAGATCATGAGTTAGGCCTGCACTAGCTCAATATATTACAGAGATATCAGAACTGCAGGAAGGCTTAAAAAAAATGCATTCATGTAATCCTTAACTAGAACCAAAATATAGCTTTATAAGTTATCTTTTAGAGTTGTGAGTTAGTTGTTTTAGACATTAAGGCACTAGAGAAAGAGTCAATTACTGTACGCACATACAATGCTGTAACTCCACTTTCCAGCAGCAAGGTGACAAGACACCACAAACTCTCCTTAAGAAATCAGTGACAGGTTGTGTCAACCAGAAACAGGGAGGTTGCCCACATAATTTTTTGCACTCCACATACATATTAAAACAGGCTGGAAACGGCAACTTTTTAAAATATATATATATAATTTAGTTACCAGTTCTTACTTTGGTCCAGTGGTGGTGAACATCCATAGTTCCTAGCATAACATGGCCTGTTGCACTCATGCCTGAACGGTCTGTAAATATCACTGTGCGACCTATTGAAAAGAGGAGGCATTTTGGGGGGGGGTCACTATTCACAGCTGAGCTTTTTTGGAGGGTGGGGTTGACTGACAACAAAGGGAATTTGTCTTGGGATTCCAAAAGGTTCCCTGTGAATCCCCTGCTACAGATCTAAGGTCTCTTTTAGGCCGTCCTCCACTAGGCATCTCTCTCTAGGCCCGCCTGAACTCCTGGCACCCACATACGTAAGTAAACCCTATGCGTTAACACCAACATAATCTCATATGGGTGCTTTGAGTCATCACAGAGATCAGGGTAGGTTGGATAGGAACATACAAAGAGCTCTGCTGGATAATTCCAAAGGCAATGGTGCTCTCCAACAGGAAAGCTTGCAAGTGGGGCCTGTGAAATGGCGTTCTCCCCACCTGCAATCCCCCTGCAGCTTGTGTCCAGAATAAACTACCTCTGACAGACGAAGTAACATATAGCAATTGTGCTTAGTAGCCACTAATAGCTTTAGCCTCAGTCAATGCAACCTTGGAGACATGTAGGATCTGAATCATTTAGGGCTTTAAAGTTCAAACACAGCACCCCACATTCTGCTGAGAAGGAAAGCAGGAAACCAACTTGCACCAGCTTAAAAGATTCAGAATTTTCTTTAAAGAGCAGCATAATATCGTTGACAAGTGAAAGGGGAAAAAACTGTAGCAAAAGAATGTACCTTTAGCATTCCTTAGCGCTTCTGGGCTTTGTTGAGCTAACCGACTTAGACTGTGTAGCTGGCTGCACCGATGGGCGATACCCCAGCTCCTCTGCCATCTAAAAAAACCAAACCAACACCAGCATGTTTCACTCCTTTTAAATTGCACAGCAACTTAGGTAACAAAAGAGTGACAGAGATAGTCAATGAAATGCATTATTATTTGTCATTAGCAGACAAGCAGCTTTGAGCAATAAGAACTTGATCTATAACTCAAATAGAAACTTTGACCATTTGGATGAATGGGTGACTGCCACGGGTGTCTATATAGCTCTTATCTAGTTTTGTTCTAAATATATTTGCTTTTTTGTGTTCTTAACTATTTTTTGCTGTTGAAACAATTGTGTGGGAGGGTATTAAAACATTGATGCACTGAACGCAGCTGCTTAAAAATGCAACTAAACTAAGAATAAAATTGCAGTGACCATTATAACACTTGGACTAGCATTGTAAGCACACATTTCTGGTACCTTTAAAATACATTTGCTGGAGTCTATCACATACCAGCAGTGTTGCTCTGTTCCACCCTTAATCTTAAAAAAAAACCCAACCCATTGCTTTTTCACACAGTTTAAGTTAATTTGTTACCTGATATCAGAGAGCTGTAGCTGATGAGAAAGTTCACCTTTCAAACGATCTAGCTCTTTCCTGAGTGGTAAGCTATTCTTCAGCTTCTTTTCTGCACTTTGTTCATTACTATCTAACCAAGAACTAGAAAAACAACATGGATCACAAAGAGATTTAAAAACACAGTTATTGGGCAAGAGGATTAACGATAAATTTTAAGCAGAAATTTAAAGTGTTCATGTATCAGAAAAAGTGTGAGAGCACATCATGAACCTTCTTAAAATTATGGAATCATAGAACTAATTGTACAGTTGGAAGGGACCACGTGGGTCATCTAGTCCAACCCCCTGCAATGCAGGAATATCTGGCTCAATGTGGGGTTCAAACCCATGACCCTGAGATTAAGTCTCTCATGTTCTACTGACTGAACTTTCAATTAATATTTATCTAGCACACAGCCAGCCACACCCTCTTCCAGGATGTACCATTCCACCTCCCCGTTTTCTTTCTCTCAAGGTATCTGGGCATTCAGTACCAATTTAGCATGCTTAGTCTTCACTGGGTTGTTTTGTTTCCCTCCCTGTGAAATATCTGTTATATTTCTGCAAACCCCTGCAAGTTCCCCTAATCCTGCTGATTTGTCCATCTCGAGTGTGAATGCTGCCTTTTTGGCTACATAAAGATCCATACTTGGAGAATGACTTGCAGTTGTATACTGAACAAAGAATTTCTATGGGTTTGTTGATTAAAAGTTGTGGCTGGCTTTCATTCAACAATGGCTAGCCTCCCTATGGTGCTCTTCAAAACTGCCAAAATTCCTGGCAGTAAATACTTTGGAGGAAAGAACATTTTCATGGAAACCTGTATTGTCAGCCTGTGAACAGTTAGAAGGACTGATGGCAACGTAGCGACAACTATATAAAGTTAAAGTGCGTGGCTGTCAATCTAGAATTGTGCACGCAAATTTCTGCATGCACTCTCAGGGATGGAAATGCATGTCACTATCAGTAGATAACCAATTCAAATTGTGATGGTCAAGTCAAAGTCTATTTCACGAATACTACTTTCCCACATCTATCTATTTCTTAGTTGGGGAACCTGTAGGGTAGATTTTGGGAGCATGGGGAACTGGGGTCTGCAGTGGGGGAGCAGTGGAAACTGAACTTCCATTGTGCAAGCTGAAGTTCATTCACATAGCATGCTTGTATGCCTGGTAGGAGTTCCAAATTCAACACTTCCCTACTCAAATGTTTTAAAAATTAATCATTCAAGTCTAAAATACGAGACACAAAATATCTGTTTGGGATAAATCATATGCTTTGCAAGCAGAAGTTGCCAACAACTTCTCCTGGTGAGAAATCAATTGGTTCAAAATCCTGAAAAGGCCTCTTAAGACTCTGAAATTGAGGAAGTTAATGTCACTAAGGTCAGTACCTTAGTGTAGTTTCCATCCTTTGAGCCTGTTCAAGTTCTTCCTCAGGATCCTTGAATCCAGTAAAAGAGTAGTAAGTCTTGTCCCATTTGATAGGCCTGTGGAAGATTCTTTCTGCTGACTGGTTAGACGGAGTTGCCACTTTGCCATTCAAGATTTGGACATGGTCCGTAGATAAGTTACAGGAGTTCAGGATGTCCAGTACTGTGCTTAGTAGGTCCCTGGTGCGCAAGGTGAAACTGACTGCTCGAAATCCTACAAAATGCAAACCCAGAACAAGGCAGTATTTAACAGAATGCATTTCCTTATGCTTGCCTTACCAAAGATAATGCAAACCATGGCTTGCATGGATTAATCTCCTAGTCAGCTTCATTAAACTGTAGTACTACTGTTATTAACTGATTTGATTTCAACTGACAGTGCTCCTGGACTCAGCAGATTAAGTCCCCATGCTCCAAGATTGATATGAACAGGCTCCACTGTGAAGGCTTTTCCTAATGCTATTTTTGGATGAAGTGCACTACGGGACTCTGATAAAAAACAACAACACTGAAAATATAAGCCAATAGCTGTGAAGTGCTATGAGCAGGTATGCATGATACTAAGACACAGAAACATCAGTGTATTTGTCTATTATCACAGCACCCTGCTCCAACAATTGAAGATTACTACGTATTAGATGGTAAATAAAATAACTTGTTAAAAGTGATTATTCATAATTAATTCTCAGTTCATTGTGCTAATAACTTCTAGAACAGGATATAGTAAAGTGAGAAATAGTTAATATTTTCAAATAAAAAACTCAACATCTTTTTGATTTAGAGGCTACATGAATTTTCAAAAGTGCAGCTTTAATTTTCAGAAAAATTCCTCCCGTCTACATTTAGCAGTTTTATACACTATATTTTGGCTAAGTGAGGGAAACCATAATTTTATAGGGATACACAAAGAAACAAATCTGGTGGCTAAATCTAATTAAACTCTGTTTCAGAGGCTTCTTAGAAAAAACAACAACCCAGTGCTTAACGGCTAGAAATTTTAATGACAAGAAAATTTCAAGTACTCAAAAGCAGTTTATTTTGTAAGGGGGGGGGCGGGACCCGAAATGTCTAAAATACCTGAGGAGCCAAATGGTTCTTGAACATTGGAAGGATTTTGTTCTTTCTCGCGTACGTAAAAAGTGAGCCGAGTTGGTTTTAAAGACCTGAAACCTGGTTTTTGGAGATTCTCCAAATAACCATTTAATCTCTTCAAAGAATTTTCATTGATCTCCTGAAAATAATTACAAGAAAAAGAATTACTCAAGTTTTGAACATGGCCCAGGTTAAAGCAAATACACATAAATTAACAGCGTCTGTTCACAACAACTTTTGATTCACAGTATATTTATATGGAAATGTGTGTCGTTTACTAAGACTGAGGAAACTCAGGTTCAAAAAAATCCCTATTCTGCCATGAGTTACCTTGTGCCAGGCAGCTTTTCACCCTAACCAACACAGAGAGCTGAAAAAAGAGTCATGTTCACCATCTTGAGTCCACTGCCTTTCCTCTGAGGCCCACCTGGTGCCAGGGTAAAATCTGCATATTTACTCAAGCTTTTAGTAACTGTTAATCTCACAATCTAATTTTATAATAACTGTCATGTGTTTCCAAGGGACCCTAGGGTTATGAAAATATATTTTAAGTGATATACAGTGGTACCTTGGAAGTAGAACGGAATCTGTTCTGGAAGTCCGTTTGACTTCCAAAGCATTCGGAAGCTCCTGCAGCCAATCGGAAGCCGCAGCCGACGTTCAGGTTCCAAAGAATGTTCGCAAATTGGAACACTCCTGGGTCTGCGGCATTCGGGAGCCAAAACGTTCAGTTCGCAAGGCATTCAGGATCCAAGGCACGACTGTATTAGAGTTTGTCTATAATACAAATATCTAACAGTATCTATCAATTCAGAAGTCCCACCGAGTTAAATGGAGCTCAATCTCCATACTGTTCTCATTTTCTATTTTTATGTTGCGAACTGCCCTGTAATCTTCAGATGAAGGGTGGCATACAATTTTTTAAAAAAACAATAATAATGATGATGATGTCATGGTAGGTGTTTAGGATTGCAGCTTAAACCACTGGAGAAAAATGTATTTACCCTTTCTCTGGGATGCTGGCCAAAGAAATCTGGATGCACTGCAAAATAGAATGGCCGCAGGGCATTGACAGCATCAGCCCCTGATAAAGCTCTTGCCTGGATAACATGCTGCAATGGTAATTTATTGAGACATAACCTAAGAAATAAAGATGAAGACTAAGTTAAGCAGCCTAAGAGACCACAAAATGCTTAAAGGTAAATTGCTATAGAGATGGGAGAATTCTGGGACTATTTAAATTAGGATTGGGCTATGCGGATAATACTTGTAACAGTACTAATAAATTTAGAATTATATAAGCATGCACTCAGAACTATCAGTGCAATAAGCAACACAAAACCGTAGATAATTTTCTGGCTGCTACTTGGAATCTGATTCTGTCTTAGATGTACAAGTACACATTCTTCCTATGAATGAATTGCCTACTCGATGATGATGATAAAGTACATTTACCTCTATAGTTTTGACCAATAGATCTTCCAATTTACAATCTTACTTCCAATTTACAATTCCTAAAACTAAAAATTTAAAACTCCCAGAAATCAAGCCAAAAGCAGATGTAATAATTTATATGCTACAATTAAAAGTGTAGGAATAGAGCCGCCTTACCTCCTCACAGTCCCCCAACGGCAAAACATCTCAATTCTTTTAATCTTGATTCCAGATCGCCTCTAAATTTCTTTAAGCAAATAAAACATATTAAACATGTAATTAATGCATTTAGTTTTGTATATGTTTACTTGCATTTTGCCTATACTTTAAGCAACAGAATTTGACTGTGAAATTACAATCTGGTTTTACGTAAAAATGTTCACCAGTGATGCTAAACAGTAGCAGGAACAACCACTTTAAAGTTGTTGTGACACAAGTCGCTTAAAAATGGACAAACTAATTAAAAGTTTGTGTAAGCAAGTAAACACAAAAGCCTGATAATTTCTATACAGTACTAATTTTTAATTAGAGGGCCTTTCCTGGGCCCCAGTACAATGGTAAGAGCACACTGACTAAATCAGATTACAAGGAGATGCTGTTCTAGTCAATTCCATCCTGAAGGAAACTTTAAGGGAAATAAAACATATTCTTGAATAGTAAAGGCATTGCTGACAGGGAGAGATACAAGCAAATATGTGGGCACTCATACATCCTTTCTAATAAATAAAATAAAATCAACTGAGGAAAAGAAGAGTGCTTCTCATCATGGGTACTATCTGAAAGTCACATGCAACAGTCACAACTAACATGTATTGCACCAGTACTAGCTGGGTTGGCTGCTGGGTGGTAATTTACACGTTTTCCAGGATACAATTAAAAATGCTACAGGAACCTGTTGCCTGGAGACCATAGAAGAGCAGAAAAAAAGTTTAACTATATATTGCAGGCAAAAGCAACTTATAATAACCACTTCCAGTTTTTTCAAATACCAGTCTTTATAGAGACACACACTTGCACACAAAAGAAAAAAATGTTTATAAATATATGAAAATCCCTCAGATTATCCATTGACATTAGGTAGAGCTCTGTGGTAATCTGGATTTTAAATGTAATCAAGGAGTTGCAAGGGACCTCAAGCGTCACCAACCTATTACTATAGCATCCCTGGTTATCCAACCACTGCTTAAAAACTTTAACGAAGGAGAGTCCACAACCTTACAAGACAACCACTGTCAGTTTGTTCCATCAGGAAGCTATTTGTGATGGTCAGTCATAACCTTTTTTTGTATAATCTGAACACATCAGTTCAGGGCAATACCACCAACTGGAGCATAGAATCAGATAACTGTAAATGGAAAGGGACCCAAGGGTCATATAGTCTAATGCCCTGCAATGCAGGAATCCCCTCTAAAGCATCCATGACAGATGGCCATCCAACCTCTGCTTAAAACCTATCAAGGAAGGAGAGTCCACCACTTTCTGAAGGAGTCCATTCCACTGTTTAACAGCTCTTACTGTCAGAAAGTTCTTCCTGGTATTTATAGTCGAAATCTTCTTTCTTGTATCTTGAAGCCATTGATTCGGGTCCTACCCTCCAGAGCAGGAGAGAACAAGCTTGCACCATCTACCATGTGACACCCCTTTAGAGATTTGAAGATGGCTATCATATATTCCCTCAGTCTCTTCTTTTCCAGGGTAAACATACACAACACCCTCAACTGTTCCTCATATGGCTTGGTTTCCAGACCCTTGATCATATTGGTTGCCCTCCTCTGTACATGTCCCAGCTTGTCAATATCCTTATTAAACTGTAGCACCCAGAACTAGACACAGTACTCCAGGTGTGGTCTGACAAAGGCAGAACAGAGTGGTACTATTACTTATAGCTAAAGCTATTCTATGCAGCATCAACAGAAGTACAGTCCAGATCAAGGAAAGCTCTATTATGTGAAGACTGCTTTAACCATGTTAATATTTGCTCCAGCCTATCCCTTATGTTTGGGGATATATAACGCTAAACAATGGTTTAGTGCTACATGGATGAGCTGCTATGAGCCCAAGCAAAAATCCCTCTCCCCCTCTATGTGGCTCAGAGGATTTCTGTGCAGATAACATTGACTTTTCAACTTGTACAAATCTGGAATATGGCTTAAAACAAACTGCTTAGTTAAGCCAGCTTCATTACCCATGATTTGAAGGTGGTTTGCTTTGAACCTTACCAGTTTTTGTTGTAAGTGAGGATGACAAGCCAACATTACAGTGGTACCTCGGGTTACAGACGCTTCAGGTTACAGACTCTGCTAACCTAGAAATAGTACCTCGGGTTAAGAACTTTGCTTCAGGATGAGAACAGAAATCGTGCAGCAGCAGCGGCAGGCCCCATTAGCTAAAGTGGTGCTTCAGGTTAAAAACAGTTTCAGGTTAAGAACGGACCTCCAGAACGAATTATGTTCTTAACCCGAGGTACCACTGTATTTGAAAGCAAAATAAAATTCAGCAGGGATCCTCTTCCCAGCAGCAGAGTATAAAGAAATGGAGGAGCACTCAAGCCCAGTGCTTTTCTCAGTCTCACCAGAGATTGTCCAGGTAGTGCTAAACCATGGTTTAGTGTTAAGCACAAACACATATTAGCAGGTTTCCCAAGAACACAATTTAAATATCTTAAGTTATAGTATAAAGCTACTTCAAATGCACATAGAAAGTCAACATAATTCTGATTGCTTAGATACATGACCAGAATCCCTATTATTCAGAACTACATAATGCCAATACTTAGAAACTGCGAATGGTTTTAAAGCGTTTCTTGGAAAGCCACACACAATCTCCCCAAGCTTTTAAAACCTTATTGTGTGCAGAAAAGAAGCAGGATGGGGGTAGGAATCAAAACCATGCCAAATGGAAATTTGAGATACAGCAGATCACACTATAGACAAATGATTAGCCACCTTTTGAAGGCTGTACAGTGCATGACACACAAAGGTTACCATAAAACTGCAGACTCAGGACAAAGCTAGCTACTTAAGTTTCTTGCGGAAACAGGAGAGTAACCTCTATGAATTGGCAAAGTGTCATAACACACTCTGATTGGCTGAACAAAAAGGTACAGATTGGCTGAACAAAAAGGTACATTTTAACAGTACCGCTGATGTTTACAAAAGTACAGCATAAGGTAAGCATGTGAAGGATCACACAGGTGCCTAGAGATTCAGAACTTTTACATGCCAATGAACATCACATATTGACTTTGGGAGATACAAAACTATGCCGGCAGCCTTATACAGTATTTTTAGATACTTAACCATTTTTGTTTCTTTTTTCCTCTTTGTCAAAAACCTTTAATAAAATTGATCTAAATACAGGGGGAAATGCAGCCTACGACCTTCATTTGTCATTATGCTGCGTTTGTTGCCAACCCATCCAGTTAGCAGTTCAATTCCGAATAATAGAATTGTAAGAGTTGGAAAGGGGTCCCTGAGGACCATCTAGTCCAACCCCTTGCAATGCAAGGACAGGCAGCTGTCCTGTACGGAGATCAAACTCGCAACCTCAGCGCTATTGACGCCACACTCTAACCAACCGAGCAATCCGGTTCAAGTTCAATGAGGCTTGTTTGCAGGTAAGCACTTTGAGGAGCGCATATCAAATCTTAAGATGGAAAGGGAACTTAAGAACCACCTGCTGTCGGGGCTACCATAGCAAAAGCCTCCAGATATGATGCTCACGACCCAATTACCTTATTTCCAAAGCAGGGCAGCGCCCGGCTTTATTAACACGCCACTGTAGGGGCCAACTCCTAGGGACTGAGGTCCCTTTTCCCACGCCACCCCCCAATACAATATTTAAAGGGGGGTGGCCTTCCCAAAGTCGATAGGCATTGCCATTCAGTCATGCAATTGATTATGTGGGGTGGGGCTTACCTGTCCCCCATATTTTATTCCAACTTGGCACCCCTACACGCCACAGACGCGAGCCCCCTTCATCCCAACGGGCCTCGCTGCAGGTGAGGCAGGCCTAAATCACTTCGAAGCTGCGCGAACCTCCTGCGAAACGCCGGTCCCGTTGCTTTACCTCAGCGACTACGAGGGGTGGGGGGAGACACCAAACAAACAAAACAAAACCCCAGCGCTTCTTCTTTCCCCCAACCCAAACACTGTGAGGAAATCACTGCACACCAGCTTACGTTGGAGCGCTCGGCGGAACTTGACCCGTGTCGAGCCGTTCAGACGTTCGGAGAAGCAGAACGTCCTCCCCACTCTCAGAGCCCCCAGCACTCTCCTCCGAAATCTCACCTTACTCCTCCTCGCTGTCCCGCTGCTGCCGCTGGAAGAGACGCGGCCCCCATCGCCTCACGCGGGGCGAAGCGAGCGCTCGCCGAAGCGCCGGGCTGCCTGTGGGACTCGGTCGCGTCGGCCGGTGACCTCGCGGGCCTCTGCGCGCGAGAGGCACCTGAACCGCCGGGAGGTCCGCGAGGGGGCGGGGCCGACGCCGTCACGCAGACGCTAGGAGCCACAGGCGGAGGGAGGGCCGGAGGATGCACACCTCCGAAGCGCGGCGCTTTAAGGCAGGCGGCGTCACGACGCGCTCCTCCTCCCCGCCGCCTTTCTGCGCATGTGCAGCAGAGGCTGCCGTTGGCCCTTTGCTTTGGGCTGTGACGGAAAGCCGTAAAAAGGCGGGTGGGATATTAGCGGCCCGGGACATTTTGCCGCCTGAGGCGAACCACAAAATGGCGCCCCCTCTCCCTCCCCCCGGCAGGGGAGAAGCGGAGTGATGTGCCATAGCAGGAACAAGGAATAAAGATACTGTATACATCTTGTCTCTATGTGGGACAAGAAGCTACAGTTAGAACTGGATATGGAACAACTGATTGGTTCAAAATTGGGAAAGGAGTAGGACAAGGCTGTATATTGTCTCCCTGCTTATTTAACTTATATGCAGAATTCATCATGCGAAAGGCTGGGCTGGATGAATCCCATGCCGGAATTAAGATTGCCGGAAGAAATATCAACAACCTCAGATATGCAGATGACACAACCTTGATGGCAGAAAGTGAGGAGGAATTAAAGAATATTTTAATGAGGGTGAAAGAGGAGAGCGCAAAATATGGTCTGAAGCTCAACATCAAAAAAACAAAGATCATGGCCACTGGTCCCATCACCTCCTGGCAAATAGAAGGGGAAGAAATGGAGGCAGTGAGAGATTTTACTTTCTTGGGCTCCATGATCACTGCAGATGGTGACAGCAGCCACAAAATTAAAAGACACCTGCTTCTTGGAAGGAAAGCAATGACAAACCTAGACAGCATCTTAAAAAGCAGAGACATCACCTTGCCAACAAAGGTCCCTATAGTTAAAGCCATGGTTTTCCCAGGAGTGATGTATGGAAGTGAGAGCTGGACCATAAAGGCTGATTGCCGAAGAATTGATGCTTTTGAATTATGGTGCTGGAGGAGACTCTTGAGAGTCCCATGGGCTGCAAGAAGATCAAACCTCTCCATTCTTAAGGAAATCAGCCCTGAATTCTCACTGGAAGGACAAATCCTGAAGCTGAGGCTCTAATACTTTGGCCACCTCATGAGAAGAGAAGACTCCCTGGAAAAGACCCTGATGTTGGCAAAGAGAAGGGGACGACAGAGGACGAGGTGGTTGGACAGTGTTCTTGAAGCTACCAGCATGAGTTTGACCAAACTGCGGGAGGCAGTGGAAGACAGGAGTGCCTGACGTGCTCTGGTCCAGGGGGTCACGAAGAGTCGGACCAAACAACAATACATCAGGAACAAGATCTACATTGGGATCGGCTGCTCCTGTGGATTCTGCAGCCCGACGCAGTTGCCTCACCTTGCCTCCTATGTGGGCCGGCCCTGGCTGGCTTACTTCATGGCTCCTCCAGCTGCATTTGTGGCGCCACGGGTTAGATGCTGGAAATGTGCCCATCGCCCTCCTTGAGAATGCCACCTGGCTTGGTAGATCTGCAAGGACTGCAGTGGCAGCCGGTTGAGCTCACCGTGTGGTCCTGTTCCACGTCTGCTCAGCAGTGATGCCCCACTGAGCACAAGCTCCTTGGAAAGTGGGTGCTGGGCCATCCAGCCTGTTCCAAATCGGTTCTTCAACTCTGCCCAGGCTCTTATGTAAGGGGCCTTTTTTTAAAATCATTTTTTCAATGCAAACAACCACCGCAAAAGACACATACAACAAAAACCATAACACTAATAACACAATTTTACAATTCAGATTTGAATACTGCTATACCTATGACTACACCTTTCTAACAACATTTCCCCACCTCTCCTCCCCCTACTTCCCACTACTGTCCGCCTTTTCGCTTAAATATTCCTTCCAGATTTCTTCATATTTTTCCATTCTTAATTTGCATGGACGTGCAATTCGTTCGTATGTAGCTAGTCTGTCCATATTATCAATCCATGTGCTCAATGGATTCTTTTTGCGGCTCTTCCAATTCATCAAAACTATTTTTTTTGCTTCTAATATGGCACGGTACATCCATTTTTTTTTGACCCCTTGTAATCTCCCACGTTTCCGGAATATAATTTAGAATTCAATTCAATTCCCCTAAATAATTTCTTTTTATTACTCTTGCTATAAATATCCTCGCCTCGCACCAAAATGATCTTATCATCCAGCAGTTAATCATCATATGCACTAAGTTTGTATTTTCACTCCCACATCTCCAGCAGTTGTCTGCACTTGTTATTTTCTTCTGGTATAGTTTTGCTGGAGTCCAGTGAACTCTGAATATTATTTTCTGTTGGATAAGTCTTAGATCCATAGATGCTGTTTCTGTTGATTTTATACTTGACTCCCATATATCATTTGTTATCTGTACCCCTAATTCTTCATTTTTGTCTATCATATTCTAAATCATATTTCTTCCTGTTGAGTAGGGTTTTATATAGTGCAAGTGTAGAGTTTTTTGTTTTTGTTGCAGAAATTAAATCTTGTAGCAGCATGGGTGTTTCCGATGCTGCTATAGCATGAGGGCCAAACTGCCTTTCCAACATGTTTCAATTGGATGTATTGCCATTGTGTTTCACTGGTTAATCCATACTTTACTTGCAAAGTCTTATATTCCACAAATTTGTAATTTTCATCAATTAATTGATTCAATGTCAAAATACCTTTTTTCATCCAATTTTGCCAAATTATTACTTGATTTCCAATTTTTAATTTTGGGTTGGCCCATATTTGTTAATTTCTCATGCTGATAGGGGTCATCCTTATTTTTTATATTCATCCAAATTTTTATAGGTGCTTTAATAGTCTCCAGGATATTTCATAAAATTGGAGCTGAGTTTAATCCACCATGTAAGGGGCCTTTTGAGAAGCTTGTAAGCGTGCAGATTAAGAATCTGCACACTGCAAAAGCTCCCAAAGCGATGCAGGAAGTTTTTCCAAGCAAGAAAACTAGAACAAAAGCAGCAAGGAACTTCCATGGGTTATGACCACTTCATTAGGTGCATGAAATGGCACCCTAGAGGCATGCCAGTGGCATTGGGCTGGCTGCTTGAAGGCTCTGGAATACAAGATTGGGATCAGGGAATGGGAGTAGAGGTGGGAGCACAAATATTTCCTTCTTGGATAAAAGATGAGCAGGTGCATGGGGGCAGGTGAGCCGTAGCACAGGTCAGGATAGATGTAATCACACAGCAGGCAGAACTGACTTCTGGGGTGAAGCAAGTGTGTCTTGTAGCACAAGTGGGAAAAGATGGTAGTCTTTTGCTGTGAGAGGGCACTGCCCCTTTCACCTGCAGTAAGAAGCCTCCACGGTTTCTACTATAGTGGTACCTCGGGTTAAGAACTGAATTAGTTCTGGAGATCCGTTCTTAACCTGAAACTGTTCTTAACCTGAAGCACCACTTTAGCTAATGGGGCCTCCAGCTGCCGGAGCACGATTTCTGTTCTCATCCTGAAGCAAAGTTCTTAACCTGAAGCATATGTAACCCAAGGTACCACTGTACTGAAATGATAAATGTTGCTCTTGGTTAGAATCCTTGAAGACCCCCTGAACCTATTTTCATTTCCAAGGCAGCTGTTGTTCTGAGTATGCTCAATATACAGCAATCCAGATGCGAGTAGAGAACTCCCTACAACTAAACTTCTAAACTATATTACAAGTGGTGACCGTTTTGCTCATATCCAATTGATGTGAAACTGTTGAGGTGTGGGTCCTTTTGCCAAGTGTAACTTACCTTAAGTACTTAACTTTCTCACTAGTAAATCTATTTATTGGCCTCATGCATGTGATTGATGGGAAATGAAACCCAGCCAGAGTGTTGAATGGATCCTCGGGTTGTAAAAAAGAAAAAGCACTGAACTCCAGAAACTATAAACAAGGACTAGCAAATAGAGTAACTTATTTTAACACAATTCCTCTTTCCTCATTTGAGCTTATTCATATCTCAATGGAAATTTGATACTCTGGCAAGTTAAGTGTTCTATATTTTTGTTGTATGAATATTGTTTCTGCCTACTGTGGAGTTAACTTGTTTGCAAATAAGTCTACCTAAAGATGGCAAAGAGATGAAGACTGTAACACTAGAGAACTCAGCAAATCCTTTGTTCTGTTACTGGCGTTTTTCAAATTAAGTGCATCAATACAATATAATATTAAATATTCAAAATCCTCCAACGGAGATTCTCTGTAATCCTTACAACTGTCATGTGAGGTAAATTAGCTGCATTATCAGTGTGCTGCAGATGGAAAAGGACTGAGAATGATTTGTGCAGGCCTGCCTGCTGTTAGTACGTTTGCCAGGCACTTTGAGGATAAAATCGCTCACCTACATCATGCTAAGTTGAAGACTACTTTAACAGAGCCAAGTCTTAATTGATGTTGTGGGATCACTTTCAATTGATGCCTGAGGATGTGGACACGGTACTTTCAGTGATTTGGCCCAATACATACTCTCTTGACTCTTGCCGCATCATGACTTGAGCTAGAGGCGGACTGTGGGGTGAGCCTAGGAAGCAGCTAGTGCATCACAAGGGGATGATGCCAGATTCCTTGAAAGAGGCAGCTGTGGCTGCTCCTTAAACCCCTCCCCACACCCCCTGGACCTTGAGGTACTACACAACTAGTGCCTTGAGGTACTACACAACTAGAGTTCAGATTTGAATCGGGGAATTCCCAGCTCACACTCAAGTTTCCTTTTTCAAGTGATAAAAGGAATAAGGCTTAAATAGTCTCAAAACTTTTGACATCCTCATGCATGATGGGTAGGAGGAAAATGGTCTGCTCTCTGGTGTTACCACACTTCTTGTATTAGGAAAAAGACCCAGCACTTTGCAGGATTCCACAGCTTATTGTCAAGGGCTTGCAGCAGGTAGATTAGTTTATTCTGGAAGATCTCTGTGTAATTTGCAAATTGGCAAACAAACAGAAACAACTTTTCCCACCTAAATTAGATGGCTGAAATGAAGAAAGCTAACCAAGAGAATACTTGTGTAAAAGGACTGTAGCAGATCAGTTCTGCTACAAATTCCTAAAATCCGAATGTGGTCAGTTTAATTCTATGTCTTTAACAACTGGCTGGTAGATCTTGAATTTGTAGTAAAAAAACAAGTATCTGATAAGTCAGGAGCCTGTTAAACGCAACAGTTATTTGGGTTACTGAAGTTAAAACATAAAAAAACAAGTTAGAAAACGGAATTATATAAAATTAACAATGGGAAGTTTCAACACAACAGAAACCATTTATTGATTCATTATTTTGAACAGTGATTACTATAACTGAAATCTTATCAATGACTAAAAAAGCCAGACTTTTCCTGCCCACTTCATATTCTCTTTCAACCACTCAAGTGCACAAATGTTTTCCAAACCACACACTTGCTCCGTGCCACTATTTACTGTGAAATGCTTTATGAAAAGCTTTGGAGTAGATATGTTAGTAGCTTGAATCAACCTCTCCACTGCACATTGATAGTTATCATCCTTGCCTTCACATCTGAAAAAGAGTTTTCACAATCAAGAAAAGTTACAACCAGCAACCAGTCATTCTAAGATGATTAGCAGTGTTATATGAACTACCATCCTGCCTTTCCTCCCCAAATGTGCTTCAACTGTGTCTTTCAACTGGGAACAAATGATAACTACTGTAATGTGTCAGCAGAAATGAAGCAATTACGTGGAAAAACCAGCTCCTTTCCACAACAAGCTTTTTTCCTAACTAATGTGTGACTGATCACAAAAAAAAATGAGGAAATGGTGCAAAATTAGAAGACAACACCAACAGTAGTGGGAGGAGAAGGAGGAGAAAATTCAAAGAGACAAAATAATAAAACCAGGTTTCTATTACTGGCAACATGTTACAAAAAGGACTTTGAAGAAATTAGGTATTTATTGTATTTTATAAGTTACTGATTTAAACTGATTATCATAAGATTCTTTTCCTTGACACAAATCAAAGACATAAGCAAGAAAGCTGAGGGGAGGATACAGAATCATGCACTTGGAAAAGCAAATGAACTCACCTTTTCAGTACTATTTGAAGTATTTGATTGGAAGCACCAGGACTCTGAATACTACTAGCATTAGAAACCAAGAAAATTTCAATTGCTAACAGCATCTCAATCTCAGTCATGTAAGAGGGAATCAGAAGAAGTTTACGGTGAAGATTTCCTTCCAGTGGTGGGTAGCAACCCAATGCTAAAGCATCTAAAAAGTGACAGTAAATTATGTAAAAGAAGGTGTCAAAGTTGTACTAAACAGCACACTTCTCTAGGTTTGTGTGTGGGTACTTGGATCATCTACTGCTTTACTGAAAAACAGTTTCTTCCAAGATTATTTGAGCTTCTGGACTACTTTTAACTGTTTCCAATTTCCATCCTACTATAATTGCTGTTTTGGACAGTCTCAAAAACTGAAGGCAAGGAGAGGTGGCAAACCTCCACTACTTGTTCAGAAAGTCCAAAGCTGCTCTTATTCCTAAAACCTAGAAAACTCTAAACTTCAGTTTTAAAGTTCTGCAATTGAATTTTGCTACAATCTGGGACCAGACCAGCTTTTGTTTTCCCACCTCACTTTTTCCAGACAAGGTTAGCAACCTACTACTTTTCTTCAAAAAGAGAAGTTGTCACTGAATGTTCCTTTTGCTGTAGATTCATTCTAAAGCACAAATCGAGGAAATCTAGAAAATGCTGGGTTTGCTTGGAATGGCAACACATATCAGACAGGTCTTCTGAATAATTATAGCACAGGTCAATATCTTAAAGCAAGTCATAAAAAGTCAAACAAAGCAGAGTACTTCTTTAGCTATATTGTACCTTCAGGAGCTCCCAAGGGATCTCCCAAAAATAATTTTGGGCAGAATTCTTCAATATCTAGTTGTTAATGTGTAATTGTGGTTTAGACTGCAGCCTGAACTTTTCTAACAATGCAACCTGAATCATATCTATTCAGAAGTGAGTGCTACTAAATTCAATGTAGCTTATTCCTAGATAAGTGCATTTAAGATTGCAGCATAACTGAAGTTCTTCAACTAGTAATGTAGTAGACATTGAGAGCTTACGTTTATAATGTGCTCTGGCTTTAAGCCACCAACAGCCTCTTCCAAGTGCTGTGATTAATGCTCTAAGTAAATCAAATTCAATGGGAATGTTCTTTGCAAGCATGAAATCTACTACAGTAGATGATATTTGAAGCTTCTGGCTTTCCAAAGAAGCACCTAGCAGTTTATTAAATAAACTCCTGTACTGGGATACATCCAAACTATCTGCAAAAGAAAAACATTACAAGTGATTAATTTTCTTCAATTATTAAGTAGAACATTGGTTTCAGCAATATAATAGTGGAAAACTACAGCAAAGTTTTCCCTCTCTGTTTTAAGATTTTTTAAAAAAGAAGATCCTAGTTTCTCTCATTTTCATGAACAAATCAACTCTGCTTAGAATGCGCACACACGCGCGCACACACATACACCCCGGCCACCTGAGGCATCATTTCTTCTTGTATTGGAATAACTGTACTGCAGAATGGTTTTCTGCTAAACGAAATATTTCAGAAGTGTGTACACTAAGCAATAATTATTATTTTCATATCATAAATGCTACACAGAAATAGATCTTGATGAGAAGCAAAAAAAGTTACAAATATATTGTGATCTGCAAAACTAACAGCTTAAATCCTGCATCCTGAGATACATAGGTGATTGTTTTATTAACCCCTCTAAAGAGTTTGGGCGGGCAAACAGTGAACATCTGTGCAGGCTCCCAGTCTGTTTTTGAGCCCAATTAAAAGCACTAGTTTTAACTGTTAAAGCCCTTATTTGCTTTTAGCCAGGCCCCCTGAAGGACCACCTGCTCTAATTTATACCTGCCCAAGAATTCATTTTCATCAGAAACCCTTGTCCAGGTTCTCCTGCTTAGCAAGGCAAGCCAACTAATGACTAGAGAAAGGGTCTTATTTGTGGTGGAGTGGCCTCCCTAGAGAAGACTGACTGGTGCCCACACTATGATCCCTTTTGGTTTTGCTAAGTCTTTGAATCTTAATCATACAATTATTTTAGTACTTTTAGAACTCAGAACCAAGTTGCTCCCCCTGGCTGGTATTATGTTGTTTTAAATTGTTTTCAGTTGCTGTGTGTTGGGTTGGCTTCCACTGCCTTGATTGTCTTATAATTGGTTTTCATGCTTACAATTTAAATTTTATATTTTGTATTTGAATGGTGTAGAAACCACCCGTATATGGGCAGTATATAAATGTTAATATACAAATATTTATCCCATTATTGCCCCTCACAATCCAGAAGTATAGGCGAAGACTTAAAAATAGTTCAGAGACCATCCAGCAAGCTTCATGGCTGACCTGGATCAGACCTAAGGTCTATGTGGTACAGCGTCCCCTTTCCCAGTGATTGGCAAGATAGTTATGGGAAGGAGAAGAGGGCAATTGCCTTCTTCTGCTGTGGTTTTCCAGCAACTGACGTTCAAGGAATTTTAACTCTAATTTCCACACTGTAAGTCCACAAAGTGTTCCAACACTGCTATATGCCAAGAAATAATCCATCTCAGTTCTCATTCCAATCTCATCCAAAATTGCCCCACCATCTCTTGGAATCATTCTCAGGAGTACACATTGTTGCTCCTCTGATCAGCTCTGCCCATTGTGTTTACCTCATTCATTTCCTGACACCCAAGGCTTCCCTTTACACTTCCTTTGCCTCTACCCTGCAAGCATCAAGGTATTGCAGCTTTAAAGTTTTATTGGCAGATTAAGAATATATTGTAAAGGGCAGGCAGGTCAGATCCCCAGCAAAGACTACTTTCATGACTTAAAGGTAGGAGGACCTGTTTCTGGAGGAGCCTTCTTGAAGGCTAACCAATAAGTTTAGCCCCTCCCCCTTCTGATTTCAAAGGAGAACCAACCGAATGCAGACTGCCCGCAGGGAACAAATACTTGAGATTAAAATATATACAGTTGTACCTCTGCTTACATATTCCTCTGGATATGTAAACTTCGGGTTGCGAACGCAGCAAACCCACAAGTGTATGCTTCTTGGTTTTGCCGCATGCGCAGAAGCGCTCAATCATGCCGTACGTGTGTGCAGAAGAGCGCCTCCTGTTACAGACTTTTCAGGATACAGCTGCACCTCCGGAACGGATCCCGTCCATAACCGAAGGTACCACTGTATATGAATGGCAGTGATGATGCAACATGGTATCTACCTAGATACATACTATTGACAGGTGTATCCTGCTTTGTAGATTCCTGAAAGGTCTTACCAAAACAAAAACACCTTGTGCGTTTCTTAATTCTATAGACCTCAAAACAGAAGAGACAGGATAAAAAACAGAAAGAAGCAGTTGTTTTAAACTGAACAGTTGCTCTGCTTTCAGGAAGAGAATGGAAGGAAAACCTTTCTTATGAAATGAGCCATCTCTATCAAGAACTTGCAGCATAAAATACCAATTTATCTTAGTATCTGATTAAAAGTCCATAGATGCTTACTAGCCATTGAGAATGGAATTATAAACACTTACTACAAGAATTCCTGAAGCCTGGTAGATTTTGCAAGACTTCAAATGCTTCTCCATAACGGCTCTTTGCAATGCACTCAGATGCTATTACATATAGCAGGTTATGTCGCTTGAGGACATCCATTCGATCACAAGGCCATGTTAGAGTATTTATTATCCATTCCGACTCTAGAGAGATTAATACTGGTATTTTAAAAGCGATTAAAATGAGGCCATGAATGCTGACAAACGAAATAATATAGGGCCTTGTGAAAGATCCCAGATGACTGCCCACCTTGCATTCAGCTATTTAACAAAGAACTGCTCTCCATGCAGAGCCTGAGGAAAATAATTTTGATGTCCAGTTATGAACTACTGTACTGACCATTGTGAATCTCATGAAAATGTATGGAGGCTGCCAAGTCTTGAGTGTTATCTTGGCAGCTTATGTGGAAAACTATCAGTTTGGCCTAGCCTTGTTGACAAGCTTGAGTTCCTGACTGAGACAGAAACCAGGTGTCCCCAAGGTATTTGCACAGGATGGGGGGGGGGTGAGAGAGAGAGAAAGAAAGAGAGAGAGAGAGAGAGAGAAAGAAAAAGAAAAAGAGAGAGAGAGAGGAGTTTAAAATGTGTGAAATAATAATAATAATAATAATAATAATAATAATAATTTATTATTTATACTCCGCCCATCTGGCTGGGCCTCCCCAGCCACTCTGGGCGGCTTCCATAGAAACCAAAAATACAGTAAAATATCACACATTAAAAACTTCCCTGAACAGGGCTGCCTTAAGATGTCTTCTGAATGTCAGGTAGTTGTTTATCGCTTTGACATCTGCTGGAAGGGCGTTCCACAGGGCGGGCGCCACCACCGAGAAGGCCCTCTGCCTGGTTCCCTGTAGCTTTGCTTCTCGCAATGAGAGAACCGCCAGAAGGCCCTCGGCGCTGGACCTCAGCGTCCGGGCAGAACGATGGGGGTGGAGACGCTCCTTCAGGTATACTGGACCGAGGCCGTTTAGGGCTTTAAAGGTCAGCACCAACACTTTGAATTGTGCTCGGAAACGTACTGGGAGCCAATGTAGGTCTTTCAAGACCGGTCTTATATGGTCTCAGCGGCCGTCACCAGTCTAGCTGCCGCATTCTGGATTAGTTGTAGTTTCCCAGTCACCTTCAAAGGTAGCCCCACGTAGAGTGCATTGCAGTAGTCCAAGCGGGAGATAACCAGAGCATGCACCACTCTGGCGAGACAGTCTGCAGGCAGATAGGGTCTCAGCCTACGTACCAGATGGAGCTGGTAAACAGCTGCCCTGGACACAGATTTGACCTGTGCCTCCATGGACAGCTGTGAGTCCAAAATGACTCCCAGGCTGCGCACCTGGTCCTTCAGGGGCACAGTTACCCCATTCAGGACCAAGCAGTCCTCCACACCTGCCCGCCTCCTGTCCCCCAAAAACAGTACTTCTGTCTTGTCAGGATTCAACCTCAATCTGTTAGCCGCCATCCATCCTCCAACCGCCTCCAGACACTCACACAGGACCTTCACCGCCTTCACTGGTTCTGATTTAAAAGAGAGGTAGAGCTGGGTATCATCCGCATACTGATGAACACCCAGCCCAAACCTCCTGATGATCTCTCCCAGCAGCTGCATGTAAATGTTGAAAAGCATGGGGGAGAGGACAGAACCCTGAGGCACCCCACAAGTGACAGCCCAGGGGTCTGAACACTCATCCCCCCCACCGCTTTCTGAACACGGCCCAGGAGGAAGGAGCGGAACCACTGTATGACAGTGCCCCCAGCTCCCAGCCCCTCAAGACAATCCAGAAGGATGTTAGGGTCGATGGTATCAAACGCCGCTGAGAGATCCAGCAGAACTAGGAAACAGCTCTCACCTTTGTCCCTAGCCCGCCGGAGATCATCAACCAGTGCGACCAAGGCAGTTTCAGTCCCATGATGAGGCCTGAATCCCGCCTGGAAGAGATCCAAATGGTCCGCTTCTTCCAGGCGTGCCTGGAGTTGTTCAGCAACCGCTCGCTCAATCACCTTGCCCAAGAATGGAAGATTTGAGACTGGGCGATAGTTGGCCATCGTGGCCGCATCTAAAGATGGTTTTTTTAAGAAGCGGTTTAATAACCGCCTCTTTCAGCGGGTCTGGGAAGGCTCCCTCATGGAGGGAAGCATTCACCACCCCACGAAGCCCATCGCCCAGTCCTTCCCGGCTAGCTTTTATAAGCCAGGATGGGCAAGGATCCAGGAGACAGGTGGTTGGTTTCACTCGTCCAAGCAGCCTGTCCACATCCTCGGAGGTAACAGATTGGAATTGATCCCACTCAACTTGACTAGACAAAACTCTAGCACTCTCCCGCCCCGGCCCTGCTCCCACGGTGGAGTCTACTTCTTCCCGAATCTGAGCGATTTTATCTGCAAAAAACTTTGCAAAATCATTGCAGGAGAACATGTGGCCCGTACTGGGCCCCGATGTTGCAGGTGGTTCTGCTAAATTGTGAACCAACTGAAAAAGTCTCCTGCTGCTGTTTTCTGCAGATGCAATAGAGGCGGTGAAGAAATTCTTCTTTGCCGTCGCTATCACCACTTGGTAGGCTCGACATTGAGCTCTAACCTGTGTCCGGTCAGATTTGGAATGAGTTATCCGCCACCAGCGCTCTAGCCGTCTCAACGATTGTTTCATTGCCCTCAGATCCGTGGAAAACCAGAGGGCTGTCTGGGTTCCATGCAATCGGAGAGGGCGCTTCGGAGCCAAACAGTCAATAGCCCTGGTTAACTCCACATTCCAGCGGGCCACCAGGGAATCAGCTGAAAGGCCATCAACATGGGATCAAGCATCCCCTACCACTCTCTGGAAACCATTTGGATCCATTAAGTGGCGGGGGCAGACCATCCGACTTGGTCCCACCTCCCTGCAGAGGGGATGGGTCACAGAGAAGTCCAGTTGCACCAGGAAGTGATCTGACCATGGCACTTCTTTCGTTTCGCTTTTACTTAGTGTCAGATCACTAACATCCATAGAGGTAAACACCAGGTCCAAGGCATGTCCGTGGCTATGGGTTGGGCCAGACTTATTCAGGGACAGCCCCATGGAGGCCATGCTTTCCACGAAGTCCTGAGCGGCCCCTTGTAAGGTCGTGTCGGCATGGATGTTAAAATCCCCTAGGACGACCAAGCTAGGTGTCTCCAGGAGAACATCCGCCACGACCTGAAGCAGCTCGGGCAGGGAATCCTTGGTGCAGCGGGGAGGTCAGTACACCAAAAGGAATCCTGTACTGCCCCTATTGCCCAACTTCCAGAACGTGCACTCGGAAAACTGGGTCTTCCCAATAGGACGCCTGGTGCAAACTAATGACTTCCTAAAAATCACTGCAACCCCTCCCCGCCCACATGACCTGGGTTGCTGTGCGTAAGAGAAACCTGGTGGACAAGCAGCGGCAAGGACAGGCCCATCTGCTTCATCCAACCAAGTCTCTGTTACACATGCCAGGTCAAGTCCTCCATCCATGATCAAGTCATGGATGGCAGTGGTCTTATGAATCATTGACCTGGCATTGCACAGCAGCACCTTCAGGTCATGTGGGTATCCCTTGCTGATTCTAGTATCCATCCGGTCAGGACCAGACCCGGAGGCAGGAATAGTCCTCAGACAACGACTAAACCTGCCCCCTCTGTAATGACATGGTCTAGTCTTAGCGTAACTCCTCCTCCTACCCGTGATCACTGAGATCGGTTGTCCCAGTGCATCCCCCCCTGTGGAACATGCCCCAGCCATTTTGTGATTGGAGGATATACTGTCATATATCATATATCCCCCCTCCAGAAGCCGCAGGTCTATAGGGTTCATTTCCTGGTTGGCTACTGCTTGGAACAGCTACCAAAAAAGTGTCACTTGAAGCACAGCAGCAGGTCAGAGCAGCAGCAGCTGGGGTTAAACACAGTCAAGAGCACCAAGTGACCATCTGCACAGCACTGTGCCGCACTGTTATGGAACAGGCCATTAATCTCACAAAACGTTACATAACTAATGAGAGAAAGTTGCTCTTCTTAAAAATGCAAGGGAGGTAAGGATTTGACATTTCTGCATTTAGCAAGACATGAAATATGAAGGAGACCAAATTTTAGATGACGGACAGTTCCCCTTGCTTCATTTATTCTGCACTATTGTCAATGTACTTTAATTATTCACCAAGCCTCTGTCAGCAAATTCTCAGAAATATGAGTAAATGTCAGCTTGAGACTTCAACCACATATTTTGGCTCTCTCAATTTCCGCTGTAATGTTAAGGCAGAACCTACACGTGTCATTTTAAGCCTTGCTTATTTCTGTTAATAAAGAAGTGTACCTCTCAACACCCAAAATGCTCCATTTAGGCTCCTGCACTTGAGAAATATTTCCACAGCAATGTTAACAATGTGGCACCGTGATGCCAACCTCTCCTGACCAAGAAGTCCTTTCAAAAATGTGAAGTGTATCTTTAAGGCATGAAGCGTATCCAGAACCTTCTTGGCCTATGATACAAAGGGGGAAAGCAGCATAGAGAATTACCATAGTATCAGTTTTTTATCTCAGAATACTTGTTCATGCATGACACTGTATACTCCTAAGCACAAGGGGTGGTGATTGTTCTTTTTTGTTCTTAGCTAGCAACACTGATAAGTATGAAAAAAATGAGCATGGAAAGGAGCAGTAGTTTTTACCTGCGATAAGCTCCTTTCTGCTTTGATAGGATGACATCCTCATTTGGGTTGCTCCTCCCACTTGTTTCTTTTCGGACCAGTCAGGACAAAGGACTGAAGATTGGCTGCTGCCTCCCAAAAGGCAGCCTTGAAGCCTAATTGGTTTAGCCCTAGTCTAGTGAGAGGAGCAATCTGAACAAGGACGTTATCCTCCACCACAGGAAAATATTGGTTCAGCCAAAGCACAATACACAAGCATCTTGAGCTGCACTCCCTTCACACAAGGAATTGTCTTCCACTTATAAATTTAATTCAAGATTAAAAGGCACCAATATTTTTATACCTGTATGGTTTGCAATTTCAGCTTAGGGGTCCAAAAAGGCAAATTGCTTTGTTGGCATGCGTTCAATGATTGCCAAAACCACTTTGAACTTATAAAAATGAGTATGTAGTATACCAAGCATTACCCTGGCTCCTAAGCCTTTACACGAATAATTTGGCTGGAAATTTCCAAGTTTACACACACACACACACACGCCTCAAGAGCAAGCATCAGGCAAATGAGACCCTTCAAAAGCAAATTGCCAAGTCCATTTGTCACAGCGGGAAAACCTTGCCACATATATAACCAATTAACCAAGTTTAGCAAATGAAACAATTTTTAAATTTGGCATGTCCTCCACATAACCCTTAATAACCATGATGTACAGGTAAGGAAAGAAACACTGCCTCCCCTAAACCCATACTACAGTTCCCAAGAATGTGTATGCCTCTGAAAACAAACTAACTTAGAACTACCGGTATATATAAAACCCCCAAGCATTCACAGACACTGCTTGAAACTGCTGATCAATTTATAATTAAATCCATCCCCACTCAGAAAACACTTACTTAAAGGCACTGTTTCAGCCAAAGTACTTCTTATGCTATCTTGTTTATACAATATATATTGTGCATGATCAGGCAAAGTTAAGTACTTTTAAAATCCCACTGACTTAAGTAGGAGAAGTAAGCACTTTCCCACTGAAAAGAATGAGACTTAAATTAAATACAGCAATGCAATAACCACAATAATTGTTTGAAGCATTACAACTTCTTTTGGTCTTCTTCTAAATTGCCTATAAAAGTTTGCCAAGGTCATCCATCTAATTGAATTTTAGAGATTCAAAGTTGGCAGAAGCAAATTAGAATAATCATAGGAATGTGGGAATCATTATTGTTAGCAATTAATATGAGTAAAGGAACAGTAACCCCCCCGCCACTGCCGAGGTGTGCAATAATTTCTAGATTAGGTAAAGGGACCTCTGACCATTAGGTCCAGTTGTGGACGACTCTGGGGTTGCAGTGCTCATCTCGCTTTATTGGCCGAGGGAGCTGGCATACAGCTTCCAGGTCATGTGGCCAGCATGACCTTCGCTTCTGGCGAATCAGAGCAGTGCACGGAAACGCTGTTTACCTTCCCGCCGGAGCGGTACCTATTTATCTACTTGCACTGGCGTGCTTTCAAACTGCTAGGTTGGCAGGAGCAGGGACCGAGCAACGGGAGCTCACCCCATCGCGGGGATTTGAACCGCCAACCTTCTGATCAGCAAGCCTAGGCTCAGTGGTTTAGACCACAGCGCCACCCACGCCCCCAATTTCTAGATTATCTCCAAAACCATGCTCCCATTGTCATATGTTACTTGCATGCTCATGTAATATGTGATTAGACACACGGGTATGCCTTGTAAGAAGCAAAGTACCTTTGGCCACTGCTGCAGTTTGTAATATGAAAACATAGCACCGATACCAATCCTTCCCAATAAAGTTGTATCTGTCTCATTGTGACAAGGATCAGCCTTAACTAGAAAAGAAAAAAAACATGTTGCTTTAGATTTCTTGAAATTATGTTTTTAAATGGAGGAACTAGTTAAATGATTACTCATTCCCAAATGTGCCAATGTGACATTCATTCTGGGTAATAAATAATCTGAATTATTTCCTATGTAAACAGCTTTTTTAAAGACATACAATAAACGTAGCAGATTAGCAGGCTTCCATCTTCAACGTGCTTACTAGGTGGCATGTCTCATTGGACACAGTGGGACCACCGAGTTATTATGCTGTAACAGTTTTGAAGGGTGGCAAATAAGGTGGGAGAAAATGGCACCACCACACCACATATGGCCCATTTAAGGGACAGGAAACCAACACCATCAGTATGCAGCCAGTTGGTTGGTTCAGATACCATGTTAAAAGCTAAACCAAGAGTGGGGAACCTCAGACCTTGGGGCCAAATGCAGCCCTTCAGAACCTTCCCCAAGCCAAACCCTTTGCACCCTGAGTATTTTTTTACACCCGTTGCATCCTGAGTATTTGCATTCCTGGCTGGAATGTCTCCTGGAACTCTGATGGCTCTTATTTATCTGGATGGAGGATAGAGGGGGTATTTATGTGTGGGTTACTAAACTAGCTTACTGGGCCCCCCCCACACATTTGTTGCTCCACCCACTTTTGCCTCTGGCTCTACTCAACACTGGCATGTGGCCCTCTGAAGGCGGCCCATAAGGAAATGTGGCCCTTTGGCTGAAAAAGTTTCCCCATTCTTGTTTTAGATCATAAACGGCCCTGGGCTTGTTTCAATTAAGTCTACAGAGTTTAAGCAAAGTAATCAAAGTTTGGGCACGACAGTAAAGCGTGGCTAATTCAAAGTCAAAAGCAGGAGGTTTTTATTTCCTCTTCTTGCATGTGAAAGAGTACACAAGCCCAATGATTTCCATAGGTAGTACCTGGAATGTGATATTGTTTAGCTCTATGTCCAAATTGGCCTAGTGAGTGGCAATGTCTACTACTGTACGCCAGGATATCAGCCCTTCTTATCTTTTTACATTTGCAGTGCTGAGTGCTTAGTATTGTGGCAGCAATAACATAATAAGGTGCAGATTGTACCAGCTGCTCCCTGAATCCCATTAAATGTCCCTTGATGGCACAGTGCAGACTCTTCCCAGCTGGCCATGATGGCTTTGTGTGTTCTCCTGCCTGGAAATGCCTTATCAGATAACTTGTGGTTTGGCACCTTCTTGGCATGTCAGGGACACCCTTGTTTTCCCTGGGTTTCCATTTGCTCTCATGGGAACTCTGGGAGTGAGGACTTGCTTAAAAGGAACTGCCACATGCCTGACCAGGCCTTCCTCACTGAACTTCCTCATCTACCCTCCTATGGTTTAGTGCAGGGGTCAGCAAACTTTTTCAGCAGGGGGCCAGTCCACTGTCCCTCAGACCTTGTGGGGGGCCGGACTATATTTTGAAAAAAAGAATGAATGAATTCCTATGCCCCACAAATAACCCAGAGATGCATTTTAAATAAAAGGACACATTCTACTCATGTAAAAACACGCTGATTACCAGACCGTCTGCTGGCCGGATTTAGAAGGCATTTGGGCCAGATCCGGCCCCCGGATCTTAGTTTGCCTACCCATGGTTTAGTGCAAAGTTTCCCAAAACTGGGTCGCTAGCAGTTTTTGGATTACAACTTCCATCATCCTTATCTAGCAGGACCAGCGGTCAGGGATGATGTGGATTGTTGTCCAAAAACAGCTGGAAATCCTGGTTTAGTGCATTTCACTGAGGGTGCCATACTGGCTGCTGGTTTGTTCTCAATTGTACCAAGTCAAGTGTTTGGGAGGCTTTTGCCTTTCCTTCAGTAGAAAGCCTACTTTGCTAGGAGTTTGTTCTCTTTTGTCATAACTCTGGCAGAAATTGCACTGGGCAGAATCTCCAGTGTGGGGTGGAGCCTCATATGGGGTATTGGGGGCAATGTTTCAGGTCTCTGCCATGGCTCAGAGGCTCAGGCCTGCCATTGCTCACCAGAGGTTGCCAGTGGGATCCTAAATGCATGGCCTGTGCTATAGCGGGTTCTTGATGCTGGTTAACTCCCAAGTGCAATGCCTCAGTGGTTGTGCTAGGATGGGTTAGCAAACTTCAGGCAGGGCGTTTCGAATCAAGAACCAATCCTGCCCCACTGCTATGTCAACACCCACTTACCTGCTGCAAATAATGAAGTTTTGGCCTGCTTTTAAACATACATGTGTTTTGGTCTTTGCTCTGCTCCCTTGTCCACAGCCTACTGAACATGCCACACAATCAGAATATAAGGGTAATGGGTTGACTCCTCACACTGCAGATGAGGCACACATATCAGTGTTAGATGAACTTCTGTGGATGCACTTGTTAAAGATCTCTTCATGCCTGTGAAATTCCTCTAAAAAATCTCATTGGGTTGGTTTGCCTGTGAAATATTTGTGGTGGTGCAGCACTTAGAAGAGGACTTGGGGGTGATAGTGCTTGCTGAAATGGTATTTTGGTGAAGCACCCCTAACTTTTATTAAAGTTCCCTTTGCATGTGACTCCAGAATAGCGGGCAATATTGTACAAATTTTACCTGCAACTGCAAATTCACAAAAAGGAACGCCTGGTCTCTCTTCTGTCACTGAATCGGTCAGGATGTTAGCAATGCACAATGAGTACTTTTCAAGGTCACCAAAATTTTCACATCCACTTCTCACATTAACGTATAAAGTTCCCAGTTTGGCCCAGTCACCTTTTTCTTTGCAATGCTGTTCAAAAGTAATAAAATGTAAATAGAATTGTTCATAATTTAATATGATCACAAACATAGTAAACTTAATAAGCATTTGAATTTTTTCTTTTTAAATTGGAAGTGTTATCTCACTTTAGTAACTTGGGATTTGTTTGTAACTTTGTCACTGGGAAAATAGTAAATTTTATAAGATCTTTCACACCCAAAGCCTTCAAAATAGTTATTGTACAAAAAACTGAAAGATAAGTCTTCGAATTATTCTTCAAACAATACATATTGATCAGATATTATTCAGAGCTGTTCTTGCAAAATGCAATCCAATTTTCAAATAGGGAAATATATAATATTATCTAAAATGTACTGCCTTAAGCAGCTGACAGATACTTTACATTTTGTTTAACAGTAGCTTCATAGGGACATAGATGCTGAATACAAAGATATTTGGGTTTCTATTTAGCTTTTTAAACATATACAAAATGCAGCAATGGAGGTTGCAATCTACCTCAGGCTAGGCTGTGCTACTTGTTCCCCTTCAGTGGGTTTTCCAATGAAAACCTTGGATGCAGGTGCACCCACAACTTTTCTCTCCAGCAAAAAGCTGCCAAAAAGTCCAGTTTTCATCATGTGCAAGCCTAATACCATTCACATTTAGTACTTCCAAAAGCAGCTACCATCAGGACTGATTTCTTCAGGGAAGGATCTTCTTGGACAGGACTTATTAAGATCAACAGATGACTTTCTGTTCCAATTAAAAAGAGGATGAACAAGATGCAGTGCCATGAAGTCACCAGACACATTTGGCTGGCACACTGTATAAGCATTTGAGTCAAGCTTTCTGAGAAGCAACTATGGTTGGAAGGAAGGAAGAAAGGAAGGAAGGAATAATACTCAAGATTATGAAGGATGATAGTGTAGCGGTCAGGTGAACTGCAACTGCTAGCTAGGAGTGATGAAGCAATTAATCTTCAAGCTTTTCACACTGAATACTTAACAAATACTTCAATGTGATTTCTGAGACTGAAGTTTGGGGGACATTTAAGCAGGCTTTAGCAGTCCAGGTCCCTAAGTCTCTCACCGCCCCATTTATTTCTCCTTTTGGAAGGGAAAGTTATTTCCCTCCATATTTTTATGAATACTTAACCACCAAGAGCAAATATGCCATTCAAGCATTTAGCACCCCAATCGCCATGTGATATACAGAAGCAAGGTCTACTGATTCCAAGGTATATTTCTTCCATTTGATTTGATTAGTATTGAGATGTCCTCTCAAGCTTGCTTTTAAAACAATGAGTATATACTGTACCTGAAATTCTGCAACTGCTGAATCCAAGCCACAGAGGCTAGCCTTATGGAAATGTCTTGCCTGAAATCTTAGGAACAAGAGTTATCTGCTTTTGAGAAAGCTTCAAATTTAAGTTAACAGAAAAAGCAACAAGTGACTTTCTAAATAATTATATTTTGCTGCACTCCCCCCCCCCCCAAAGCATACACTGTGCAATCAAAATATGATCCAGGGGTTTTTTTATCTGCTGCATGGCATGGGTACTATTATGGAGGTCAAGGGAAGCAACTGCAGCATACAACAAAAGTGTGCACCTGGATACTTCATAGTGTTATATGTTTATGTGGTTCAGTGAGGATATCTTTGTGTTCCTTCCAGGCCTATTATGCTGTACATGTGAGGTTAGAATGTGTGAGAGAAAACCTGTGTGAGAGGAAACCAAACCAGTTCTTAAGTTAAGGTAATTGCCTTAGCTAACCAGTTAATTACTTCCATTTACATGTCCAAAGAGGTTGCTCTGATCTCACAGACACAAATGTGTGGGGTCTTTTCCCACCTCACCTGGCTGTATGCTACATCACCCTAGGGCAGATAACAATAGGCAAAGGGGGGAAGGCTGTGTGCGAGAGTGTTCGGGCCCCTGCTGGACGCAGAGCTATGTCCTGGGGATCTCCCTCAGAACCTAATGGGGAGGCAAGGTCTGTTGGAATGTTAATACTGTGTGAGCCCTTCCATCCTATGCTCAGCTTGTATATATGTAAATAAAACCATATATTCTAAAGACGCCAGAGTCTCCACTGACCTTCATTCTAAGGAAACTGAAGCCTGGGCAAGCACTGGTACTGCTGGAAGTCTCTTGCCACTTGGAGTTTACACAACAATAATACAGCAAAAGGTTTGAGGGCACAGCCTTCATAATACTTTAAAAAATGGCAGATGAAGGATGCTGACAATGCTTACCATAATGAGGGTCTAACAGTGACATTACCCAAACAGCATCTCCCTCCTGCTTCCCTATTCTCCTACCTGTTGTGGCCTCTGATTTTGTCCCTACAGCCTAAACAATTACCTCTTTCTACTCCTAAATTTACCCAACAACTCTGTATACTTACTGGGGATTGTGGTAAGCATAACCAAGTGTAGCTCATTAATTACAGTACTTAGTTGGGTTTCACTCCAATTCCTCCTTCCTCTGTCCACAGGCTCCAATAGAAAGTTCAAGTCCCAGTTCAGATGCAATGACAATGGTTTGTTTATTAGGTGGAAGATTAGGATTATGCACTGTAATGAAGGACTTCCAGGGTTTCTTAAACCGTAGCTTCTCTCTTGCATCCAAACTGGGAAACTGGTTTAACTAGGATCTGATCCTGGTTTCATATCCTAGCTTGTACAGTGGTGCCTCGCAAGACGAAATTAATTCGTTCCGCAAGTTTTTTCTTCTTGCGAGTTTTTCGTCTTGCGATGCACGGTTTCCCATAGGAATGCATTGAAAATCAATTAATGCGTTCCTAGGGAACCGACTTCAGACCAGGTCCGGGGACAGTCTGTCCCCGACCTCTTCTGAAGGCTGGGGGGGACAAGGGCTTTCTTCCCACCCCCAGCATTTTAAAACCCCGGGCCCGCGGAGAGCTTCGCCGCTGTCCGGGGCGCTCTTACCCTGCTGGCGGGCGGCAATTTAAAATTGCCCCGGGACAGCGGAGGACTTCTCCGCTGTCCGGGGCAATTTAAAGCCCCTGGGAAGGCAGGCAGGGGGACAAAGACTTTGCCCCCGCCAGCCTTCAGAAGAGGTCCTGGACCTCTTCTGAAGGCTGGCGGGGGCGAAAGTCTTGTCCCCCCACCTGCCTTCAAAAGCTGTCCAGCCAAGGCTTCGCGGACCTCTCCGCAAGCAGCGGCAGCACTGCCGCTGCTCGCGGAGAGTTGCCGGCATGCCGAAGCCTGCGCGCGCTGAGATCAGCGCGCCCAGGCTTCGCGGACATCTCCGCGAGCAGCGGCAGCGCTGCCGCTGCTCGCGGAGAGTTGCCGGCATGCCGAAGCCTGCGCGCGCTGAGATCCGCGCGCCCAGGCTTCGCGGACCTCTCCGCGAGCAGCGGCCGCGCTGCCGCGGCTCGCGGAGGGTTGCCGGCATGCCGAAGCCTGGGCGCGCGGAGATCCGCGCGCCCAGGCTTCGCGGACCGGAGATTTACCTATGGGCGTGCGTCTTGCGAAGCAAGCCCACAGGAAATTCGCTTTGCGAAGCGCCTCCAAAACGGAAAACCCTTTCGTCTAGCGGGTTTTTCGTCTTGCGAGGCGTTCGTCTTGCGGGGCACCACTGTACTCTAAGGTCATACTACAGTCCCCATGTTTGGATATAAAGAAGAACTATGGTTTAATAAACTGAGACCTAATTGTGGAGCATCAGAGAAAGGAGGAAGCACATACAGTGGTACCTCGCAAGACGAATGCCTCGCAAGACGGAAAACTCGCAAAACGAAAGGGTTTTTGGTTTTTTGAGTTGCTTCGCAAGACGATTTTCCCTATGGGTTTGCTTCGCAAGACGGAAACGTCTTGCAAGTTTGTTTCCTGTTTCTTAAATCCGTTAATACAGTTGCGACTTGACTTCGAGGAGCAACTCATAGCACGCGGTGTGGTAGCCTTTTTTGAGGTTTTTGAGGACTTTGGTGATTTTTGAAGCTTTTCCAAAGCTTTTCCGACACCGTGCTTCGCAAGACGAAAAAAATCGCAAGACGAAAAAACTCGCAGAACGAATTAATTTCGTCTTGCGAGGCACCACTGTAAGCAAATTCTCATTTTGGGTTTGATAAACCATACTTGATTAGACCAAGATTGTTATGGCTGAACCAGACATAAAAGTTCAGAAATGGGAGATCTTTATCACATTGTATGTACACATTTGAAAGTGATATTGCCAAACTTTGTTCTTCATTTCTGTTCATCCTAAGAAAACTCCACGGACATAAAAAGGGAGAAGCTTTGAGAAGAAAGTGAGAGTTTCCAAGGCATGCTCTGGTTCATGCGGTCATGGAGAGTCAAACACGACTAAGAAGACTAAACAACAACAAAACAAAGCATAAGAGCCCCCAACGGCAGCTTCCAAAATAAAAAATAAATAAAATCAATAATATAACCCAATATTCAATATTGTCATCTTGTTGAGATCGAAAAATAGTTTATAAAATGCGTAGACTGGCATTTTATGGCACAAGTAGCTGAGAAAATATATCTTATATTTTAGGTTTAATACAGATTACATAAGAGAAGAACATACCTGGACAAAAAAATAGCTTGTTCTTGACTGGAAATTTGTAGTTGGTTTAGGAATGTGGTGATGCAGCCAATGTGCTCGTCTTTAAAAACCATTCCACCATCACAAAGCTATGACAGGAAGGAAATAAACCCCAAAGCACCAAAAACCTGAATATCACTGAAGACTTCCTAAGCAATTCTATGTTTACAGTGTTCTGTACAAGTGATTAACAATAGACAGTTAAGTAATACATCTATGTATAAAGCAGTGTTGGGCAACTGGCTTTCAAAATCCCGCTGCAAGTGATCAGTTCTGTTATCTGGCATGAGTGATCTTTCCTTCCCCAAGCAGAGAAAGAAAAGGGGTTGGGTTCAGGGTTCACCCATTGTCAGCATTTCCCACCAACAAAATATTAGCCCTACTGTATGCGACCCTCAACAGCAAAGGGGTTGCCAATCTCTAGTATAAAGCCTTATATAACATATGCTCTGGGGATAAGGGAAAACTGGTGAAAGAATTCTATAGCTAAATGGATTTTGGAGGCAACAGCATTTCCAACCTCCAGCCAAATTCTGTCTAATTCACAGTTGCACTGACTCATAGGGAATTATACTATTCCTATGGTAAAGCCAGGGCATATCATAACATGAAGCACTCACTTCAGGCAACAGATTTTAGTTTGGATGCCAATTTTGCGCCTCCTGCTAGTAGACCTCTGTGTTATGTAAGAAGGGTGTAAATTTTGATTTTTTTTTTCTTGAGTTATAAAATGCCTAAGGTTAGTCCTAGGACTGACCGGGTTGAGTCTTCTAAATACTATGATGTTATAGCCTTTGCAGAGGCCTACAGAAGAAGCTAGTACGTGACAGAGCTTATGATCATGTAAAGGGATGACCCAGAATTCTATAAATCTTCAGATTCTATGAATCTGTCCAAATTCTCCAAATCTTATACCGATTTACAGTACAAAATTCAGCTGCAATCCTCCATGCTCCCATTATATATATTTTTTTAAATTCTTTCTCCCTTGTATTCAAGAAAGCATCTTTCCAAACATACGAAGTCCTTAATATTACAGGAACAGGAACACCTCCATGGCATTCATAACTTTAGTCAGTTTTAATCATCTGAAGAAACCGCCCAGTGAACTTAGTTATATAAATAGTAATGTAACAAATAAATGGGAATTATATATACCACCTTGAGTTCACTGGAGAAAAAAGGTGGAATATAAATGCAGTAAACAAACAATAGCTTAGTATATTATCTACAAGGCTGATACTATTTCTTGACTTAACTTTTTAATTCTATGCGTATTGACTGTGGATGGTAGAATGTATTTTCAATAAATATGCTCTATGTTCATATACAGTCATACCTCAGGTTGCGAACGCTGCAGGTTGCACGTTTTCGGGTTACGGACCGCACCAAACCCGGATGTACCAGAACGGGTTACTTCCAGGTTTCGGTGCTCACGCATGTGCAGACGCGCAAAATGACGTCATGCGCATACGCAAAAGCGCCGAATCGCGTCACGCGCAAACGTGGCGGGTTGCAACCGTGCCTCCTGCACGGATCACATTCGCAACCCGAGGTATGACTGTAACTTTCTTTTGGAGTCAGTTTTTAAAAGGGGTTGACCTTTGGACCCACAATCTTCAGGATGAGAAAGCATAAAATAAAATAAAAATGAACATAATTTATGTGATTGATAAGACATGTAGAAGCAGCAGATAAATTTATGCAGAAGGCAGAATGACATTTAAGATAGAATCAAATAATCAAAGTCATACCTTACAAGAAATGTCAATTAACTCAGGCACTAGGACTCTTAGTTTCATGGACGCCACTTGCTCAAAGACATTGAGGAGAATGTCTACAGTTGGCTAAACAAAAATGCCTTAACATTAGAGCTAAATATATTAGCTGTAATTAACAGAACTTCAAGGAACAATTTCAATCTGAAACAAAACACCTGACTCTCATATAGATGGCTTCCAAGAGTTAATCATTACTCCATGGCATGTGGTTGCCACTTCTGAGTGACTGGGATACTGCATCTGTGCAGTATCACCTGTCCTGGCGAACCTCAAGCACTGGACAGGCAATGTGATAGTGGTGTAGGAAGTTAATTCTCTGTGGTGACCGCCATGACTGCAGCAATTGGGTGGTTGATTGGTGGCTGCGGCAAGGGCTGCTGCTGTGCCAATTGGGCAGACGCTTCTCTGCTTCTGTGATGTGGGCGATTAGCAGCGTTTGTCAGTCTGGTGAGTGATTTTCGGCATTCCTCCCCCCAAAAAGCTCAACAACTCTGGGCAAACTCCCCCCCATTTTCTTAAATTGTAGTCCCCGAAAATAGGGGGCGTTTTATAGACAGAAAAATACGGTATCTTCCAAACAAGTGATTTTTTTTGGGGGGGGGGTACTTGATCTTAATAACAACTTAGGTTTAAAAAGACTAATAAATGTATTGTTTCACGAGCTGTTGTACGACTGAGCCAGCTTCCTCAGTGTCATGAACTTTTCTGGGTATTGCGTGTAGGTATATGCTCAGATGAGGAACCAAAGTTCTGCTGCCTGCTTTCTACCTATAGTGTTTCTCCAAGAGAGTTTGGCTTCAAGAGGAATCAGGCCCGACTCAGCCATTTCCAGCTAGTAGACTCCCGATTACATCAGCTTCCCAGGGAAAGGGCTTAAAAGAAACACTGTCTTGGGTGGTGGCCCCCCCAAAGGGAGAAAAACAAAAGGGATCATCTTCTTCATCTTTTTACTGAATTACAGCTAGTCTGTAAGGTATGATTGGCTGACATGCCATTACACAAGGGAGTGGTGCCTGCCGACCTGAAGGAAGCAGTGATGCAACAACTCCTAAAGAAATCACATATGCCGATTTCCTGGCAACTACTGGCTGAACACTAATACTCCCGCTTTGAGGCAGGTAACCAAGAGGATTGTGGCACTTCAGTTACATACATTCTTGGACAAGATGCATTATCTGGACCAGGGGTTGTCAACCTGCTCTCTACCGCCCACTAGTGGTCGTTTCAGGATTCTAGGTGGGCGATAGGGGGTTCTATGGCACAAGCTGAATCCTCCTTCCATCGAGCACTGGTGGGAGGTAAGGACATTTTACCATCAAGAAAGATGCATTAGTGGGTGGTAGGTATAAAAAGGTTAACTAGCCCTGATCTAGACCTATTTCAGTCTGGGTTCAGGCTTGCTTTGAGACTGATTTAGGCTGCATCCACACTGCAGTGCATTCCGTTTTCCTTATGTTTCCGTTATTTTGCACGTTATACTTGAGCTTTCACACAACGTAAAAGCCACTTCCAGAAAACTAATGGAATGGACTACATTGCAAGTTTAGTTTTCAGCCCGCTCAACCCAGAAAATCAAAGGAGTTTTACATAGCAATTTTGTCTCTCCTCCCTGCCCCACTTTAACATTTTTGGCTCTTGTAGATTTTTAAAAATTATCTTATGATTTCCAAATTAATAGCTCAGAATCAAAACCCAAGAAAACAAAATTGAGAGCTTATTAAGATAAACACATGACAAGTCATTATATAATGAGTAAGAAGGCCTTTTAAGCTGCAGTTGTATACCCATTTCCTCAATGGGACTTACTTCTAGGTAGACATATATAGGCTTCACTAATAAAAAATACCAAGTTACTTACCAGTATTTTAATCATTATGCTAGTGCGGAATACATGAAATAACTCTTTCAGCAAACAGCACTGGAGCAAAGATGTTAGCAGGTTATTTAGTATTTGTGAATCCAAGTGCTTTTCAGGAACACCATTTCTGCAGTAATCTGTAAATACCTGGGCTAGAAAAAAATGGGAAATTTAAGTGTGAAATTGTTTTATGTAGCATACTACTGAAACATTAATTAACACCTTTTTAAAAGGCAAAAATGAGTAAAAATGAAGCACTGAAAATCTATTTTACTGGGCAAGTGCATTTATAATGTTGAGAGCAGTACCTATGAACATATGAAAAGCTCCTTTATTTCTCATCAGCATTATTTCATAATCTGTTGAATGAAAATAGCTGTACCAAATTTTGTTCCTTTCCTTTACAACAATTGTTCTAGCACATCTTGGAACCGAAAATGCTCGCATCCCTAGTCAAGCCCAACGAAGAATTAATTTAGCACTTTAATCTGTAGGCCACATTAACATTTACTGGTTCATAACTTCACCTAACCAGGGGACGCGGGTGGTGCTGTGGGTTAAACCACAGAGCCTAGGACTTGCCGATCAGAAGGTCGGTGGTTCGAATCCCCGGGACGGGGTGAGCTCCCTTTGCTCGGTCCCAGCTCCTGCCAACCTAACAGTTTGAAAGCACGTCAAAGTGCAAGTAGATAAATAGGTACCGCTCCAACGGGAAGGTAAACGGCGTTTCAGTGCGCTGCTCTGGTTCGCCAGAAGCGGCTTAGTCATGCTGGCCACATGACCCAGAAGCTGTACGCCGGCTCCCTCGGCCAATAAAGCGAGATGAGCACCGCAACCCCAGAGTCGGTCACGACTGGACCTAATGGTCAGGGTCCCTTTACCTTTTTAACTTCACCTAAAATGAGAGAGGGATAGTACCTACTAAAGCAAACACCTCAGGAAGGATGACTCAATATGTACAATATCCAAAAGAACCTTATTGTGGGGAGCATATTGGGAAAACACAATTTCCCTCTCAACAGCGAAATTCACTACCTTGAAAAATGTCATCTAGAGCTTCTGCAACAATTCATCTGCATATTATTGTTTTTTAAAAAGAATTAAATTAAATTATGGTAGGGCCTTGGTCCCATATACATATGTCCCAATAATGATAATAATACTTCCTGTTTCAGCACTGAAGTACTAATATAATAAAGCCCACAAACCAAAGAACTTTAAGCGCTTATACCACACAAAAAACTCATTCAGGTTAGAATTCTAGTTCTGAATAGAGTTCCAGATCTAAGCAGAACTATCCTCTTATTTGGTTACCGGCTTTTGCCTTTATGATCTACATATTAGATTAACTATCAAAAACTATTTCAGCAATGCTGTGCTAGGATACATGTTAAGAAACTATGCAATGTTAACAGCCAAATTTCTACTCAACTGTATAATGGAATGTATTATGTGGTCTGTTACATATGGCACCGTCAATCTTCAAGCAAAACCTATATTTTGTCTTATAATTGTGATTATATCATACCTGCACGCTGCAACAAAACCTCTTCACCAATACTTATATATGTATTAAGTATTTCAGTGAAAAGCTGGAAAATAAAATAAAACCACAAATCTATTATAAATATATTACAGATAAACTTGCTATCTATTACAAGCGTATTACAAGTTTCCAAAATGTGAGCATCCACAAATGCAAATAATTTTGAAGTACACATTGATCTATATTTAGTAAAGCTAAAAAATAATAATCAATACATATTAAACTGTAGCTAAGAGTTAGATGTGGACAAGAGTGTAAAGCATGAATAACTTCCACATGGAACTGCAACAATTGTTTTACCATTATTACCATACCTGTGCACAACCTTTTGCTTAGTATACTAGCCAAACCCATTGTTTGTGGTTGCCACCCCACCCCGCACTTTCCCCAGGCATGGGTAGAGAACCCAGGAAATAAAGGAATGTTTTGTCCTTGTATTGGGCTTACGCTGAAGATGCAAGCAGCACATTGCTGCTAAGGAATAGTGTAAAAACCCCATAGGAACCCTCACGCTGTTCATGGAGAAAAAGCATAGTTTCTTTCACTTCCCATTGTGCATTCTGCTGGAGGCAACAGCAGTTAAGGCCAGCATTTTCTGCAAAAGCCAGTTCACAGGTTACATTTGAGGTGGTATTAAAGTTTTATCTGTGCCGTCTTATTTGATGGCTGCGTTCACAGATCACCAATGGGTTCTGCAGTCATCAAGCAATGAACATGTGTATGTCTCTCAGGCCAGAGAATTCTCTGATTACTCTGTTAATGACAATCTTATCCTGGAGATCTGATAAAGGCCTCACGTATTTTGTTCTTTAACCGGAGAGCACCAACCAAGTATTTACAAAGAGAAGAAACACACAGTTTTTACCTTTTCATTTTTTGGTGCAAGTGAATGTGAATACCGGCAATTTGCTCTCTGACAACCATTCAATGTGTTGAAATGAATTCTGCAGACTCCACGGGGTAGATAACTCAATCCTAGGTAAGTCTGCAATGCAACCAGAGAGAAGTCTTTCATTTCCCTCTCAGAATTCTCATTTGAAAACCAAAAAAACACATTTGGTACACATATTTTGGGATTTATGTGCATTTAGCAGGGTATGGACTACTTCACACATAGCACAAAGTGTCATAGTTTGATTAACCTAACAATGGTTTACTTGAATGTACAAACCTAGCCCAGCAAACTAATTATAGCTTATTTTTCTACCAACAAACCATGAGGAGAAACCATGATTTGCTATTGGCTTATGAAGCATGGCTTGTTTCTGAGGGAGTGGGTACATTGCTTGGGGGTACTACTGGATCCTTTGCTGTTGCTTGAGGCTCAGATGGCCTCAGTAGCGTGGAGTGCCTTTCATCAGCTTTCAAGCTAGCAGATTTGGGACTGAGAATAAGAAGAGAGGCTTAGAATCAGACTTGTAGAGTTGGAAGGGACCCTGATTATGCTAAATTTTCAAAAATTATGAATCAAATGTCTCTAGCAGTTATATACCTTAAGTCAGAAACTTTATATAAAAGCAGGACAGTTGAAAACAGGATGACTAAAGCCTATGAAAGAGAAACCTCAAACAAGCATGTAAATTGCATCTAACTGTTTAAAGCTGTTTAAATAGCTTTAAATGGTTGTTAACAATGTAAATGCTTAAATGGTAGCTAAGCTTATGCTTAGTTGCAGAAATTTATGAATTTTAAGGACTTACCATAACATTTTTTTTTAAATTGTTGGGATATGATGGCTGCAAAAGAGGACCTTTCCCTGAGAACCTGAAATCTAAGATTGAAGAAAAAAACCCTCCTAAACTGAATGAAATAGCCATATGTCATGATTATACATTATAAACTTCACTTATCTTATCCCAGAGATGACTGACAACTAAAGTTTTCATTTCCTGTCTACTGACAAGTTAAACTCTTTTCAAGTACCATGAGTAATAACAAATCTTAAATGAAATTTGCCACACTGGAAGGCAAATTCTGCAATTTTCAAACTGATTCTGTGTCAACGTAACAAAGAGTGATTTCTTTATGTTGATATTGCATCTATGCAGGAATACTGTACACCTTAACACATACATTTTCTTTTATGTATGCTTTTTCAGATGTTAAAGTATATAGACAGTGGCCTGGTTCACACACAACTCTAAATCATGGTTTGTTTAGCCAAAGTGTGTTTGTTCAAATATCTGGACCCTGCCTATCAGATTAGCCATGGTTTTCTAGCAGCAAACCATGATCTGAAGCAAAGATCTGTTGTTACCTTATAAACCACTGGTTGTTTAACTACATTTTAGAGCCATGTCCTAACCAAACAGACTTGCTTAAGCATGGTTTGTTTTGCCACCCCACCTTAGACACTTGCCAAGCTAGAGGAGGAGTTGTGGTTGGTTATATTATTATATATATGCCAACAGTCAGTGTACTACATTGATATCTTACACACAAGTAATGTATTTTTGGAATTATTTTGTGTGTAGCTGTTCTTTTGGTCATATAGTTCTTTAACATCCTAAGAGAAGTACAAAACTATTTGGAAGAATTAAATGGTTTTACTAGTAGGGTAGCAAACTTGTGGTCCTCCATGTTGTTGGACCCACAACAGTACTCCTTCAACAGCCTTTAAACTTGTTGTTTGATGATTATGTATTTTTACATGCATTCCTATATTCCCAGAGGATACAATACCTCTGTGTTAAAAAAAGTGAGAGGAATGCTTCATTTTAACTATGAAATTCTGTAATTTATTTTAAGTCTTTGAAGGATGTCTCAACATAAGGAAAACTTTGGGCTATTTCAATACCCCATTCTGACTTCTGGGGTGACAGCCTTTGAAATATTTTGAATTCTATTGTAAAGCTGTAACTCTGAAGAATCCAAGTAGGCATGATTAGATACACAGAAAATGTAGTTCTGGTCACATAGGGTCAAATTTAGACATTAAAATCATTTGGGCTCTTTGACTGCAATAGGATCTGGCCTGCACCCTACTTTACACGCATGGCCATGTTTCTCAAGATTTTATCTAATCAGGATCTAACTCAATATGGTGACTAGAATCCAAAACGTGTAAGGACACTAGTGGAGGTTCATTGTGTGTTTTTTACTCTCTGAACGCAAACCTCCTGCCATAGCAAACTACTTTTGAAATTTCCTTGTTTTCAAAAACAGTTTTGTAATGCCAAAGCTTTCTTGAGTGCAGAGAACTAGTTACATGGTTCTCTGAGTCTTGGCCAATGAAAACAGAAATGGCACTCGAATGTTATCCTAAATATTCATAATAATGCACTGATTCAGTAATTTATTTCACTGTCATCTTTAGATTTTGTTTAGCTAACTTTCCACAGTATTTTAATTAGATGGCCATTTTAGCTAAACAAAGATGCATTTATATTAAATCTCAACTAACGGTTGCCTTGGCATGGGCAAATCTAGAGTACAATTAAGCTAAGAACCCTCTGATCTGGATACAGAAGGTAGAACTAAGTGAAACAGGCAACAGAAAGGAAACTCCAGATGTTAATTCCAAGCTTTAATACAGAGTCACCCTACTTTTCCTAGGTTGGATTTTAACTTTTATAAACATAAAGTAACAAGCACACCCATCCACATACATTTGCATCAGGTACACAGACATCATGGCCAAACCATTTATGCCTCTGGAATGTGCTGTGGGCTCACACACTCCTGCCTCTTCCAACACATTGTTTATGTCATGGTTTGCAGAAACCAGTTTGTTGCCACATTTGAACTGGGAAAACTATGGTTACCACTACCACCAGAATCCACTGCCCACTTCAGCTGTGGTTTAGACTGTGGTTCCCACAGAATGGAAAGGACCTTTAAGGATTACCTAGTCCAAGCCCTTGCAATGCAGGAATAGGCAGCTGTCCCTTATGGGGATCAAACCTGCAACCTTGGTGTTATCAACACCACTCTGTAACCAACTGAGCTTTCCAGCATGGGCAAACTATGGCTAGCAGTAATAGCTTCAAATATTATGAGATTATGGCTGTGAGCCAGGAAATGGAGGACATCAGCACACATGAGTGAGCCCACAGGTTTTTCCTGCAAACCAAATCCTGTCAATGAAATAGACCTTTATACAGACACAGAAAAGTAGCACTGTAGTACCATAAAACAAAATGTGTAGGTATTTTGAACTAATACAATACCATTCACCCACGGTTTCACTGCTGTGATTTGCTGCCGGGGATCAGTTTTCATAGCAGGAAGTGTCAATTCTAGCTGATGATCATGGCTCATAGATTCAATGTATTGAGCCCTCTCACTAAATTCCAAATGAGGAAAAAGATGCTTATTTGACTAATAATACAAAAACTTTATATCTTTTATTTAAAAATTAGCACAATAAAGTAAATTATATTTTCTATACCCAAGCACACCTCCCTTGTGGAGGAGAGGAGGCTGCTCCTACTGATTGCAAAAATACACATAGCAAGTGAGCTGGGAACGAGAAGAAATGTGAGCAGATAGATGGGATGAACTGGGCATAGCATTTATCACTTCTGGATCAGTACCATCTAAATGGCTGTAACATGCCCTGGGACCAGCTGATGAGGCAATAATTTTTATTATTATTAATCCTCCTCCAATGAATATATTGGTTAGGGTTCTGCTCCACAGCACTTGTGTTGTGACATTCCAAAATGCTCCATGCTATTTTACATCTATGTAAAATCACTAAGTGACGCCATACACCAGGGGTAGGCAACCTAAGGCTAGGGGGCCAGATGCGACCCAATCGCCTTCTCAATCCGGCCTGCAGACGGTCTGGGAATCAGCGTGTTTTTACATGAGTAGAATGTGTCCTTTTATTTAAAATGCATCTCTGGGTTATTTGTGGGGCATAGGAATTCATTCTTCTTCTTTTTTTCCAAAATATAGTCCGGCCCACCACCTGGTCTGAGGGATGGTGGACCAGCCCATGGCTGAAAAAGGTTGCTGACCCCTGACATACACTGTTCTGGAGCGACAACCACCCAGTAATATTTCTCCTTTTCAAACTCAGATGAAGTGGTCAATGTGCTCAATAGGTGGCAAAGATCAGTAATAGACTAGAAGGTGAGCAACCTGCAGTTCAATCTAAGCAGGACAAAATTACTACTGACAGGCTGCTTGCGTGAATTGAGAAGTGGCCTTTCAACACGTTCTGTATCAAGTTGCTGTTAAACCCTGCACTAACTGTTGATGCTTTTCATGCTATGGCATGAATTGCCTTCCAGCAACTGCAAAAACATGGGCAGTTATTATTAAACTACTGTGAATGCATTGCACATGGGGCTGCCTTTAAAGACTGCTCAAAACCTCAACTGGTTCATAATACTGCTGCTTCAATTACATATCAAAACTGGTCAAGTGGAACATCTTGCCAGTTTTAACACAGTTCCAATGGCTTCAAGTACGGACTTCTCAAGAATGGCTTCAATTCAACATTCATTTTAAGGTATAAAGAAATAAATAAAATACTGTGGGAAGAGGTTATTTGTTTTGGTTTGTGACTATGTGATGTATTTTTGTGTTTTTATATCCAAAACTGCCCTGCGATTCTTGGATGAAGGGTGGTATAGGAAATTAAATATAATATAATATAATATAATATAATATAATATAATAATACAATACAATACAATACAATACAGCTTGATACCCCGGTAGCTTAAAGGACAATTTGCTAGGCAGGTGGGGAAAGGCTCATTTTGTTTGTGGTGCCTCAGCTCTATAATGCTCTCCCCAAGGAGAGCTTCTGAACAGCCATTTTATCTCTAACTTCTACGTGTCTAATCTTGAGTATAAGACCAGAGAAAAAGGTTTGAAGATAAAATGTCGTCCTTTCACTTAACTAGGACTACTTAAACTCATACACACATTTTTGCAGTGTCCTGAATCTCTGCTTCTTCTTTCACAGTCGAAACTTTGTACTGTAAGATTAAAAAGGTTGTAATTCAGTTAAAATAAACAGAAACTCATGATTCATTTAATAACTTTCTCTTTTTGTTCATAGAATATTCAAGCGGAAGAAGTATGGTTGCTGTTTATGGTTCTACAATTTCTACAATGTCTAAGTCCAACTCCCTATTGCAGGATGTCCTATTTATGAAACAATACCAACAAAAGCCTACCAAAGTCGTCTTCAAATCTAGAATGGAAGGAAGTTCCATGGCTTCCCTCTATAGCTCACAGTATTGCTAGACCCATAAGTTAATAAAAGAACAAATCATTTTTTAACGTTCATCCAATTTCCTTGCTTTGCTTAATTTTGATTTACACACTTAAGATTCACAGCACAGTTTCAGATTTATGAAAGAGAAATTAAAAGTACCATGCTGGTTTACAACAGTACATCTAATCTCATTGTATTAAAACAGCATACAGATATCTCTAAGGCTAGGCATAGGCAAACTTGGCAAACTCAGATATTTTGGGACTACAACTCCCATCATCCCTAGCTAACAGGACCAGTGGTCAGGGATGATGGGAGTTGTGGTCCCAAAACATCTGGAGGGCAGCCTAAGGCTGTAACCCGATGCACACATAATTGGAAGTTAGAACTGCCCAATTTCAGTGGGACTTACTTTTAAGTAAACATGCATTGGATTGTGCTGTATGTAGTGCAATTTACTACAGTACTTGACAAAAGTTCTCTCAAATAAATGACACTCTTCTGCAACACTACCTTTTATAAACAAAAAATTAATTCACTTCAGTACCTTTTCATTTGTGTTAGAACTCTTTAAAACATCATCTGATTCGCTCAACTGCCCATCCTCAAAACAGGATTCAGCTACACCTCCTGTAGAACTTATTCCACATAGGAATTCTGATTTACTTCCATCCACTGGAAAAAATGCAACACATACTGCTGAAACATAGTAAAATTAAGAACAGAATGCTTAACTATGAAGTTGGGCATATCACTGGTGAGCTTTTTAAATGATGACCCTTCTTACAAAGTATGCAGTAGTACTGTACTAGTACTGTCCAGTCGCGGGCGACTCTGGGGTTGTGGTGCTCATCTCGCTTTACTGGCTGAGGAAGCCGGGGTTTGTCCGCAGACAGCTTCCGGGTCATGTGGCCAGGAGCTCACCCCGTAGCAGGGATTCGAACCACCAACCTTCTGATCAGCAAGCCCTAGGGCTCTGTGGTTTAGACCACAGCACCACCCGCGTCCCTTTAACATTTAAGAGTAGACGCTGTTTAACACTTAACTCCCCCTGCACAAGTTGTCATTTTCTCCTTAATGTTGCATTTTTAAATTCCTGTTCTTACCTTCTGCCAGTGGAACACCAACATCTGTGAAAGACTCCAATATTCCATCATACTGAATGGGATCTTCTCTGTAAGCAAGAAAATTTTACAAAATGTTAACAACTACCCTTAACAATCTGGGTCATGAGTTCTTTTGCCTAGAGTTCCTAGCACCATAAACTGTTTTTGAAAATGGGGCCTATTCAATCTAAGCCCCTTATACCTATCAATAAGCTCAGGAGGAAAATTTGATGACAATATTTGAATTTGCATTGTTATCATAGGACCCATTACCTCCCTGAAGGAACAAAGCAATTCTAAAAGCAATTCTCCAAGAAAGGTGAAAGGAAGTTCCTACGAGAGTTTGAAATCAAGTAAGATTCCTGAGACTGGTCCTATAAAGGAAGCTGGAGATTGGTTTGGGAGTTTAGATAAAAAGAATAAGGAGAGAATCCATAAGAATGTCCCCTTACTTGATTGTTTCCAGCCACTTAGTTCAATAAATGACTACGCCTATAGGAGATCCTCTCTTGGGATATTGCAAGATAAGAGATGTAAACCGTTGGGACTACCTTCAGTCCTTTGACATTATGGGACCCCAGCCCTGTCTTGTTTGTGAAATAGAAATAGTAGCAAACTTTAAATAACTCCTGCTGACCCATCTATTTAAACAGGTTTACCCTTGCTCATTAGATTCATCACACTGCTGTTTAGCAATTATTGATATTTAACTGAATGTTTTAATAATAAACTCTCTTTTTACTGAAGAATTTATTTGTAATTATGGTTACAATGCTGTAAACAGCTTTATCTTTTCCTTTTTAATCTTATTGTGTTTTATGCAAACCACTTGGGTATTTTGTATATTAAGCAGTATATAAATATAGTCATACCTCGGGTTACAGACACTTCGGGTTGTGCGAGTTCGAGTTGCGCACCACGCTGAACCCGGAAGTACCGGAATGGGTCACTTCCGGGTTTCGGCGCTTGCGCAGAAGCGCTAAATCGCGCTTTACGCATGCGCAGACGCTGCGGGTTGCAAACATGCTTCCTGCACGGATCACATTCGCAACCCGAGCGTCCACTGTATTAGAATAAGAAACACAGACTTCCGGGGTGGCGCCATCGGCAATGGCGGACTCCCTCTGAAGTGGAGGGACCAGCTCCACGGGAATCGGGTCCTTTCCGCTACGGCGAAGCGGGGACCCATTCAAAAATCACAGGCGGATGAAGCCTGTGACCATGGGACTCGGCGGGCACCTTTAGCGCCCCCCCAACCCGCTAAGGAACCCACTAACGGGCTCCGGAGCGAAGAGGGGGAAGTGGCGCAGTGCTGAGAGTCAACTGCTTCTTCCGTGGAGCAAAGCCGCACAGCCGTTGCCGGAGAGCGCTGCCTTTTTCCTGGGACAATTTGGCTTTTAAAACAACCACCCGTGAGTACTTAAGTTTCGGACAATTGGACTCTAAATAAGGATTTGTGAGCAGAAAGGAAAACTGGACTTAAAAGTTTAATTTAATTTGGCACTGAAACGGGAAGGTCTAAACAGGAAGTCAGCCTTCTGTTTCTTTGTAGATAGATTAAAGCAAAGACACAGCAAACTAAAGTTCTGAAAATCGCTTCTAAAGGATTAACTTTCATCATTTAAAATTGTGGAACCCCCTTCGGAAGCAGGAGAAGAGGGGGGATTTTTTCTGGACTGTTTAAACCTGCAGAAGTGAGTGTAAAGTAAAGTAACTTTCCACCGTCTTGATCCTGGAGCGGGGTGTCAAGACTGATGTTCTTTGAAGCTCATTGACCAGAGACAAACGTTTTTGACAGATAGCTAAAGGAAGAGATACATAGTGATTCCATTGTTCCCCTTCACATTTTAAAGGAACAAATATTGACAAAAGATCTGAAAAAGGAAACTTTGTTGTTAGATTTGTTTTTAAAAGAAAAGAACAAGCAGAAGTTTTTCCCCTAGAGGGAGCCTGTGAAACTCTAACCAATTTTGAATCGGGAAGCTCGCAGCTGTTACAGATTACGATCGTGGGAATAGACTTCTGACCTTGCAGGACAATGTATTCAGAAGCTCTGTTGAGTGCTTTCTGTAAAACAAGTGCCCTACTGGAACAGCTACATGAGAAGACGGATTTTATGACTGATGCGATTAGAAATTTTGGACAGGCAGTGGGATATTATATAGAGCCCACCCAGGAATTAGATCAGGAGTGTGCCCTGACAGAACAGATGAGGGAAGAGGATGTTGCTGAATCTTGGGCGCCAGGGATGGAGGGAGCTGCGGCCCAGCAGGAACATGAATTCTTGGATTTGACAAATGAACTTGGAAAAAGCCAGATTTGGAAAGATAAAGTTTGGTTTGGTTTGGAAATGGGGGGGTTCGATAGACCCCCCTATGCAGGGAGGTTTGGACTTTTCGAGTCTGGCAATGGGCCGTGAGATGTTTGGGGTTGTGGGGGCTCTCAATTTTGGAGGGTTTTTGAAACATGTTCTTAAATACCACATGGAACTTAGTGGGGACTATGGAAAAGGGGCTGATTTGTCGAGAAGGGTCAAAAGCATTGTCAAGCTGGAGTTCCCAAGAGTGAAAGAAGTAGGAGATAAAGGAAAATATAGCTATAAATATGAAGAAGAGCTGCGGAAGGGACATGGAAGAGACTTAAGGGCCTCGGACATAAGGTTACCAGGTTAATGCGCTAGATTGATGGGATAGAAAGGACTGACAAAACCCGGGTCCAGGAGGAAGAGATGCTGGATGAAGATTGGATTGTTATTTCTTTTATTATGATTGTTTTATAAAATTGATGAATGTTAGAAAAATGTTGGAACGAAATTATTTGGCTTTAGCAAAAATGTTTAAAGAATTATGTAAGAATATTATGGTTATGAGAAATTGGTAAAAATAAGATTTAAGTTTTAAGTTTTAAGGTTTTCATAGTAAGATAAGATTAAAATAGATTAAGGTAAAGTAATGACAGAATATTATGAAATATGGAAAGGATTTGCTGTGACAATTAATAATCAGGATACAAAAAAAAGGGAGGAGGAGGAGGTCAAAGAAAGAAGGTAATGACAGTTAAAGATATGAGAATATTGGATTTGTTTTTAAATGTTTGTGGTATATTTTTGTTTTTTAATTGTGTCGTGTTATTTTTTTATTTTGATTTTTATTAATTTGTATTGTTTGACTGTGGTTTGTCTTTTCTTTGTTTTTTCTTTTTTATTCTCTTTTGTAATTTTAAAATTTTCAATAAATATCATTTAAAAAAAAAATAGAATAAGAAACATAACTTTGGAGCTAAAGAGACCGGGAATGCATATATTACAGTGGTACCTCGGGTTATATGCTCCAGATTACAGACTCCGCTAACCCAGAAATAGTACCTTGGGTTAAGAACTTTGCTTCAGGATGAGAACAGAAATTGCGCAGCAGGCCCCATTAGCTAAAGTGGTGCTTCAGGTTAAGAACAGTTTCAGGTTAAGAACAGACCTCCAGAATGAATTAAGTTCTTAACCCGAGGTACCACTGTCTATACAATATAGTCTTCCACCTCTCAGCTCAGTTCAACAAGTAGTGCCTTACCAAAGAAAGCTGTTTTATTAACCAGGCTGAGTTTTCATTTATGATAATTTAATAATAGGTTCTGGCATTTGGGTATCAGATTAGAATTGACTCTTCATCCTACAGGTGTAACAATAGTGGTATTTTAAAACAGAAAATAAAATTTTAGATGTGTCTAAAAGAATCACAAACTGTGCCTTAAAGCTAAGGGCAGTAAAATCTTGCCATTCAAATTTGAACATGGAGACCTGCATGCAAAAGCTAGAACTGTTACTTTGTACTGATTTTGTTTAGCTACAAAAGAGATATGCCCACTTAACTGGGTAATTTATTATAGAATTATTTATTGTTTTGTGTTTTCTTGTTTTATTATTGTTAGAAATGATTCTGTCTTTTTAAGTATTCTTAGTCAATTGAAGATTCTTTTCTGAGCCTTAGGCATTAAAACATGTGCAGTTTTAGCTGGAGAATTTAGCATAGTTAAGATTCACAAAAGACGTATACAAGATTTGTTTTTAAAGGCTTTCACCTGCCTAGTGTGGCAAGTTACCAGTCGTAAAGCTGTTATGTATTCTAAACACATCCCTCCAAAGGGATCACAACTTCATAAAGATGCTTCACAATACAGGAAAAGCAAATGTAGGATTATCACATTTGGGAGTATTGATGGTAGGCTGAACTATTCACTACTGCCCACACAACATATTATGTATGCAGTAGATGGCTTAAATTATTTGCCATTCTACCTTGGTTGTATTCTATTGATAGACATGATTAAATGATATAAATGATACATTATATTAACTATGTCAAGCAAGCATATTCATCGTTGGCTAACCACAAATCTAACTACTGAATACCTAGCAAATGAAATTAAGCTAAGTAAGCTTTAGCTAAAACGGTTTACTGCAGCTGAATAGAAAAGTATTTCTAAATGCTATGGTACTACAAAGAACAATCTTCAAATGAAAAATATTAAGATAATTCGAAGAGGCTATTTAGTTCTACTGTCAATTGCAAAAGACCATTTTATACTGCCTCTCACCAGCATAAATGTGTTTCAAACTTCACTTTCAATTGTTACTCTTATAGTCTTACTTTTTACTTTTATCACTGGGTTAAAATAATAAAAATAAAAAGCAGAACAATCCATTATTGCTAATCCTCAATTCTCACTGTAAATCCCAAACTATTACTGTAAATCCTACATAATATACTTAGTAGAAGCAAATCACATTTTTTAGTAACTGTCTAACCTCAAAGTCACTAAATTGTTTAAGGCTAGCTAAAGCACGAGGGACGCGGGTGGCGCTGTGGGTTAAACCACAGAGCCTAGGACCTGCCAATCAGAAGGTTGGCGGTTCAAATTCCCGCGACGGGGTGAGCTTCCGTTACTCGGTCCCTGCTCCTGCCAACCTAGCAGTTCGAAAGCACGTCAAAGTGCAAGTAGATAAATAGGTACCGCTCCGGCAGGAAGGTAAACGGCGTTTCCGTGCACTGCTCTGGTTCACCAGAAGCGGCTTAGTCATGCTGGCCACATGACCCGGAAGCTGTATGCCGGCTCCCTCAGCCAATAAAGCAAGATGAGTGCCACAACCCCAGAGTCGTCCGTGACTGGACCTAATGGTCAGGGGTCCCTTTACCTAGCTAAAGCACAAGCATCTAATAACTCAAAACATACTATATAAATTATTTCCAGAGGATATGCTTACCTTGGACAGCAATCCAAATGTCTCTTCTGTGGAAGCTGAGGGGGTTCCGGTTCTACTTCCATTTCTTCCTTTATGGAAATGCTGACATTCAAGTTGGTTTGGGTACAATGCCCTTTGTCTTCTTCCTTGGATTCTCCAAACAGATCAGGGTCATCCTGAATTACATCAATCACAAGAACATCATCTTCATAAGCCTTAACAACCTCTGCAGAGAAGTTAGCTTTGTCCTGTGCAAAGTTATTGCTGTAATTACTTTCATCATTAGTTGGCACTTCCAATACCGCAGAAGGGTTGTGGTTTTGAATCTCCGTATAACCAGTACTCAAAGCGTCAGGATTATCTTTCAAATCTGCTAATTCCAATTCTCTCTCATGGGAAGTCTTCACACCTTCATTATGAACACTTGTCTCTTTATAAAGGCTTTCAAGAACCTTGTCAAATTGGTCTGCATTTTCTTCTAGGACAGTAATTCCATTAACTTCTTTTGACTTGAACTGATGTCTAGAATGCACATTGGACGAGGTCTCTTTAGCTCTGGCTTTCTTCACTGACACAGTAGAATCTAGGATGTCCAAAGGACTGCAAACATCTCTTCTTGACAATCTAGTATATTCTGTTTTTCTGGATTCATTTTTATCCTTCAGTAAAGGAATTTTGAAATTTGATAGGTTCCCTTTGATTAGTGGTTCTTGTTTGAGAACTGAGGTCTTCCTATGTTTTCCACTGTCGGAACAAACACCATTATGAGTATCTATAGAACTATTTCTCTTTGCTATACTTCCTTTATTTTTAGCCTCCTTTGCTGATGAATTTAAAGCTCTTTTTGATTTCTTTACATTTTTAGTGCTAGAAGATCTGCAATGTTTAGGTCTCTCCTCCATACCCATAGAGGAACTTCTGCTGTCGTTAGCAGTAGCCGAGTGAGCCTTGCATGTATCAACTACAGATTCTGAGGTTGGGTTTTCATTGGGAAGTTGCGTTTTTTGACCCATTACCTTATATGCAGAAGCTTTGACAGTACAAGCCAATGGCTTATGTAGCTCTGCCTGGCCAGAGAGAATTACTGAATCAGAAACTCTTAAAAATTCTCTTTTTGAGTCTGATGCATGATTTTTACCAAACCACAAGTATGTTCTAGCACACGATTCACGAGGCCAAACATTTTTACCAGAAATTGGTACTGCTCTTTGACAGCTTTGTAGCTCCAATTTCTTTCTAACTTTATGTATTGTGTTTTCTTTGACGGTTCTTTTTTCTCTTTTCATACAGCCAGCAACATTATTGCTGTGGTTGGTAATTTTTTGACTGACTAATGTCTCCCTTATAGAATTATCAACCAATTTATTACTACAGCAAATTTGTGGTTCTAGTATGCTTAACTCATTTTCCTTTTCAAGAATCTCTGATTTCTCAAAACCAATGGCACTGCATGTGATAAAGTGTGCTTTGCTCATCTCTGTACCGCAAGATAATTTGGCACGTTTATTTTGAGGTTTTTGAACAGCCTGCTCAAGAACAAAATCAGGTGTATGACCAAGTGAAGACAATAAAGTTGTTTCATTGTAGACTGGGTTTTCCAAAATCGTTGAACTTCTTACGGCAGTTTTACTCTCCATTTGTAATCCACATTCACTGTGTATATTCACACTTGTGAAAGCTTCCTGGTCTGTTTTTTCCAGATCCTCAAGCACTTTAACTCCTTTGTTTATTTTTTTGAAATCTAAACACATTTTACTTTCCCTGGATCGCTTTCTATTTTGACATCTTGAGGAGTTCTTAATATTTTGGCACATCTCTTTTTCAACCAATGTGCTTTTTTCTGGAAATGATTGTCCAGCTTGTACTATATTAGGGCTGCAACTCAAATCGTTCTGGCCCATACCCCCGCTAGAGAACAAAACCTTACATTGATCAAGTGCAACATGCAGAGATCCAGAGTGAACCTTACAGCTTTGGGTGGTCTCAAAGCCTGTAGGTGTCAAGAGTGCCTTAATGTAACGACAGTCAAGCAATCTCACTACTGGAATAGTAGTCCTTTCTACTGTATATGGCAAAGTATTATGCCTAGAAAACCATTTGCATTCTTCATTTTGCTGCACTACCAGTGCATTTGTTTCCACATTTTCAGCTACTGTTATGTCCAAAAGCTGCGAATTGGCATTTGTAACAGGAAGCAAGGAAGTATCCGCTCCAAAACAAGGGATGACAGGATCTTTGCTTTCAGTCTCATCCGATTTAGATACTGGAAGGCTTGCAGACTGCTCTAGCAGATTTTGTATATTGCAATCTTGAGAAGTACTCAGACCAGTCTTGTGAACTTTTCCATGCTGTATGCTTGAAAGTTCATGGACTTGCTTTCCTGAGTTAAAAAAGGGGATAATAATTAATCAAATGTTGAATGCATTCTAATATACAAGGTTGGACTTTGCCGAAGCATATCTGTAATAAATATGTATTTTATAAAAAATGCCTTTATAAACTGCAAGTGTAGTATATCTAACGGCTTAAAAATACAAAGCATAGTTCTCATCCACTATGGCTGGCATTCATTAGTACAGCAATTAGAATAATAAAATTAGAAATACAGAATATAAGAATCACAGAATTGTAGAGTTGGAAGGGACCACAAGGGACATCCAGTCCAATCCCCTGCAATGCAGGAATCTTTCGGCCAACATGGGGCTTGAACCCATGACCCTCAGATTAAGAGTTTCATGCTCTACTGACTGAGTTATGTATTTTGCTACCGGCTATATAAAATACTTGGTTGTTTTTTAAAAAAAAGTTTTTTAAATTGCTAAAATGTATTTGCAAGCATTTCCAGAATGGCAAAAATAAATAAATCACGATATTGGAAATTCAATGCAATCCATAAAGAAAATTACACAAAGTAGAATGTGCACATATATGCATACATACATACACACACACACACACACACACACATAATATAGGCAACATACCCAAAGAAGGAAAATTGTAAATTCAAACTTTGCCACTTTTGGTGATATCCCTCGTTAGCGTCTGTTAACAAGCATATTAAGTTTTTCCCATAGCTTAAGTTTAAGTACATTGGTACCTCGGGTTAAGAACTTAATTCATTCTGGAGGTCTGTTCTTAACCTGAAACTGTTAACCTGAGGTACCACTTTAGCTAATGGGGCCTCCCGCTGCCGCCGCACAATTTCTGTTCTCATCCTGAAGCAAAGTTCTTAACCCGAGGTACTATTTCTGGGTTAGCGGAGTCTGTAACCTGAAGTGTCTGTAACTCGAGGTACCACTGTATAGGCTAAAACTGTGGTGCCTTACATTTTCATTAGTCAAAAGTGAATCTAAATATGAATCAAAAGGAGCAATTTAATGGCTTCATACAAATTGTAAACAGAAAGAGTGCTCCTTAGTCAGGGATGGAATTTCAGCCTCTTGTCTCCTCCAGCAAGAAGCTTGCTTTGTGAAGTGTCCCAATAAAATTACTGTACAACGGTTTCTAGCTTAAAGATTTCCTAGTTAACAGTATCCAAGTGTAAATATAAAGACCTGTGATTTAGTTTTTATATTAAATTTGGAAATGAATTTAGATTTTCAGGCTGTAAGAAAATAAAGGCTGGAGGGGAAGTTATGGTGAAAAACATAACATACAAAGAGAAAGAGGGAATAAGCATCCTTACTAGATGTTCTGGTCTTTTTTTTAAGTTCAGTTGAAGTCACAATTTCATCCTTTCCATCTCTCTGTTTCTTAATACTACCATGTACTCTGGTAATCAGTAGATCCTCTGTGGGTCCACAATCCATCATTTTCTCCTCAAAGATCACTTGTCTACACCCAGGAACCTCTGAAACAGACTTCTCTGGTGTCCAGCTCAGGTTCTTACTATCATTTTCACACACCACTGATTTCAAAGACGCTCGGGTTACCATTTTATGCTTTCTTTTTTCTGCAGTGTTCCTATACGTTCCATTCTCTTCTAGATTTGCCACACACTTCAATAGGCATTTGCTATTTTGTTTTAGAACTTCTGCACCTACATGTAATTTTTCTAGATTCCCTGTAACAGAAGAATTCTCCCCTCTTTCTCCCAAAGTTCTCGGGCTTAAGCTCTGTATATCAGGCTTTAACTTAAAAGACAAGCACCCCCTATTTGTTCTTTGACTTTTCTCCGGGTTCCTAAAAGCTTTTTGCTCTTGCCAAACCAATTTAGTCTTCTTCCTCATGTTCCATGTTTTCTGGTGTGGTCCCAGTTCAGAACAGCTTTTGCTTTTCTGCAGTTCCCTAGTTACTTCCTGAGATTCTAGCCCTGTTACAGAACTCCTATCCTTTCCCATTAAGCAAAGAGCTGGTTTTAGTAAGGAACAGCTGTGCTTTTTCCTCAAGCTCCTTGCATTCTTCATGCAACTTTGGATTTTTCGTTCAGGTTCTAACAAGGAACTCAGACTATTTTTCTCCGGTGTCGTATCTTTGTCATGAGATTCCATTCCCAGCAAGGATCTCTCTCTTTTCTTTCTAACCCATGATGCCAATTTAGTTTGCAAACAAACTCTAGAAGAAGAATCATTCGGCTGATCCGCCATACTCCGGACAGCCTTCTTTGAATTACGTCTCTCCACCAAAGCCATTTCCCCTTTCAATTTTATGCCCACATCATAATTACAGTCTGCTCCGATTGCATTCCTTTCCCTAGTTCTTTGCCCCTTCCTTCTTTTAGAGACAAATTCCTTGCTCTGCTGCTGCTTCTCCCTTAACTGTACTTCAGAACCAAGAACAATCGGGTTGCTTAAGTTACTAGCCGACAAAGAAAATGACTTTTCCTTGCAGCTGCTCTCATCTTTCTGAGAGCGATCTAGACTGCTGGATGGTTGCGCCCTTTCAGCTTCCATCCCTATTTCTGGCAACAAGCAAACCGGCTGCTCTTTACTCTTTTGCACTTTTCGTACCATCATGGACTAATGGAACAAAGTGCTTTTTTTTTAAATTAAAAAAAAGTTATATTTTTCTAGAGACAGGCATATGTTTTATCACCTACAACTCTCCTCTTTTTTTAAAAAAAAAAAATCTTAGATTCACTTGAAGCTTATGCTCACCTACTTGCCAAATCTAGAGAGACATAAAATTACAATATTTTTTCCAAAAAAACCCACACGCTTCCAAAGGACGGTCAAATTTAATTAAAAAAAGATGGAAGGGCCCTGCCACAGGAACTTGTCTTCCTCAGGCCGCGAAAGCAAAGATGTGTATAATATATTGTGTGTAAAGATAGCAACTGATTTAACCTTAGCTGCCTATCTCTTTCTTTTGAGGTAATTTAAGGCCTGCAGCCCCTGCAGTAGGAAAGCGAGAAAGAAGCCCGCGCTTTGCAGACCTGCGGAAATTGCGCGGTCCCGAGTCTAAACAACCGCCACTGAACTAGTAAGAGAACCGGGGAAGACGCACTTCTGAATGACCTCCCCTCCCGCCCCACACACCAGCACCGCGAGCCCCAAGCCACTTCTTCCCGTCGCCCCCCTCAGAAATCCCGTTTTTCCCTCCCCTCAGTGCGTGCATGCCACACACCCCACCCCACCCCCCTCACGCTCTGTTGTAGGCCCGACCGCAAGCCTTCGGACTCCGGCCCGCCGCCACCGCCCTCCTTTCCCGCCCTTTTCCCCACCTTCCCGCCCACACACTCACACGCTCTAAGAGGCGACCGCGTGGAGCGAGCGAGTTCAAGGCGGCGAAAGACGCGCGGCCTGAGGGGCGGTGGCTCCGCGGATCCGCCTCGGGAGGGGACGGGATTTTTTAAAAAAGGCCGCGCAGGGAGGGTTGGAGGCGCACGGCTTTCCCTCGCGAGCGCGAGAGTGAGGCGTCGCGTGCCGCTGAAGGGAACGAGGGAAAGGACTAGAGCGCGTCGCTCGGCCGCTCGCCCTCAGGCGGTCACCTTGCACCTTACGGGGAAGCTTTGAGGGAAGCGGACGAAGCTTTTCCCCTCCCCTTCCCACCCTCCTTTGCCTCCTCCTCTACTTCCCGCTAACAATATATTAAGCAAAGGGAGAAAAGCAATAAAATAAAAACGACAACGACGCAACCAGCCGGTCCCGTCCTTCGCAGGGTCACAAAATGGCGCCGCGAGGAAGCGCGGGCGTCGGTCAAGGCGCCCTGCCCTCCCGCCCCTCCATGAAGAGTTTCAACGGGAAGGGAAAGGTGTGGGGAGTCGCTTCCTTACTTTATAACTCTCAAGTGTGGTCAGAAGACACGTGTTAAAGGGTCTCGTGGGGATAACGTGCGAATGGGGGAAATCTGCACGCACTCTTCAAACACACACCTCGCCATGTTATTCTCTTCTTGTTCACCATCGCTTCGAGGGGCTTCTTCCCTCCCTTTTCTTTTTGGTTCAGACCAGTTTTCCGAACTTGGTTCTCCAGCTGTTTTTGAACTACGACTCCCATCGTCGCCAGCTAGCAGGGCCGGTGGTGAGGGATGATGGGAATTGTAGTCCAACCCCCCCCCCCACAACAACAGCTGGAGACTCAAGTTTGAGAAACCCTGGTTTAAACTCCAGAGAATCCCTTTGGTTTCTCGAAATCTGCCACTAGATGGTGCTGCTCTGGTGTGCCATGTAGGAGTTTACTTAATGAATTTGCGCAGTGTGTTAATTTATGCAGAATTTTAAGGAAATGAGAATGAGCTTTTGGAAAAAATAAGGTACAGTACCTTAAAGAGCAAAGCCTGTCTCCAGAGGTCAACTGCCAATCACTTATGCTTCTATAGTTTAGGCTTATAATGCTTTGCATTAATACTTTGCATTAATCAGGTTATAGTTTCACCTACACAGGTATCTGCTTTGTATGGGATTCATTGATTCCAAAACTGCCTAGCTCCTATGCTTACTCTGTAATACCCTAAAAGCATATTCAGCCTTATGACACTACTACCCCTTTCCTTCAGGTTAGAGGTTGATGCCTTACTCTGATTTCTGTCAACATGGGAAGTGGAATCTGGAAAGGTACAGAACAAGGATTTCTCCATGGTGTTTTAGCTTTGAGCTCGTTTCTGAAAGAAACCCCATGAGGTCTCACCATGCCATCTCTTAGGAGTATTTAAACATTTTTATTTGAACAAAGGTTTTATGGGATAATCGCTGGATAATTCTGCACTCCTGCTGTTGCTTGCACCTGTAATTGGAATGATGCTTAGAAATGTTGCATAATTTGAGATGAACATCAGAGGATGGCGGGGCTTTTTTAAAAAAAGACTCAGATGTGATATATTATAGACAATTCTTCCATAGATGCCAAGCCAAAGAAGAATGGGAAGGGACTCTATGTTGCCCTATTCTCATTTCCTTCTGTACCTGGTCAATTCCTGATGACATAACAATAGAATGACGGAAAAAGTGGCATAAAACACAGCCCTTCTGAAAGTGCTCAGTCTTGTTTAGCCACTTCAGACAAAAGGGAATATGAAAGGGGAAAACATGATATAAAGATTAAATCTTCAGTCATTTTATTTGTTATTTCAGTTCTTATGAGATCCTCTAATGTGCGTCAGAATTATCCCCATATTACAGATATGGGGAGTGATGAGGATGGCTTCTTTTAAAGCCATCCCTTAAAGTTAAGTGATGAGCTTGAAATCTGAATTGTTGGGGTAGGGAGAACTCTGGGTTTTAGGCCCGTGCTGTTAACTACCATAGTATGTTAGCTATTTGATACTTAGGCAAGAGGAGTCATGCCTTGATACATCATATTTAAATAACCATTAATTTCCATATAACACATCTCTAGCGCTTTCATCATTCTGTTTATTTAGCACAATCAGTAAGCACCATGCTTTACAGAATACTGCATGCAGTTGCTTCAGTTACATATCCGTAGGCTTAGTTTCAGTTCATTAGGCAAATATTCTGTACATCGCTTTTAAAGTCAATCTAATTTCAGCTTTTAAACAACTACCCTGATGTGAGTGGTAGCTTTTTCCACCAAATGTATTTACGCAGTTGTTCAGTTTAATTTTATTTCTCTCTTTGCCCATCTCAGGCGTTGATGCTGGACCTATGAAGGGCTGCTCATGATCAGAACTGCAGAACATCCCTCCCAGCGGCTCAGCAAGCTACCATTTATTTTTAATTGCTCCCCACAGTGGAGGCCAATTAAGGATGAAGACAGCAGGGTAAGGATCACTCACAAACCCTTTGAAGGGCACAGACTAAGCATTTGCTTTGCCGGAAGGCTGCCATTAACACATTTCATTTGTGCAAGAATGCAAACACTTGGACACGCACTCTGTAGTATTAAATGCAGTACAGTTCTAATTCAACTAAGTTTTAGTGCAGATGGCAACCGAAGTGACAGAATATCACCCCTAGGTTATAAACTTTGAAAATTAGATTTATTTTCTTTATCTCTCCCTCTTTCAGCAGGAAGCACCTGCTTTAGACACTCTAATAAGACTCTCTGTCTCTCTCTCCCTCTCCCTCTCCATATAAATACTAGGTTTTCAGATTAAAATTATAGCAGGAAATTAGCATTAGTTCTCCTTACTGTTTGTTTTTGTTTTTATGGTAAAGAAAGGATTTCCTTGTCATTGAAATTTTAATGAATTGAGGATTTTTACAAAATATTCTAGGTATTTATGGACTGCCTGTCAATAAAATTCTCAGTGTCATTTACTATAAAATTTTGAGAAAATATCAATTTTCCTAAAATAACGATACAACAGTGGTTTGCAGCCACTTTAGGTTTAAATGGGGAACTATGTGGTATGTACATATAGTAGCAAGTATATATAGTATGTATATATATAGTAGGGAAATATATAGTATGTTGAAATGTAGATTTATTCTGGTTGTGATTAATTTTCTTTTAAAATCCATTTACACAGGGAGAGTTTGAATACATTAAACTATTACTGATTACTCAGTGAATAGATTAAACCACAAGGAGTTTCAAAGAGCTTGTGTCTTTTAAACTTCATGAGTACACAGCAGGAATTTTGAAACTTTTGTTGCAGAGAAGCTAAATTTAGTTTCAATTTATTCACTTCACACTCAAGCTTTTCCATCTCTGCACAGCTATTCATGTGTGGCTTTGTGCAGTAGTATAAATATAGGTTAGAGTGAACCTCCTGTATTTTAATTTTCCCTAAAAAATAGTACATGCTGTTTGGTTGTGATGTTCTTTAAAATAAATTACACTCTTTTCTACCCAGATAACAAGTTGTATATCGTGATTTTAAGATCCCGGGTAATTGTTACTCTTGTCTTGATGTGGCGTAATAGGTTTTTTGTTTGTTTGTTTATTTGTTTGTTCTTTTAATAGTTAAGACCAAATGTATTTGAACATTAAGTATATTTAAGTATGCTTTGTCTACTTATTGCCCAAAATGCATCTATTTGAAGGCTTGTAGTCTAATCACTGTACGATCATAAACTTGTCGGACTGGCATAAGAGTCCCTCCCTGCTGTCAGGTGAGAACTGGATGACATACAAAACTGGTGCTCTTTGCCTCTTCCCTGGTAAGGAATACAGTGGTACCTCGGGTTATGAACTTAATTCGTTCCGGAGGTCCGTTCTTAACCTGAAACTGTTCTTAACCTGAGGTACCACTTTAGCTAATGGGGCCTCCTGCTGCTGCTGCACGATTTCTGTTCTCATCCTGAAGCAAAGTTCTTAACCTGAGGTACTATTTCTGGGTTAGCGGAGTCTGTAACCTGAAGCATATGTAACCTGAAGCATCTGTAACCCAAGGTACCACTGTACTTGCTTCTTTGATTGGAATGAACGGATCCACTAGTGTTAGGAAAGGCCATGCCTGCCCTCTTCTCCTGTAATCAGGACAGATCCATGAGATAGGGAGCTTGCTGCTCTTTGTAGGACTTGAAAGGGAAAAGTATCATCCATAAATGATAGGGTACATATTTTGGTAATTTTAAAAACCATTCCAATTCCCTGACGAGGTAAATCCTGATTTGTCTTGATATTACTGCAGGAATTTACTGCTGTGAAACATGCTTCATGTCCAATTTTGAAATGTTGGTCTCAGTTTTAAATGTCCTTTCCTCCTGAAGATATGGATGCTATTTCTGGAATCAAGGTAAATGCAGCCTTCAGTGGAACATGGACTCTTTCTGAAGGCATTAGCATGGTGAGCATAAAAACGCATTTGGAACCTTGCTGTGACTGGAAAGGCTCCCTGTGGAGGTGCTCAGAACTCTCTGCATATGTAATCCATCTTTCTGTCTCCCACAAGCTTCCTGCGTTTGACTGACAAGTCACTAACTGGCTGGAGTCCAGTCAATGGAAAAAGATCTTCCTGATTTACGCGGCATTGTTTGCTCTGCTAAGATAAAACAAAACTCTTAGAGATAAGAGACAGTAACTTTTGGGTCATATGCTTTCTGCATATATGCCATTATGTGGATAATAATGCTTAGTCTAAACCATGTGGAGAGTATTTGGCAAAACTTTTAAATGGCTGAAGCCTCAAGAAGTATGCATTAAAAATACATATTTAAAGCAAAGATAAAACAACTACATACAATCAGAGAAGCATCTCTGAATACTCCACAAAACTGATGATTTTAGCATATACACTTTGACAATCTTAACAAACACAAAATGATACATAATAACCTCTATCACTTAGACTATTGTCCACAACTAAAAAGATATATTGTATCAGCAGCAGTGCTGGTCTGCAGGGTTTATACAAAGGCAGGAGGGAAGGAGAAAAAATTAAAATTAAAATGTTTACTTGATGCACGTCAAACTGTGCTGTAGATGTAGACCATAGGAACTGTTCTACCATATGCCTCATTGTTTGTATAATCTATAAAATCGCCCCTGACTGGATAAAAGTTAATCATATTCCCCAGGCCTCTTGCTATCTTACATTTCTACGTCAGTTTCCCCAGTAATGCTACCTGCCAGACTGCACTATACCACAGGTCCATGGTCAATAATTGCAATGATTTCCATGTCCTGGCAATGGTCATTCTTGCCCTGGTTAACAGATGTGTTATGAGTTCTTTGTTTCCAATTTGTGGCATATCCCGACTATACAGTTTAAGCAGAGCCAGCCCTGGGGTCATGGATACTGTCTGCCTCGCAATCAAAGACATCTCTATGAAAACGTTTCCCCAGAACTTTTGTTTTTGGACACTCTCACCACATGTGTCAATATGTCCCTTTAGTAGGACACCCTCTCCAACACCTGGTAGAACTGTTTGGGTTTATATATGCTAGGCATCTAGTACCACTATAAACCTAAAGGAGGATGCATTTTGGTGTTGCTTCCAGAAAGTGAAGTATGCTTCTGGTAGTCTTCTACATGCCCAGGACAGAAAAGTATGGGCAGAGTGCCTTTGTCTCAAACCTGCAGTGCATATGAGATTAGATTGCTGAACTAGAGATGATACTACAGAATTTAGCCATGGTATCCTCTGAATTATGCCCCCAAGTCTCTTGAGGGTGCTGTCTAGTTCATGGGGACCTTCTCAGCTGCAGACAACTTCTGTCCAGTCCTTCAGACACACTGACATTCTAGTAATTACAGCTTGTGTTACTTTGGTACTGAAAGGACCATGCTGTAAGACCTGGACTCCCTCCATGGTGTAAATAGGTGAATAAACCATAATTCTTAAAGCCACAACAGTCTCTGCCGTGTCTTCCATTCTGCAAAGGAATACAAACCCTGTGGGGATGCCTGGGACCCCATAGTCTCTTGCTATCGTTCGGCAGAGAGAGGGGCAGACACACGACTTTTGTAACAGTATGTTACAATAGCACAAGCTGTTGATCACATTTATGACTGCTTTCTAGGAACGCTGCCCTGATGCTGCTAAGGTTGGGATGGAAGAAATGCTCACACCATGAGTGAGCTGATAAAATCTTGGGGCCCAGTGTTTGTAGGTGGCCAGCTGTAATATGGATTGATAAAAAGGTGAGGCTGGTGATTTTATTGTTCTCCTGGCCAAATCACTTGTACCAGTCTATCTGTGAGGTCAGAATAATGTGCATTGTTATGCTAGTGTTAAATCAGGATTTGTGATATAATGCTGGCAAGAGCTGTAGATCTGACTCCCAGCCAATACATTTTCTTTGGTTACAGGCTCAGCTCATCTTTGGCAGTTACAGGGTATCTAGTTTTGTGAACAAAAGACTGCAGCTCTTGTTTAGCTGTAAGGTGCTGTGTCTGCATTGCTTAATTATGAACCTGCAGTGCAGACAAAGGTTTGAATCACTTTCCCTGGCTTTTTACTGTAAGACAAGCTACAGGTTTCCAACAAATCCAACATTCCTTTTAAAAAAGAGTGGGGGGGTAATATTGCTCCAGGTGGTGTGTGCTACTTTCTTTTAGGAATTGTTAGCTTTCTGCAAATTATCTTAATGTACTGCCTACATAGATAAAACATGTGGTGTCTGGTTAATATTTTTCTGCAATATAAAATAAAGACCCTTAATACAGAGTAATATCTATGCTATTATGAAAATGTTTCTCATTTTAAAAAATCCCCGACAGGAGCACAAAGGGGTTAGTAAGAATACTCTTTACAACTGAATTTTATTGCTAATAGCTTTAACGTGGCAAGCAGCTTATGTAGTGTGTCAACATAAATTGTTGTCCACTGTTGTCTCTGAAATTTTGGGTGAAGATTTATGAAATTATGCAAAACTATTATAAACATAATAAAATATTGAAGCACTAAAGTAGACAAAATATGACCAAAGTATGGAGCAAGATGTTGAATCGCTTAATTCTGATCTGACTGCATTTATATTGCTTTTAAACATCTGTAACACAGTTTGCAAACATTAATATGTGTATACACTTAATTTTATTCACTTGGAATTTATGTCACAAGTCTGAATTTTGTCGTTGAGTACAGTATTTTTTTTAATCATCCCTGTAGCACTTTTGGAGAGTGCGCCATGAGTCGTGTTTGACTAACATACCTTTCAAATAACCTTGTGAGACGGGCTGAGCAGAGGCTATCATGTGATTTGTGGCTTGGGTGGGGATTTGAACATGGCCCTTGAATATGCAAACACTACACTCTATCCACTGCATTATACTGCTTTTGTAATTAGCATGATTGCTTTATCTTGTCTTTCAGGATATTAATCATTTTATGCTATTTGAATACATCATGGAGAAAATATGCCCATTAATTAAAATAGGTGCATAATATGGCAATAATATCTCCCTTCCCCCAAAGTAGAGCAAAAAATGAATTGTTATGCATGCCAAATTGTTATCCTGTGTTTGATCTTCTGTCGCAGTGTGCAGATTGTAACATTCTTTAGGAACCCAGAAAAATGTAGAGAAGTGGTCAAAGCAGAGTAAGGCTTTATTGTTGCATCAGTTTCAGTATCAGTCAAGTCCTTTGAGGTTTTTCACATCACCAGCACCCCACCACAAGAATCCTGTGGCAGATGTATGTATGTGTGCTACCCTCTCAAGTGCAAATATGCACTAGCTTTCTCAGTACTATACTCTAACCATGTAGAGATCTCAAGCTTTTATAGTTTAGTATTTATATATGTTTATAATAGGCAGTTTCAGGCTAGCACGGACTCATTGCACTAATCTCAACCTTTTCAAAAGACTTTTGAAGCTGTGGTGCTTTCCTGTTTTATATACCAATTGCTCTGGCAAATACCACGTGTTTAATATTAGCATATAAAAATGTGCATACCAGACAATATCTCAAAGGAAAGAAAATGAACTGGGGAATGTGTGATGTGCGCACAAAAGAAACATCTGTTAATAAAAATGGACCATTTGTTCACATAAAAGCAAGGCGGCAAGTCACAGAACTATATAACATTCCCCCATCCTCATGTGAATAATTTTGCATGTACACAATATGTACATAAGCCAGCCCAAGGCTGGAAATGAAAAGTGTTTTGTGACCAGTGCTAAAAATATTTGGACATTTCCCTTTAAAATTAATAGCATAAAGCCTTGGGGCACTTAATTGTACAAAGTCTGAGGATAATGTGGGCTATTCATTTCCTTTATCCTAAATACCCAGTCATGCTTTTAATTCTTAGATATACTGTGTGCCCTTTCCAATATAATCAGCCTAATTTGTCTTCAGCTGCAAGCAAGTAAACCAAGCTTCATTTGGTTAAGCAAGCTAAGCAAAAACATTTTAGAATTCCCCTCACCCCACCCACCCACATATAGGTAAGTCAACAAGCATGCTCAGGAAAAATGTGTGATCTTCAGATTTTGGTTTGTGTGTGTTCAGGCAGAGGAGCAGAACTGCCTTTCATAAGGAAGCCAAAATTTCCTGCCCTATGGTATCTGTGAATATGATTAGCATTTCTAACTTGTAGTTTGGATACTCCCTATCTAATGCGGCTTATTTCATAAATCGATCAGACGGATGCCAACAATAGTAGTAATAATTATCGATATAATACCTATGTCTTTCCTTGACTGTTTGAACATGCCTATTAGCATTCTTTATCCTTTTGACTTTTCCTTTCTCTTTGACTCATGCTTCGTTCAGAATTAAAGGATCTGAAAAAAATCGAGGGGCTTGTGCGAGATAATTAACTCCCATTGATGATAAGAGTAATAAATTATAATTTATTTAAATAAATAAAACATAGCAGTACTTTGAAGAGGTGTTGCTTTTCTTTCTGGGCTTTATGATTTAGTGGCTGGGGGAAAAGGAGAGGCATTTTCACGGCAGTCTTTTGTAGTACCTAGCAAATTTATTATGGCATACATAAGTCCACTTCTTTGGATGCACTTGCAGGTACATATGTACTTGGTTGGGTAGAATTATGGACAAACATACCTAGAGCCACCAAATGGCATCTTTCCTGGAACAAAGGTTGATCTAGATCCCTTCCAGGCCTTTGTTCTGCAATCACAGTGAGGGAACCACCAGAAGGCCCTCAGAGCTGGGCCTCAGTGTCTGGGCTGGCCTTGAATGGGGGTAAGTGCGGCAGAGGCCTCTAGCCAGAAATAACAGAAATGTTCTTGTTATGGGGAGGTGGGGGGGGGGTCTAGAAAGGATAGGGAATCATTGTAGAACAGCAGCCAGAACAGAAATGTAGGTGACACAATATATTTCAAGCTTTTTATTTGCACAGACAGACATAGCCGTACAATTGCATGTTTCACCTCTGCACTTAATTGAATTGTAGCACATCTTAACAGCTGGGAAAAGATCAAGGAAGAGGCAGCCAAGAGGACAGAGGGGGAGTTTTGTTCATTTAATACTAGAATTCTGTGTCATTCAGTATCACTGATGGGGAAGATTTAGCACAGACCATGGAAAGGGTTTCTTCCTGTAACTATTTGTGGAATTCGCAGGCACAAGTTGTGACGAGGAGGACCAGGTTGGAGGGCTAGGAAGGGGATAATGCCCAGAGACATGGAGAATAAATCTGTCTCTGGCTATGAAGACTCTATAAAACCTCCAGGTTCAGAGGCATCCTACCACTGAATTCCACCTGCCAAGAGGGCAAGCAACAGGAATGGGCTATTATTTCATTCATTCATTCATTCATTCATTCATTCATTCATTCATTCATTTATGAACCCCATAAGGCATTCTGAAGTTAGTGACAATCTAATCTGGTTTGCTACTGGACCAGATGGGCATTTGCTCTGGGTTTTTTGGGGCAGACACAGACCACCATCTGGTTCTCCACAAGAATGTCATCTGTTGTGTTGTGTATCTTGTGTGCACACGTGCAAAGCCTCTGTACATAGTGGCACTTACTTCTGTGTAAGCCTGCATCAACTTGTGCTGCATGGAATTTAAGAGCACAATCTGATATGTTTACTAAGATGCAAGTCTCAGTGTGTTAAATGGGGCTATCTCCCTAGTGTCTGTATATAGCAGGAGTAGGCAACCTAAGGCCCGGGGGCCAGATCCAGCCCAATTGCCTTCTAAATCTGGCCCGCGGACGGTCCAGGAATCAGCGTGTTTTTACATGAGTAGAATGTGTCCTTTTATTTAAAATGCATCTCTGGGTTATTTATGGGGCCTGCCTGGTGTTTTTACATGAGTAGAATGTGTCCTTTTATTTAAAATGCATCTCTGGGTTATTTGTGGGACACAGGAATTTGTTCATTTCCCCCCCAAAATATGGTCTGGCCCACCACATGGTTTGAGGGATGGTGGACCAGCCCACGGCTGAAAAAAGGTTGCTGACCCCTGGTATATAGGATTGCAGGTAGCCTAAAAATCCTTTGTGGTATGCAATGTGTCCTTCCACCTTCCTTTCACCTCTAAAATTATTTCAGTTCTTCTACTAGAGCAAACAGATGAAAAGGATGAGTGTCATGGCTGTAAACGAAGACTGTGTCAAACAGGCAAAGCCAGGAACAACTCTTCAAGGGAGGAAAATTGCTCACATTTTTATTGCGAAGGCAGAAGGCAGACACCCTAATCACCATCTTTCTCCAGGGAAATAAACAGTCTGCCCGATTTATTTATTATATTTTCACTTGTGTCTCCTGGTTTTATCACTGCCATGCCGCTGAAAGCGCCATTGTGCATTTCGATGACATTATCTCTACCGTTTGAAGGCCCGTATAGAGAAGCAGCAATAACATGCTGCCTCTGTCTAGTGGTGACCTCAATTACACATTCCTTCCTGTTCTTTGCCTGTTGGAGATGGTGCATTCGCTATCATGTAACACACCTGCCTTCCGATATCAGGGAAGCGGGTTGGGGTGTAACTCAGTCTTATTATTATTTCTTTTGCTTCCTTTGTTTTCAGCCATTGAGCTGGCAAACGGTGTCTGCAGCTAGTCAAGTCATTTATGGGATTAAATTTTTAAAAAAAGATTATTATTGATACATTTCTCTACCATTCTGAGACATTTCCTCCAACAAACAGAGAGAGGATTACAGTGGGTGCTAAGCAATAAAGGCCTAGTTAGCTTAAGGTACCTTCAGAGACCAATTTCAACATAACCTTTTGCTTTTTCGATCCAAGAATTTGGACGTTCCCTTCTGTTTTAAACCTATGGAGCTGACATTTACTGAATCGGACCATTGATCTCCACTCTAGCCTGGCGGCATCATCTATCTAAAGGCAGTGCTGCTCCATATAGATGAGTCTCGCCTTTTCCACCCTTCCTGCTCTCTGACTTCCTGATGCCAGGCACTGAGACCCAGACTTTAGAGCATGTGCCTAAAGGCAGAGGTTCCCATTTACCTTCCTCCCCACACTTTAAAATTGCTGGCGGCCTCAGCAGATCACTTAACCAATCCCCACACTTCCAATGTCAGCATATTTGTCTAAGCCAGAGCCATATCACATAAATCATAAGCCAGGCTGCTGAAAAGGACCTCTGTCACTGGCCAATTTTTAATGAAAAATTAGACTGCATTAACACCATATTATGGAAATCACATAGGGCAGCAGGGCCTTGTTGGCTTGTTTCATAGGCTCTTCATTGGTGGTGCTAAATTTTGTTTGTGTGAGCAGATGGGGCTTGTTGACCTGGGGAGGTAGCCCATCTAGGAGAAGGTAAACTCCTAAATCTGCACTGCCTTGCGGGACATCTTTGGGAGAAAAAATGGTTAAGGAGTAAACCCTACACAAATCCAGAGTTGAGTCCCTAAGATGGTTGGATGGCAGCTTGTACGCCTCCTTCCAGGAACTCCTACAGCCAAGCTGGTGTCAAACGCATTGCTCTGCTTTCCTTTGACCACATCAGCGAGGCTGAGAGGGGAGTTTTGTCGTCTGGGCAGTCCAGGACCTCCATACATACTTGTGCCCTGGGGAGGTCATTTCGGTGCTGCTAACATGGCAGCTTGACTTCACCTCCAGAGGCACACTCCATTGCCTCTTAAGACAGACAGATGCCAACAAGTTGTGTGTGCATTAAATCTAGGCCAGCAATTGAGATGTCCTGTGGGTGTGATTGGCTCAACTTCAGTAAGGCCAGTAAAGTGTTCTAAAACCTGTACGGTATATGATAGAATTAGCCATGCCATTGTCTCCCAAAACTGATTGATATTTATTTCCTGGTTTTTTAACTGTCACAACAAAATCAATAAAAATATGAATATAACAATATAATTTCACAGGATAGCCTTCTCCAACCTTGTGCCCTCCAGATGTTGCTGAACCACAACTCCCAATGTACCTTACCGCTGGCCATAGTGGCAGGGGCTGATGGGAGCTGTAGTCCAAATAATCTGGATAGTACCTGCTTTGGGGGAAACTGAAGTAGGGCATATGCGACAGGAGCAAGACACAAATGCACAAATGTGAGACATAAAACATTAATACAAAGCAATAAAATAATGTTTCCAAATGTTATCACAATTGGTTCTACTCTTAGAAGCGAAAGGCAAATTACAAATGAGTACAGTTAGCTTCATTTTGCAAAAGTTTGGCTTTTCTTGAACAAGGCTTGGCTAATTTGTGGGCCTCCAACTCCCATCATCCCTTGCCACTGAGCATAGTGGCTGATGGGAGTTTTAGTCCAACAATATTTGGATAGTTACAGGGTAGCCACCCCGGTCTACTTGAAGTGTGTGTGGGGGGGTCTGCTCATATCCAAATAACATTTAAATACAAAACACCTGTATTATTATTTTTTCAGTAGAAGATTGAGAATTGGTGTCCGAAGGGAAGTTCATATTACTTGGTAACAGTAATGATGCTTCAATCTGACTCCATGATTAAAACTTTTTTCAAAAAGTGAAAATTGGGACACAAAAGTTGTTGAGTTTTTTTGGGTTTTTTGCAAAATCTCCAAAAAAAGAAGTCTTTCATCTATTTTTTAAAATGAAAATCACCCAAAACCAACACTTTTCCTGGACATTTTTGCCATTTTTTAAAAATTCCGCCCAGAGGCCATTTTTGACAGGCGAATCCCAGCTATGTCCAGAAAATTCTGGACGTATGTCAACCCTGGTATTGCATCATTCAGAACCTGTACAGATTAGGGAGCACGTTTAAGTAAAAACAAATCCTTTCACAGTAATATAAATTAACAGCCACCAGTTGTTATTTCCTTGTTATAAAACATACACAATGAAAATGGGTCCATCCAGCTTTCCTGTCCTGGAGAAAGGAGTTTTCTTGCTGAGAAAGTTGACTGTGGCAAGGGGCAACCCTGGTGTTGTGAAGTAGCCGTTCTCTTTTTGGCAACGGCCTGATTCACAACACCAGCTGCTGCACCGAGCCATACGTTTTAGATCTCTCTTCTTTGTGCTCTAGGATTTAGGGCTCGTTGGTTATCTTCCTTCCTGCCCACACCTACAAAGCAGAAATCAAAGATATGTCAGATGTTATCAAGAGCCAGCTAGCTTTCCCACTTTCTCCTTTAAAGTATTATAAACTATAGAAAATTTCCCCAAATAAGACCACTCGCTTGATGCAGCGTTAATAATCTTCCCCTTAAACAAATTTAGTGAAGCCAAACTAATTACCGTATATGAGGCTGACTTTGCATTGTTTATTTGGTGTCTGAGTTTCTGGCCTACCATACCAAGTAGTTTGAAGGCTATTCCAAAGATAACACGTGTGAAATGCTGAAATGCATGTAAGGAACGCATAATAAATATATTATATGCATAAGATTACCAGTGTCGCATCAGTATAAACAATTGTTCCAGAATAAGTGTGTACCACCCTCTATTTTGGCATTCACAATCACCTGCACAGATTGACATCCTCACTTCATATGAGTGCAGCGAAGTGTTGGGGAAGATCCACTCCTTTTGCTAAATTTAACCACTCTGATTTTGAGTGTAACAAGCTGGTTAACAGGAATTTATCAACACTAGTAAAGGTAAAGGTACCCCTGACCATTAGGTCCAGTCGTGACCGACTCTGGGGTTGCGGCGCTCATCTCGCTCTATGGGCCGAGGGAGCCGGTGTTTGTCCGCAGACAGCTTCCGGGTCATGTGGCCAGCATGACTAAGCCGCTTCTGGTGAACCAGAGCAGTGCACGGAAAGGCCGTTTACCTTCCCGCCGGAGCGGTTCCTATTTATCTACTAGCACTTTGACGTGCTTTCGAACTGCTAGGTTGGCAGGAGCAGGGACCAAGCAACGGGAGCTCACCCCGTCGCGGGGATTCGAACCGCCAACCTTCTGTTTTTTTTTAATAAGATATTTATTAAGATTTTCAGAATATTACAAGACAAAAAAAGAAAAAAAAAAGAGAAAAATACAAAATAAAAACAGTTAAAAACAATTCCTTCCTTCCATTACTTAGCCTTCATTTGCTTATTTCCAGGACCTCCTCACACCTCCCTTTTTTGTATTCCAATTCAGTTATTAGTTCAACAAATCCCTCCCCTCTTTATGTATCCTAATCATTAATCATAAAGTATTTGTAATTTTAGATTTTTACTATTAATAAACCTTTTTTTTTTCATATTCCCTTATAACATTTCGGCTAAAGACCACTTAGTTTCTATCCGACATCATTCTAACATTCATTAATTTTGCAATATTTCTGTAAATAGTCTTTAAACTTTTTCCAATCTTCTTCCATCGACTCTTCTTCCTGGTCTCGGATTCTGCCAGTCATTTCCGCCAATTCCATATAGTCCATCACCTTCATCTGCCATTCTTCCAAGGTGGGTAGATCTTGTGTCTTCCAATACTTTGCAATGAGAATTCTTGCTGCTGTAGTAGCATACATAAAAAAAGTTCTGTCCTTCTTTGGCACCAATTGGCCGCGAACCGCCAACCTTCTGATCAGCAAGTCCTAGGCTCTGTGGTTTAACCCACAGCGCCACCCGCGTCACTAATCTGTGTTAAAGTCTCTTGGGTATTCTGAGGATTGCTGATGCTATAAGGCAAATATCTTTTTTGGGGGGGCGGGTCTGTTCAGTGCAGAAACACTGTAAAAACCCTGGGGTTTTCAGCATTCCAACTCACTAACGAGTGTTAATCTAAAGTGGGAAAACCGCGCCATTCCCTCTAGCACCCACATGGACAATCCAAGGCCTTAATACACCACACTAGTCAGCTGGAGAAGGTGGGAGGCATGATGGGACATTTAAAGAAGCTCATGCTGAGATGGGGGAGAGGGAATGTGAAGGAGCGTAATAAAGTGAGTGTGGGGAAGGCTTTGTTTCTTTTTATATGAGTGAGCTGGGGTGGGGAGAGCTGGGAGGGACCAGAGGCCTTGCAGAGTGTGCTAGTGCTGTAATGAGGACAAGACTTGGGCTACTTCAACTTCCTCTTGGAAAGCTCACCAATGAAACATGCAAATTGAGCATGCCAAATTTGCATATTTATAATTGACAATTACGCTGGCCAGGTTTTTGAGGCTGAGATACGGACAGCGCTAACAGAGCTGTCCACCTGTTGCCTAAATGCCGCTGAATGATAAAACCCAACCCTGCTAAGGAATGAATAGCAAACACCCCCATTGGCATGCACATTATTGCTCATATAAAAAAAGTAATCAGAAATTTGGCTGCACTGAGTTAGCTGACACTGCAAGGGAGCTCTTGAGCTTATTTTTACACTGGTGGAGCAAAGCCACATTTCCAAAGCTGAGGAGTATATAAACCACAGAAAATCAATTCCCACTTTCTCTGACTCCACCCCACCTCCAATCTTATGTCCATACTTTTTAAAAAAATGCAAATCTGTGGGTTTTGGTTGAAAGGACAAATGTATATATTTCTTATGTCTGGCCTGCTGACTTTATATACTGTAAAATGAAATGGCTGCAACTGGGGAAGCAAAAGGATAATGCAATCCTGTACAGTGGTACCTCGGGTTACAAACGCTTCAGGTTACATACGCTTCAGGTTACACACTCCGCTAACCTAGAAATAGTGCTTCAGGTTAAGTACTTTGCTTCAGGATAAGAACAGAAATCGGGCTCCGGCGGCGCAGCAGCAGCAGGAGGCCCCATTAGCTAAAGTGGTGCTTCAGGTTAAGAACAGTTTCAGGTTAAGAACGGACCTCCGGAACGAATTAAGTACTTAACCTGAGGTACCACTGTATAAGTATGATAGGAAGTAAGTCCCACTAGCTTACTCCCAGGTAAGTGGACAAAGGATTGTAGCCTGAATTTAACTGTACGTGTTTTGTCTGCAGTTTTATTTGCGATGCCTTTTTCTTGAGAGAAAAGCCATTTGTTAAGAAAATGCTTCCTAGAAAATCAAGCAACCCTGAAAAAAATAGTGCATTTTATTTTACTACTATTTTGCTCTCACCCAGAAAAATAAATGATTTGGAAAACAAATTTACATGTGCATTGGCTAGAATAGTCATTGAAGGGAAATGGCTGCTTCTGAGTTGCTTGTGTGGTACCGGCTATTTTTTTGTTGGCTTTTCTATGCTGCACAAGATTGACTGCACCAAAGAAGTTTGGCAGGATTAATCTGCAGAAGATAGAAAGACGACTGAATTAATAGGCTATTACCAAAGAAGGCGACTCTATTTGCATGAAATATTAATAGCACTAATAAACTTCTGGCAGATGAATTCCAGAGCATATGGATGGCATTTGTAGCCACGATCGCTCCAGAAAATGAAAACTAGAGAATAGGTGACAGGGTATCGTTCACCACGACAAATTACAATTAAATTGTTAGATGGTTTGAGAGTTGCAAGCTTATGAATTGGCTGGGGCTGTTTGGACATTTCTCCCACCTAAAGGGATTCTGCTTCAGAAGAGAGTGAGCTTGTGCAGGTCTTCCCATCCTCTTCATGGTGGAAAAAGGTAAACTTCTGAATGGGAGATCCTGTGGTTAAAATATCGCTCAAATTTACCTGCTCCTCCTTCCTTGTGATGGAAGAATTAAGGGGGGGGGGGTATGTGGAATGTGAAGACAAAAGACATGGATTTGCAAACTTCCAAATCAAACAGATCCATTTTTCAAGGAGTTGGTGCTGGCTTCAATTTCCTGTCCACTAAGCCGCCTTGTTGAGACGTCAAGCTAAATCATAGGTCGCCAAGCTTTTTGGAATATGGGCACATCTGCGGAAGTACAGTGGGCACAAGTCATAAAATAGCTGCTATGGGGTATGTGTGTGCCATAACTCAAAATGGCTGCCACAAACAAGAGTAGAAAAAAAATACAGGACTATAGGATGGTGTGGGCAGGCTTCCCCATCCCCACTCCACAATCAATGGAAAAAGGTTGCCTACATTATCCATGGCTGTGCTTACTCCATTCTTTTCTGAATGGAAGGGAGGCTGGGAGTCATCCAGTGAAATGTGGGCATGTTTTAAGGGGATGTTTTTGGTGTAGCAGAGATTAAGCCAGTGCAAACAGGAGCTGAGCAGGAAGAGCAAGCAGCCTCTCGTGCACTGTTGATGTTTGAGGGGATATTTATTGAGATCTATCAGAAGTGCCAGAGGGTACTGCCAGGCACCCTGGCACTTGCCATGTTGGTGACCATAGTTTAGCATGTGGATTGGAGAACCTGTGGTCTCCAGATGTTGCTGGACTCCAACCAGGTCAGGGGTTGATTCTAGCTGTTATCCAGCAACAACTGGAAGGCCACAAGTTCATCAACATTGGTTGTGTGTGACACAAATGACCCAGGCAATTCTTGGCCTCTTCAACGCAGCCCCAAGGACTGAGGTTAACGCCAACATTAGTTGTGAAACAAGTAAAATTGAAAGTGCACAGATGGAGGGTTGCAGTGTGTGAGTTTACCTAGGCTCCTTCACATCATACTAAATGATTTTTAGCAAGACATCTAAACGCGGTTAGTGACACATTCCAGATTTGCTGCTGTCAGATGGGAAGTGTAAGGGACGCTAAAGCATGTACAGTGGCACTTCAGTTTTCGAACACAATCCACTCTGGAAGACCGCTCGACTTTTGAAACGTTCGGAAACTGAAGCAGTTACCTCCGAGTTTTTGGCGTTCGAAAACCGAAACGTTCGACTTCCGAGACATTTGAAAACCGAGGTACAAGCTTGGTACTGGCTACCTAGATTGGTTTGAGACAAATGGGTGGTTTGGACACAATTGTCTGGACTTGATTCAATTGCAATTCTCTCTCTCTTTCTTCCAAAGCAAACAAAGAGTCTAACTGAAACCAGAGGAAGGCAGCATAACAGGCAGCTAGGTATATGATAAATTTATCTTGAATTTGTATAGATAGATAATCATAACCAGCAACTTCATTACCCAAATAAGGCTCAGTTCTGCACTAATAGTTCACTCTGGATTTCGAGAGGTAGAAAAAGGTGCCAAAGGCAAAATTCCTTGAAAATTAAAATTAATTTCTCCCTGCCTCGTCTAAAACATAAATATATTCACCACCCTAGGTAGTATGCTGTATCCAAGCAACCTAACTGTGGCCAGTCTTTGCAATAGATGAGGCTTTTCACCAAAAATTCATCATGACAGTCCGTACAGTGAGTGAAGAGTGATTTGCATCGGTCCCCGTTAGCCTTACAATTTGAGCAGCATTTTTTTTTTAGCCTAAGTAAACAAGTAATTCCTCCCCAAGCCAAATGTCACAATTAACCTACCCTTTTATTCCCCCCCCCAAAAAAACTTAGTGCCTCATGAAATATGTACTACCCTTTGAGCAATGTCTGTCACATTTGTTTGGTCAAGTATCTCTCATCCTAGTCATTTTTGCTGCAGCTCCTTTTAATTTTCCTGCCTGATAATACGTGTGTATAAGAGGCATACTCAGAGTACCCCCACTTGACCCAAAATACAGCGTACTGCTGGTACAAATATATCCTTACTATTTTATAAGGAACAGCCATTTACCAAAACAGAGCAGAAAAGTTATCAGCCCTATTCGTATGCACACAAATACTTTATTTCTTTGGTAACAGTGGCCTAATAATTCTGGCCCCTCTTGTCTGTGATATCTTTATCCTCCACAGGTTAATCCTGCCAAGTTTCTTAGCTACAGTGTATGTCACACAGTGTATAATATCCAACAATGCAATTTTGCTAATCCTGTTTTATGAGCTTTGTGGCCCTGTCTGGTCAATCCAATAGTCGTTAAAAATCTCATGGAAGGTTTTTGGCAAGATCTCTTTTTCCTACGTAGCTTGAATTAAGTGGTTTAAGAGCCAAACATTGTACTTGAACATCTGCCAATGTCCTTCAGACACAGAATGTCAAGATACTTAATTAAATAGGCCTCCAAACTCTTTCAGACACCCCACCTTATCCAGTCAGCTCCAACATACTAAGTAGAAGTGTGTTTATATATATATATATATCAGTTCAATCTTTTTCAGTGCATTCTCCACACAACACAAACGGTCAAGTTGCGGCACATTCATGGCCCATTATCTTAGAAACAGATTAAAAACAAACATGTAAAGATGGTCTCATTAACAGTGCTTTTGTTGTCTTGTTTACCATTTAGTGGACTCATTACCATTAATTATTAGCGGAGGAAACGAGCAACACAGGAATGTTATTCTTTCCAGGCAAAATTTACATGTGTAAAGAAAGAAGCAAAGATACAGAATACCCGGGTTCTGTGCCATATCTCCATCCAGTTTCCTGAACAAACTGCACAAATCTTCAACCACCGCCACAACTAAAAGGACAGGGTGATTCATAATGAAGTATACAGTCTCCATTCACTATAAAGCTGCCCCCCTAAATCAAGTAAATAAATAAAAATATTTAACTATAAGTAAAAATAATCAGAATATTTGTAATTGAAATGCTCACTGAGGTCACTTGGATGAGGTGCATTCTAGCAGTGCAATGGGCAACCCGGCTGATCAACAGGCATGGCTTCCACAAACTGACCAATCGTGTCGCAGGTAGCTCAGTTTTGGAACAGGATAGGTGGGTCTCCTACTCCCCAACCCCCAATAAATCTTGGCTTCACCCATGATCTGCCTGGACTGTCAAGTTACCGGCAAAGGCCCTTCTCTGTGTGCCCCCACCAAAGGAGTGGGTGCAGCCATGAGGGAGCGGGCCCCATTTGCAGAATGCCCTCTTCAAGAAGGCTAGCTGGCCCCTACATTGTGACCTTTTCGCCACCAGATTAAGACATTTTAATTTTCCCAGTCTATTCAGCTTTCAGGAACACGGGTGGCGCTGTGGTCTAAACCACTGAGCCTAGGGCTGGCTGATCAGAAGGTCGGCGGTTCAAATCCCCGTGACGGGGTGAGTTCCCATTGCTCTGTTCCAGCTCCTGCTAACCTAGCAGTTTGAAAGCACATTAAAGTGCAAGTAGATAAATAGGTACCACTCCAGCGGCAAGGTAAATGGCGTTTCCGTGCACTGCTCTGGTTCGCCAGAAGTGGCTTAGTCATGCTGGCCACATGAGCCGGAAAAACTGTCTGCGGACAAACGCTGGCTCCCTCGGCCTGTAAAGCGAGATGAGCGCCGCAACCCCAGAGTCATTCGTGACTGGACTTAACTGTCAGGGGTCCTTTACCTTTACCTTTATTCAGCTTTCTGGTGCTTTTAGTGTTCTTCACACTACTGTTTCCTTTTTTTATTGCTGGCTTTATTCTGATGCTCTTTTAACTGTTCTTAAGATTTTACGTCTATGCCTTTTTTATGGATTTAACTTCCCTTTGAGAATCGTCCAGAGTACCTTTCGCAGTATAGAAAAGGTGCAAATGAACACATAAAAACATTGGTGTTCGGATGCTAGTTGCCACACCAACCATTTCTGAGTGCGAAACACTAAACAGAGGAAGTGCCTCTTCCTTCTTCTCCAGTGTGACCTTATGTCATGGACTAATAAACTGCCTGTATATTTAAATTATACTTACATAATAATAAATAAGTCAGGTTTTCCAGGCACAATAGTAGTGTTGTGTACACACACACACACACACACACACACACACCAAGCTATATTTTCATAATGTTACCTTATCCTGGGTGTAAACTAGTGCAGAAAAACTTGATTGATTGAATGGTTCATAAATTGCAGTTGAAACTGTGAACTGTAAATGGCATGTTACCTCCCCTATGGCTGGATGTTGGCACAGGATACTACAGCTGATAGCACTCTCTCTCAATCCAGGCAATGAATTTCACATTATTTCATCTTGTTAAGAAATATACCTCCTTTAAATATCCTCATTTTTTTTTTAACTCAGCCGATAATTTAAACTGGCAGAACCGAGGCATAGAAAGGTTTTAACTTGTTTAACAGCGGAAGTACTATTCTCTTCCCCACTTTTATACTGTTGGATATTCTTTGTGGAGGTTTATATTGACAGACTAAGATACTGATCTATTTTGGGCTTTGATGATGCCTATTTTCTTTTCTATACCCTATTTTTTAATAATAATAATAGTATTTTGAGGAATTTTAGTTCTGAGAGCAAGTGGGCGACCTTTGTTCAGTAAAGTTTTTGATGCAGCCTATTGCCAATTATAGGGACGCAGGTGGCGCTGTGGGTCAAACCACAGAGCCTAGGACTTGCCGATCAGAAGGTCGGTGGTTCGAATCCCCGCAACGGGGTGAGCTCCCATTGCTCGGTCCTTGCTCCTGCCAACCTAGCAGTTCGAAAGCACGTCAAAGTGCAAGTAGATAAATAGGTACCGCTCCGGCGGGAAGGTAAATGGCGTTTCCGTGCGCTGCTCTGGTTCGCCAGAAGCGGCTTAGTCATGCTGGCCACATGACCCGGAAGCTGTACACCGGCTCCCTCGGCCCATAGAGCGACATGAGTGCCGCAACCCCAGAGTTGGTCACGACTGGACCTAATGGTCAGGGGTCCCTTTACCTTTTATTGCCAATTATTATCCTGCTCAGTTCCTACGAGTCAGAATGTAGAGCCCTATTTCCATATCTCATCAATCTTCACATTCTCTCTGTGAGGATCAGCCATTTCTAAGCTCATCACCCACCCCTGCTTTGTTTGCTTAATGCAAATTGTACACCCTCTGATCACTGGTTCCTACTCAAGATGGCTAGATTACCTGCATCAAAGGCAGTCATGCCTCTGAATGCCAGTTGCTGGGGACACGAGTGGGGTGAGTGGTTTCTGCAGATTTTTCCGTGCTCTGAGAAAAGATGGAAGAAGCAGAATTGCAATGATTGTATGACAGCAACCTGTGGATGTTCCATACAAGTGAGTGAACAAACGCAAGTGAACAAGTGAGGGAAAAATTGCACACCAAGTGCTGTGAAAACACCTCTTGTCCAACATATTCTTAATTGGGATGCGGAATTATTTTTAAAAAATCATCTCAGAATTTAGCATCCAACTGCAATGTGAATCATGCAACAACTTCAGCACTGACTTGAAGGACCTGATGGATCTCTTGACTCTTGACTCCCACAGTCAGTTGCTTCTAGGAAGCTTGTAAACAGGATGGGTTAGACACAGTCTAGCCCATGGGTAGGCAAACTAAGGCCCAGAGGCCAAATCTGGCCCAATCGCCTTCTAAATCTGGCCCGTGGATGGCCCGGGAATCAGCATGTTTTTACATGAGTAGAATGTGTCTTTTTATTTAAAATGCATCTCTGGGTTATTTGTGGGGCATAGGAATTTGTTCATTTTCCCCCCTTCAAAATATAGTCCGGCCCCCCACAAGGTCTGAGGGACAGTGGACTGGCCCCCTGCTGAAAAAGTTTGCTGACCCCTGGTAGCCTCTAAACTTAAGATCTTCTGATCACAGCCACAATGGCTAATGACTATTGGTAGACACAACTTCCTTGAAGCATTTTTCGCTCTATAGGATGCACCCGACCATAGGACGCACCTTGTTTTAGAGGGGGAGAAGAAGGGGGAAAAAATCTCCCTCTCTCTGCTCAGTGCCTCGTCAGCGAAGCGGCAAGAGAAACGGAGCCCCTTCCATTTCTCCTCCCGCTTCGCTGAAGGGGCGCTGCGCAGCTCTCCCTCTCTGCTGAAGCCAGGAGAGTCTTGCTCTCCCGGCTTCAGCAAAAGGAACCTGAAGCCTTTGGAGCGCTCTAGGCTTCAGTGAAAGCAACGCATAGCCTCCGGAGCGTGGAGGGAGCGTTACTTTCACTGAAGCCAAGGAGCCTGCATTCGCTCCATAGGATGCACAAACATTTCCCCTTAATTTTTGGAGGGGAAAAAGTGTGTCCTATAGAGCGAAAAATACAGTATGTTGGAATCTGGGTGTTCTTCATTCTATCGTCTGAGTCAAGATTTTCTAACGAATTACTGAAAATATATAGAGATTCTTGCTAAAGCAACTTACAGTGGAATAATAGTAACAGCTGTTGCTATTATTCCGGCTCCAAATCATTCAAAATATCAGTATTTTCTTTCCTAAGAGGAAACACAGGGGATGAGTCCCCCACCCCCAAGGATTGTGACCCAAACAGGGTCACTGAGAAACAAGAGGGAAATACCAGAATGCTTGTGATAATTCCAAGGGCTGCAGAAATGCAACAAATCTAACCAGGATGGGGAGACTCCTCCCAAAATAGCCTAATCAGGACTGAGCATGTTCAGCAGTCCCAGAATGGAGAGGGATAGCTGGAAAAGAAAAGCAAAATGGGAAGGGAACAGTTGGCTAAAATATGAGTGCTCTGTTTAGAAGGAAGCACACTCTGCAAGAGTTTCAGGTCCCACTTGTCATTTCTGTACAGTGGTACCTCGGGTTACATACGCTTCAGGTTACATACGCTTCAGGTTACAGACTCCGCTAACCCAGAAATATTACCTCAGGTTAAGAACTTTGCTTCAGGATAAGAACAGAAATCGTGCTCCGGCGGCACGGCAGCAGCAGGAGGCCCCATTAGCTAAAGTGGTGCTTCAGGTTAAGAACAGTTTCAGGTTAAGTACAGACCTCCGGAACGAATTAAGTACGTAACCAGAGGTACCACTGTACTATAAAATACCAGAGGGGATGGAGAAAGGTTAAAACGGGCATTTTCTCTGGCACTCTTTCACTACCTGAAAGAGCAATGCCATGAACTGACCAAGCCCATCCATTTAATCACTGGCATTACTGCCTGGTGTAAAAGGAGAAAATGAGTTCTGCCTTTGTCTGCTGCTTCTCAGCCACAGGCGGCTAGTTTCAGACAGCGGATCAATGCACCGTTCTTCGGGCACCAAGGGAGTCTGATATAAGGAAACTTACTTAGAGGCTCCGAAAGTGACAACCGCCTCAAGCTGTCAGATCAAGTCCTCCTCCTCCTTGTCGTCTAAATGGCCGTCATAAAATACGTTGCATTTGCCTGCCAGCCAGCCATATTGGTTTTGCATGCACTCTCTGCTAATTATAATGAGGAATAATTAAGCTATTTGCTAAATTAGCAGTTCTCGCCCTATAGCCTTGTGGCTGGGCAGAGGTCCACGGAGAGGGTTTGCCACGCTACCTTGGTGAGAATTTGTGCTGACAGAACAGTCCATTCGTCTTTGCGTCTTTAGACAGCTGTGCTTACCTAGCAGAATGTAAACATCTTTGAACTTTGCTTACTGGATAAAATGAAGCATTAGTTTCCTCCCGCATTTCCTCCTGCAAGATCAATCATATATGTAGGGTAGACACAGCATCCCTGTGTTTGTAATTAATCTCGTAAAGGCAGAACATCTCTGGATCGATGGCTTGCTATATTTGTCTGCAGCCTCAGAGAGGAAAAAGGGAATCGAGGGAAAGATATAAGCAGTGAGAATAATAATCACTTCTGATCTGGATATGAAACACGCATGTAGGCAATCTATACTATAGACATACAAAACAGGAATATGCCATTGTGTCAGCTGATTCATTGCTGGAGTTGTCATTTAATAAAAAAAAATAAGCTTCTAGTTCTCATATGGGAAGTTGGGATTATTTCTAGGTATGCCAACGGAGATAAACTGATCACAGAAAGGTTAAAGGTTTTGTCTTAATATACTCTGCAAATGACATGCAATGGGGTTTTGAGCTGGAAAGTTCTTGATTTGTTTTTGACTCGTGCTACTAAGTTTCAAACCAAATAATCTGAATTACTGTAAACATCCACGAATAGAAGAGCCTGTAGATAAAACATTTGCTTTTCAAATCTGTAAGGAATCAAACCCACTTTTGTGCAAGGATTATTATGCTGTACAAATATTTAAAATTTGCCATTTGTGGGGGAAATGCCTGAAAATTAAGAGAAAGAAAAGGGAACCTTGTAGAAAATGTGGCTTGTTTTGCTTTCTGTTAATGTTCTTTCCTTATGATACTTGGTGGCAGTAGAGAAAGTGGACAAGATGTCGATTATTAGGGTAAAGTTGAAGAATTTTACAAACATGAAGGGAATACTTGGACAATCGTATTCAAGAATTACAGGATGTACAACTGTTCATGAGCCGCTTCAGGCTATGCATATATTTATGAATATACAATCCTTCTTTTGAAATGGCACTGTGCTGTTCAATTCACAAGAGAGTTACAATAAATGCTTAATGCCGAAATGAATTCAGTGATCCCCTCCTCCGTGAATTAAATGGCAGGAAGACTCAAAACTGTTTTAACACATCAGAATACAGAGAGATCAGACCCTCACAATGCAACTCTATAAATGTCTACTCAGAAGTAAGTCCAATAGAGCTCAATGGAGCTTACTCCCTGGGCACAGGATTGCAACTGCAGCCTCTCCCCTACAAATCAACTCTTGAGTGCACTTTTCACTGCAGAATTCACGCAGAAAAAGACTGCACTGTAAGTCTATTCGATTTCATCATGTGCTTGGTAGCAAATAACCTCCCCAAATTTCAGCCACTTATTATTTTTAGGTTTTCTTTCTGTATACCAAAAGCATATTGGGCAACAAGCATCCCCCCAAATTCCAACCAAATTATTTTATTTGGGGGGGGCGGTTTTTCCTTTTCTTTTTCTATTTACCTCTTGCAATTTGTTGGGGCAAAGATTTTCCAACAAAAGTGATCCAAAGAAGCAGGTGTAAGTGCCCAAACATCATTTTCTTTCTGAAAAACCAAAATGCTTTTTTCTATAGATCCCTGCACACTTGGGGCACTTTTTTTTTTAAACCCACCCCCCAATGAGGAAACTTTTACAAGCAAAAGCTGATCCAGGGAAGGGAATTAAGTTCCCTTCTTCTAACACGACTTTTGTTTTGGGACACTTAACTACTAACATAATACACTGGAATTTGATTTGGTATAGTAACTCCTCATCCCAAAATTTCTAAGGGGGTTTTTTGGGGGGGGGGTTGGCAGTGAATTTTAAAAGTCTGGTGCTAATGTTTGGTGCTAAAGGGCTGATTCTCACAATGGGCTTTCTCTAGAGACTTTCTTCCATGTGTCTTAGGAATGTTGAGTTTCCCTTAGATTTTTGGATGTTACTGTGACTCCAGTACTGAGCTGTGCAGTGTCTTCTGAAAAGCTCATCTGGCCATGTACTATGAAAGGCAACAATTCATGGCTTTCACACAATCAGCTGAACACACATTAGCCTGAATTAAAATCAACAGTGCTCATATATTAGAAAGTTATAGTCAGATATTTCCATCCTATCAGATACTTCAACACAAATTATGTTTTCTTTTGATCATGATTGCTACTTTGGGAAAGTAAAGTATACTATATTGAGGGTGGTAATACTGTATTCTAACAGCTTTAAAATGTTAATATATAGTTTTTAGTTGTTGTTTTACTCAAGCCCCGTGCTTTTTTCCCCCCTTAAAACAATGTTTAGGGGTACTTTCATTTTGACTCAAGAAAATCACCATTTTATAGTTCAAATTGTGAAAAATAAATACAGTAAATGGATAAAAGTACAAAGATTCACAAAATGTTTAGGGGTATGCGTACCCCTGCATCTCCCCAGAAAAAAAGCACTGATCAAGCCTATATTCAACTTACTTCAGCATATCATACACTTAGGATTTTTATGAAAATGGATTTTTAACTGAATAATATTAGCCAATCACCCAACAGTACGAAACCATTATATGCTTGCATAAGCTATAAAATGCAAATATTCAGAACATGAATTTTCACCATTATTCTTAAATGAAAGGCTAGACGATTTTAAAATGGCCATCCACACAAAACATTATCAGTTTATTTTGCACAATCTGCACATGGATGAACATTGGAAACATCCTTTGAGCAGCAATACTTGTTCCCTTCGGAAAATGCATGGATTTTTTTTTTTTTTAAATGCCATTGTTTCCAAAGCATATGCTAAAGACAACTAGATTTGGGCCATCTTTGTTGGAGAAAATACTTGCAGAACCCTAATAGCGAGTCTGGCTGGTATCTTTAAAAAAAATAGTCAATGGCCTTTCTGCCTATTCATTGTTCAGAGAAATTACTAACTAAATCAAGGGACAAACCACTGGTCTGAATCTTTCTGCATCTATTAATCAGTTCCCTGTGCAGCAGCCTCCTTGTGTCTGCGTACAATCAGACGACAGAGGTGCTGTCGCCGGACTGTTCACGCAGACACATAAGCTGAAATGACAGACTGTTCTAGAATATCATTAAGATGCCTGTTCCAGGGCTCTTTCTGTCCCCTCAGTGGCACAGAGAAATGGGTCACTTTGAGCAAATAAATACCCTTAAATCTAGTTTTTTCTACGGCATCACTAGGAGGGGAGGGAAAACCTTTGGAATGTCTTTGTGCAGATTTCATGAAGTTTGATCTCTGCATTCTTATAGAAGTCTCCTTGCTGTCTGTTGTCAGTTGCTTTCTGTCTGTGTAAAGGGAAAGGGGAAGAAGGGATTTATTTTATTTTTTGCCTATACAGTGGTACCTCGGGTTACATACACTTCAGGTTACATACACTTCAGGTTACAGACTCCGCTAACCGCTGAAATAGTGCTTCAGGTTAAGAACTTTGCTTCAGGATAAAAACAGAAATCGGGCTCCGGCGGCGCGGTGGCAGCAGGAGGCCCCATTAGCTAAAGTGGTGCTTCAGGTTAAGAACAGTTTCAGGTTAAGTATGGACCTCTGGAATGAATTAAGTACCTAACTGGAGGTACCACTGTACAGTGGTACCTCGGTTTATGAACTTAATCCATTCCGGAAGTACCTCGGTTTATGAACTTAATCCATTCCGGAAGTCCGTTCTTAAACCAAAACCTTTCTTAAACCAAGGCACGCTTTCCCTAAAGAGGCCTCCACCGTTTGGATTCCGTTCTTAGACTGAGGTAAAGTTCTCAAACCAAGACACTATTTCCAGTTTTGCGGAGTTTGTAAACCGAATTGTTCTTAAACTGGACTGTTCTGAAACAGAGGTACCACTGTACATAAACTATTTATGGACTGATTAATGCTGGGGGTGTACAGGAAACAGGAAACAGCTTGAACATACCAGGAAATTGGAACTACCAGCCATCAATGACAGTCACCTATCTGCAGGCAAAGAAATGAGAAAAAATGTGCAGACGAAACCAGGAAAAATGTATAATTGCCTTTGGGAGGCAGTGTTTCTTTTCCCCCCTTAAAAACTTTTCATTGGTGAAGAATGTGATTAACATGAACTACACTATGACATTCAACAATCTTCTGAAACCCGTCTGTGTGGAAAGCAGCTCATGGAAGATCAAAACAGATATGATATTGATATTATATAGGAAAAAGCAAGAGGAAAAATGGGAGTGCCTAACACAAGTTGAAAAAGAGACAAAAGAGAAGGAAAAAGCTGTTCATGACACCTCAGACCCGAGTGAAGGGTTGATGAATCTTCTGAAAAAGATGTATGCTGAAGGCGATGATGAAATGAAGAGATCAATTAACAAAGCCTGGGTTGAGAGCTGAGAAAAGCAAGTCCAAGATGATTTACCAATAGACATTTGAACAAATAACCACCTTAAATGTACATCTTTTGTATGGGGCTTCTGCTGAGATCAGAGAAAGTGTGCTGTTTACACAATCTTCCGAGCAAAAACAATGAGTTTTACATTTCAGGTTGGAGATGGGAAATAAAGCATGCAGAAAAGCTTTTCTTTCAGATGTGTTGCCCTTCTCCCATAAAGCTTTAAGTGCTTTTTGTGAAATTGACAAATATAAGTAAGCTAGTTTGAGTGAAAAAAAACAAAAACCTTTTCATTGTAATTATGAAATACAATATTCAATAAAGCAATGTCTTATAAAATTATTCATCCTACTTTTAAAGTTGGGTAGCTCAGTTGGTTAGAGCATGGTGCTGATGATGCCAAGATTGCAGGTTCGATTTCTGTATGGGGCAGCTGCATATTCCGCAGGGTTCTTTCCAACTCTACAATTCTGATTCTACATCAGCTTGCTTATATATTATCTCCACTGTTGGAAGCATCTGGCTGACCCCTGTGAGAACCCATGGCTGCAATCCTATACTCCCTTATATTGTAGGACTAAGGTTAAAAAAGGTAAAGGACCCCTGGGTGACTAAGTCCATTCAAAGGTGACTATGGGGTGTGGCCCTCATTTCGCTTTTCAGGCTGAGCGTGCAGGTGTTTGTCCACAGACAGCTTTCTGGGTCATGGGGCCAGCATGACTAAACTATTTCTGGTGCAGCTGAGACCCATAAAACAAAAGGCAACTTACAGTACTTCTGAATAAACAGTATTGCAGTGTAATTTACATGTTTGCACCAGACAAGAAAAGGACTTCAAAGGGTGCCTCCAGACCAGGGGTCAGCAAACTGGTCCACTGTCCCTCAGACTTTGTGGGGGGCTGGACTATATTTTGAAAGAGAAAAAAAAGAACGAATTCCTATGCCCCACAAATGACCCAGAGATGCATTTTAAATAAAAGCACGCATTCTACTCATGTAAAAACACGCTGATTACCAGACCGTCCACAGGCCGGATTGAGAAGGCGATTGGGCTGGATCAAGGCCCCAGGCCTTAGTTTGCCTACCCATGCTCCAGACTGTCATTATTTTCCAGGAAAGATTCAAGCTCAAAGTAGAAATTTGGGTTTGCACCATCGAAATGGACCCAAGCACTTTATCATTCTAGCACAGTGTTTCCCCAAATTGGGTCTCCAGCTGGTTTTGGACTACAATTTTCATCATCCCTGACCACTGGTCTTGCTAGCAAGGGATGGTGGGAGTTGTAGTCCAAAAACAGCTGTAGATTCAAGTTAGGGAAACACTGCTCCAGCCCGACAAATCTACTTAAAAACAAACAAACAACCTTTCACAATTAGGAAAGTGGCAAGGACATGCACTGAAAAGTATGGGATGAACAAATGAGGAATAAGATGACATAAAAACACCCTGCAAACGAATCAAGATAAATGCTCATTGTCGTGTAACTAACTTCCTCTCAAACAAATTGAGTGAATGCTCAATGGACGTAGCCTAACCTCTGTGTTAAGCACGGTACAATCATAAACTGGTTGTCTGGAGGAACCCAGAGATGATGGCCTAGTCTGTGTGTCCCATCAAACCTACTTAATAACAAACTAGGGTTTAATGTGAATGCACAGTGTGTTGGTGCCACTGAAAGGTTCTCACTCTACTCCTTCTCAGCTCAAATTGCTGCTGCACCCTGGATGAAACAAGCTAGAGTCTGGATAGTCCTATGTCTGAACCTGGGCTCATGGTTTCTTCCCCAAAACAAACCATGAGTCCAAATTCAGATGACACAACAAGCCTGATTCTGGCATGTTTTGTCTATGGTGTGGCAGCAGGAGTGAAGGAGGAGTACACCCAGGGAACTTTTGAGTGATATGCAGCAGAATGCTCGTATGTATATTAGACCAGAAACAGAGCATAATGTGCATTAAAACCACACCGAGAAAGTAAGGTAAAGGTAAAGGTACTCCTGACCGTTAGGTCCAGTCGTGGACGACTCTGGGGTTGCACGCTCATCTCGCTCTATAGACCAAGGGAGCCGGCGTTTGTCCGCAGACAGCTTCCGGGTCATGTGGCCAGCATGACTAAGCCGCTTCTGGTGAACCAGAGCAGCGCACGGAAACGCCGTTTACCTTCCTGCCGGAGCAGTACCTATTTATCTACTTGCACTTTGACGTGCTTTCAAACTGCTAGGTGAGCAGGAGCTGGGACCGAACAATGGGAGCTCACCCCATCGCGGGGATTCAAACCACTGACCTTCTGATCGGCAAGCCCTAGGCTCTGTGGTTTAGACCACAGCGCCACCCTTGTCCCCCGAGAAAGTTTAGTGAATATTAAATGCAACTGATAAAATCTTGCCGTTGATTAACTCAATTCACACTGCATAAATACACATCATACGTAATCAGGAGTCAATGGGAATCTGGTCAGCTCCCTCAAGGCATACAAAAGAAAATTTTAAAAAATCAAGTGTTACCAGTACCACTGGGACTCATATAACAATCAGTGTTGCTCAGCAAGCTGTAAAAGAAGAGAGCAATAATTCTGCATCACAGCTGTGTGTAATTTGCGCAATAATACAGGTGCACATGCAGATACGCGCTTCCTTACTGCTGCCCCAAATTCCAAGCAAAGGTAAACCACATCATGTGCAAGAAAAACGGGATTCAGTGAACTACATTAAAATATTGACATTTGCCACAAAGATGACAACATCTGGTAAGAGCCAATTTCACTACGAGTGTGTGTTCCAAGATGCACACCACTGTCAGCTTCCATAGAGTCCGGACATTTGCCACGTTGCAAAATCCAAGTTTGGCAGAGGTGGCCAGAATGCAAAAGAAGAACGACGTTCCAGTGTGCTGCTTTAGCAGGGTTTTAGGGGAAATGCTGCAAGAGTCTACTCCTCTCCCACTCACCCGCATGTCGTCCTATTTTTAGCTAGTGAGTCATGGGTGTCCACAGAGAACAGGCCCACCATTTCTAGTGGACCTCGTGACAAGCAGTGGTGGTTCTTAGCCTGTGAGGAACATGGTTCTTAGCCATGTTTCAGATCTGCCCCTCCATTTTCCCTCAATTATTTTATGAAATATGATCTGAGTTAGACACCTGTTTTTGATGCTTCCTTTTGGCTTTGAGTTGACTTGCCACTCCAGAGGTGGTTTAAGGGTGGTGCAACTGGTGTGGTTGCACTGAGCACAGTGGTGCAGGGAGCGCCAAAACAAATGGTGTAAAACAGAGCGCCAGAGGCTGGGGGTGTCTAATTTTAGAGTTGCACAGGGTGCCGCTGAAATTTGAGAGCCCAAAGTCCACCACTGCCCAACCCTAGCAGCTACACTAAGATTGTTATCTTGCCTAGCAAAACAATGTATGTCTGTTTTAATAATAAGAATAATAAGACTAATAATACCCTGTCCATCTGGCTGGATTGCCCCAGCCGCTCTTTGAAACAAAACAAAATAAAACAGTTTTGCCTGAGAGATTTGGCCTTTCACATATTCAACTATAAGGGCTGTTGGTAAATGAAAAGAAGCTGGTCATCTCTGAATTCTATTCCAACCCCAGCTGAGTGATGCACGCATCTGTCTAGTTGTTAAGTGCAAGGTTTAGGGATAAACCAGGCTTAAATCAGTGGTGTGTTCTTTGGCTAATGAAAGAACTGCCAATGCAATTCCTTTGGAATTCATTTTAAAACAAAACTGCAAATTTGACCATCAAGTTGTTGATGGTTCTTGATGAAACACAGTTGTCATTTTAAAGAAATCACATCCAAACCACCGAAGTGTGCAAATGTGAGGTTTGTTGTGTGGGTCCACTTACAATGGAGCATCTGGAAGTTGAAGCTTGCAGGGAGCATGTTTTTATGTTTCCAGAGTAATTAACAATAAACTGTTGTTTTATCTTCTTGTCTCTAGCTTTGGGTTACGGTTCAGCTTTCATCTTGTTTGCCCTTAGTGGTCCAAGGACAATAAACATTATATTAGATGCCACAAACAACAAAACAATTGCGGGGGCTTTGCCATTGACTGCGCTGAGTTCTCTCCTTGTTCACAAGCATCTGTAAGTGCAGATATGCTGGGGTGCATAAAAGCAAAAATAATAATATTTCCTCCATTTAAAAAATAAATAATAATCATGACTCTGCTAGTTTCCCACCCCCATGATAAAATATACTAATTTAAATTTACGGGAATGAAACTGTGTTGGCGTTAATTGCAGAAATGGTTTTTGTTTTGTTTTTTTTCACAGCACAACTGACAATAATTTCCCCACCAAGGCAACTTCACAATTTTACATTCTGGGCAGTGCATGTGGGTTTATTACCATTTTATCCCCATAAAAACCTTACAAGATAGCTTGGGAGTTAGCCAGTTGTGCAAGGCCACCCATAGCTAAGTTAACATTTGAACCCAAGACTATCTACCAAACCACAGCTGGCTATATAACACTTTAATATGCGCAGCTCTTGCCAATGGTGGATGCAGTCCAGGAACACTGTGTGAGGGACCACTATATGTACAGGCTTCCTTGAAGTTCCCACTATTGCCACACCTGTTGCTGAAGAGGCAAGCCACGTTTCAAACTGAAAAGCAGCTTGCCTCCTCAGTCGTGTAAACGGCATTGGTGGTGATTTCTTTAAAATCTCTGAGTACGTAGTTTTCTCTTCCCCAACAAATGGCTTCAGTGGATTGGGAAAAGGCTATAGCTCTGTGACAGAGCATGCAGAAAATCCCGGGGTTCAATCTCCAGGACCAATGCTCTGAATAAGGCAGTTTTCTGGGATTTCAGTCATTGTCTATACAAATTAAAAAGGACAACCCTGGCTCTTGATGATAGTGGCTTGAAAGCGGCCGCAATATCCCTGTCTTTAAATAATTTGTCATCAGAGGGAATCTGCCTTGGGGAGGAGTGTTTGCAGCCCTCTCTCTACCAGTCACCGAGATAAGATATGAGCTTCCTTTGAAAAGATAAGAGTCATAAAGCATTCTGGAGAGAGAATGGGTGCTTAGCTAATAGATGCGCATAATTGCTAGGTAACAGTATTCCTTGATGGGGAATTTTGACAGCCAGTTTTGAGTGGCATCACAAAAGACACGCAATGTGTTCAGTGCCTGTACTCATTTCCTTGGAATCCTCCACAATATCAGCTGTAATTAAAGAGAGAGAGAGAGAGAAGTTCCCAAATATTTCAAGATCTCAAGCAGGCATTTTTGTGGCATTGTGTCAGAGAAGTGTATAGGCGTTAAGAGCAAGTGTTGATATTTCCCCTTTGTTCCAGCTACCGTGCTGTAAGGAGCTGAGAATGAATTGCATGGGAGTTAAAGAGAACGTGGGTTGAGGGTGGGGAGAGAAACGCTGTGGTCTGGAGGGAAGGGGGGAAGCTGTAATTACCTTCATATGTACAGGAAGGTATTAGAGAAATGAATGGGAGATTGGCATGCTAAAAGCCAATTTACGCTCCCCACCCAATGAGGCAAAGGGAAGCAAAGATGCTATAAGAGACCAGCTGGCAAGGGCAGCATTCTAAAAAGGCAGGAACGCTGTTTCAAAGGCCACATAACGTTCTATGGCCAAATGGTTAGTTTTATTCTTTCTGTTTTATCTTAGAAATAATTGTAGCGTCTTCCCTTTGTATTAGGCCACCAACCATCCATCTTTAATTTCCACAAGTGCATGCAAATTAGGAGTTCATGTTTTTCAAGTTGGCAGCGTGCATATCAATTTTTTGAAACCCAGCTACAGCTGGGGGGAGGGGGGGCAGTGTGCAGGGAAGAGGCAGGGTGCACTTGGGAGCGAAATGCGTGTGTGACCCGGTCCAAGTTGCACAGTTTTATAATTATCGAAGCTGAAAAAGTATATGCTGTTCGAGTTGGTTATAAAACACAAATCTGGAAGAGAAAACATATGTCAACGTTCAGAAGTCCTTTCCCTGTTCTTTTTTGGGAACCTCAGCTCAATCACAGTTTACTTTAACTATTTGCATTAAAGGTACATATCAACTTTTAAAAATTTTGTCTTAGCTATTTGGGGAGACTCTTGAGTTCAGATGGCGAGAGGAGGACATGTGTCCTTGGCTTTGACCCAGATATTCCAATTGCTTCCTGATTATCCTGTAGACCCATCTATGCATCACCTATGAAGAGTCTGAATGGGTCACTTTAGAGTGATGTGCATACAAAGCTCAATTTGAGCCACAAAGTGGCAGAGTTTAGGTCGGGACTATTTTGATTTCAAATGTATGAAGTATGCGGAAAGAGGGTGCTCTGTGCATGTGCGAAATGTAATTTCCTTAAGTCACACAGTAACCACAGTTGCCTCCATACCTCTTTGAGGAGGGAGCAAAGATTCTAAGAGTGTGACATTTCTAGATAAGCATGGCCTTAGCACCTTTCATATTCAGAAATGTGAGCCCTCTAGATGCAGATCTGAGAAATCTGCGATTTTGATTCTTTTTAAGCCAATGGAGTCACCGGGTGCCATCTTTTGTGTAGGTCCATCTCAATTCCTCAACTGTAGTTGTAACCAACACTTGCAGTCTACCTGGCTACACTGGTCTACCTGTGTCTACACTGGCTACACTGTTAAGATGATCTGGAGAAAGCTACTGTCCTTGAACCCTCTAGATGTTGCTAAACCACAACTCCCATCTCAGCAAGTGTGGCCAAAGCTTCCCCATATCTGGTCTAGACCAACTTTCTCTGTCTTGGTGTCCTCCAGCTGATCTGGACTATAACTCTCAGTGTCCCTAACTATTGGTTATGCTGGCTGAGGCTGATGGGGTTTGTAGTCCCAAACAGCTGGAGAATATCAGCTTCAATGAGACTGCTTTAGATAAGTGATGTATCCCACTTTTAGCTTTGGAAGTGTACAGCTGTGTGGGAGTGATTTGCTCATGGCTTCCCATGGCTGAGGGGGGTTGAAATGCAGACCAAGTCCAATGTTATATGAACCACACACTACTGACACTTATTCTGCAATCTGATATCCACTTAACCTAGAACTAAACCCTGCTGAACTCAGGTATGCATCAAACTGAACTGTAACAAAGCAGCATGCTTTCTCCCTGCACAAAATGTTTTATAACATTCATTTTTACAAAACTAACTTGGCAATTCCAAATGTCTCAATCACAAGAGAGAGAAAATCAGAATAGCTGGCAGAATTTTCAGTACAGTAATAACTTGTTTTTTTCTAGGCTTTCATATTCATTACAAAGACACTATGAGTATATATAACTGTGATGCGCGCATGCGCGCGCACACACACACACACACACACACACACTGCAGTGCTGCAATATTTTGATGGGTTTAATAAGCTAAACCTAATAAAGGGGATATACTATACTCAGTACAAATGTCAGGTTAAGTTAAATCAAAACACCAAGCAAAGTTCTGGATGCAAATAATGGCTGGCAGGGATAATAAAGGAAGATGACTTAATTTCTGTATTTTGGGTGGTTTGGAAGGAAGACATGCAAAAGGTGGTAATTATTTGCTATGCAATTAATTTGCTTAAATTAGCTGTGTGGTGCATTTTGGTCAACTGCCTCAGCTGGTCGTAGACAACGTATTCCAGTGATCTGACAAGGGAATGCATTTTTCTAAAAATTAAAAATAAAAATCCTCAGGAAACTTGGTTCCATTTAATTTCAGGTCATATCCTACGACAGAAATTTCATGCTGATTTGAAAGGAAAATCCGAGCATATTCAGCAGATCCTTAAAAGTTGCACTAACTGTCAGACTTGTTGAATCTCAGGCATGTCACACACACAAACACACAGCAGGGGTTTTAGTTCCAGGCAAAGTTATGACAGCTAACCAGAGTGGTTGAATGGCAACTCAAGCATCCCGAATAAGCAGAATCCGGAATTTTTGTTCAGTAAATCAGCCTGCCCCCACCCTGGTTTAAAAGACAAATGTCACACAATATACTCGAAACAGTTAGGGCTACAAATGAATGTAATGCAGAGTTCCTCAACCTGTGGGATGCAATGTCTGTGGAAGTGGGTCATGGGCTTTGTAAGTAAATCCAAAATAATTATTGCTATTAATCCTTAACTGGTATGATGGATTCCTCTTATAGAGGCGATCTGTAACAGCTTGAAACAGCTCCTTGTACAAGCATCTTGTGGTGAACTGTCACTGGATCAGTTAACTGCCAGGATTAGTTAATACAGTGGTACCTCGGGATGCGAACGGGATCCGTTCCGGAGCCCTGTTCGCATCCAGAAGCAAACGTAACTAGCGACGGCACGTCTGTGCATGCATGCGTCGCCTTTCGCCACTTCTGCGCATGAGCAAGACGTCATTTTTAGTGTCTGCGCATGCGCGAGCGGCGAAACCCGGAAGCAACGCGCTCCGTTACTTCCGGGTTGCCACGGAGCGCAACTTGAACGCGCTCAACATGAAGCATATTCAACCCGAGGTATGACTGTAGTTAATCCAAGAGAGATCTGAAGTTTGTTTAGTTGAAATAAATAATAATGTATCAATAATGACCTGAGACCATGCCTGGCAACTTTGAAACCTCTCATTGGCTTAGTCACTGGTAAAATGGAAGCTTGGCCATCCCACCGATATTCAGACTTTGATATTTCTAACCCTGCTTGCGTATCCGCATTTCTCCAGAAGAATTTTTGCAGCTTAGGATGCAATATCCTGCAATCAGATGGTGGGTGTGCTTTCATTCCCATAAACAAGACCACAAATAAGTTTTTTAAAAAGTACAATAACATTTCAACTAATTCCACATTAATAAAGGTGTTAAGTATATTCTTGCTTGGATGCCTGAAGGTTATAAAATAGGCAAACTTCCTGTTAAAATGCATGAAACTGATGGCTCCTGAAGACCTAAGGTCCAAAACTCAAGGGACAACAGGATAGTGGGGTCACCACTCTAAGTGAATTTGAACTTGTGGGTCGCCATATCAAAAAAGTTGGGAACCAATTGTGCCTGTTTCACTCCTCCATACTATCACCAGGGAGAAAGAAATTGTGCTTCCTGGTTTATGTCTGAACCAAAGACTATGGGTTTGTTTCAGCCCCACGCTAAGCACAATTTGCAGCTAAGGTTTGTTTTTGGCTTACTGATTGTGATTTGGTTGGAGGGGCATAAACTACGATCCCTGGTTCGGGACTAATGCCAAGTCAGGGACTGTGGTTTTCTCCCCAGCACTAACAAGGAGCAGTAAAGCAGCTGTGATTCTCAGGCCTGGCAAATCCATTAACTATGGTTTGCCCGTGAGAAGGAAACTGACCCTCAACCTCCCCTGCTTGAAAGCCTTCAGGAGGAAACCCCAAGGAAAATTCCATACCTGTTGCCTTGCGGGACATATTGGGGAGAAGAAAAGGCTAAGGAATAAACCCTACAGAAATCCAGAATGGAGTTCCTAAGACAGTTGGGTGGTGCCATGTATGTCTCATTCGGGCAACTCCTGCAGCCAAACTGGTGTCAAACGTATTGCTCTGCTTTCCTTGGGACCACATCAATGAGGCCAAGGTCTTGTTGTCTGGGCAGCCCAGGACCTCCCTGCACACTGCCCAGGCTTGCACCCCGGGGAGGTCACTTCGGTGCTGCAAACACAGCAAAAACAATGTGGGAGGCAGCAGTTATGAGTTGCTGGTCTTTGCGGCCACAGCAGACACCATGGTTCTCTAGCAGTTTGACCTCACTCCCAGAGGCACACTCCATTGTCTCACGGGACAGACAGATGCCAACGTAGGAGCCAACTCCTAGGGGCTGAGCCCCCCCCCCCATATTTTATTGGGTGCCAACAACCTGTGGAAGCTAAGCATGCTCCATATAAGGACCCCCAATGTAAACTTCCTTCATTTAATAAAAGAAAATGATTTCAAAATTGAAAATGGTTTCAAAATCTAAAAGAAAGGAGAGAGAGAGAGAGAGAGAGAGAGAGAGAATGCATTCTGTCTCATTTATGTCATGTTTAAATCCCACCTTTCTCTCATGGAGCTCAAGGTGGCAGTCACAGGAGTCCCCAGCCGGTCTGCCAGCTGGGCACTGATCATAACCCAGATCTGTTTAGCTTCAGCAGGTATGTGGCTCCATATGCTGTTTAAACCATACCCCGGGCTCTGAGATCACGGATCGACAACTTATAATAATAATAATTATATATATATCCCGCCCATCTGGCTGGGTTTCCTCAACCACTCTGGGCTTACAACATATATAAAAACACAACAAAACATCAAATATTAAAAACATCCTATACAAGCAACAAACAAATAAATAAACTAACAGAAATCAACAACAGTTAACTGTTATACCCAAATTAAAATAACTACCAACTCCAACTAAACATTTAACCAACACCAACCAGACAAAAAACAGAGGTACCAAAATTAGAACCATTTAAAACATTTTAAAACATTTTAGCCAGTTGCTGCAAACCAAGAGTTGTTCCAGCACTGTCCCAATGGCCTCCCAGGAGCCTCCTTTAGCTGTTCAGGGTGAGTCTGAATCCCACCCCTTAGGCCAGGTGGAAATGGGTATTGCAGCAGGAAGCAGCCTTCCTGCCAGCACTCATGGCAGCAGCATATGGTGTACTATGCAAGATGTAGCCTGTCTATCACTTCTTTTAAGACATGGCACCTGATATGATATATATGAGGCAGTATGGTGTAGTGATGAGAGCACTGGACTAGGACTGCAGAGACCTAACTTCAAATTCCCACTCAGACATAAAGCTCACTGGGTGATCTTGGGCCAGTCACTATTTCTCAGCCTTACCTACCTCTCAGGGTTGTTTTGAGAATAAATTGGAGAAGAAGATAACCATGCATTGCTGGCTGGAGTTCCTTAGAGGATATAAACTCAATAGAGAAAGAGTAAACTTCATCTCAGAATATTGTGTACCTTGCCTGTTTTCCTCCCCACCATAAGCCCACTTACTCTCCTTTCTCTATCAATCCTCTTTTGTAGTTTGTAGTCACATTAAATTGCTTGCTTTTCACCTAGGTGAATATGAAGCACCTCAGTGTGTTTATTTATTTATTTTAAAGCAGGGCTTTTTTCAGCCGGAATGCACAGGAACTCCATTCCAGCACCTCTCAGGTGGGCGCCATTGCCATTATAAGAGAACAAGGGAGGCGTTCATGGTGAGTTCCGGCACCTCTTTTTCTAGAAAAATAGCCCTGTATACAGAAAATAGAAAAATAGACACATATTGTTATTTCGCAGAGCTAGGAGCACCATGCAGCCTGTTGCTCAACGGCTTGTGGGGGTTTATAGGCGTTGTAATGGATTTACAAATGGCACCATAAAAGCCTGCGAAGAAATAACATGTGAGCAAGTTGTTCGGTTTCGGTCTCGTCTTTCTGATCCAGCCCCACATGCCCTCCGGTGTGCATGTCCGGTGTGCAGGGACGACAGTGTGAACATGAGACAGTGTGAACATTAGAACTCCCATGCTCATAAGAAATCCCTGACTCACTCTGTTGTGTGTTGCATGCAATAGGCTTCAGGAGAGAGAACTCTATGCTCTGAAGTCTTTTTGTGTAAGCTAATTGCAGCAACATCTTCATTCTCCTGCCGCTTCTACTCCACGCTGACATTGTCATCTGTGGCTATGTCAGCAGTTTCCCCCCTCCCACCCCCCACTGACATTTCCTTTCCGGTTGAAGAACAGATGCGCGATCAGATGGCATCGAGTGGCGCTTTTACCTCTTCGCGGCACTATTGACTCATCACACAGAACAGGGTTCATTAAAAACCATTGTTTCATCCCTTCCTCTAACCACAGGGAGACAAGCAGGAAGGCTGCGTTGTTGTTTGAAATACAACCACGTTGGTGTGTGCATGCAATTGCACTTTTTGTTTCTTTACCTTGGCATGGAAGCTGCTGCAGGGGGAAGGGAATTATGGCATGTGGATCATCACAGGTCAAAATTCTATTCATTCATTCATTCATTCATTTTTTAAAAAGAAGAATGCAACTTTAACCCACTACATGGGAATAATGGAGCCTTAAAGCAAAATCCTTTGCATGTTTGCTTTGAAGTTAAGTTCTATCGATTTCACCGGGACTTGCTCCATGGAAAGATTATGGCCAGGATTGGTGCCCTCAGTGCTGGAACTTGCTCAGTTGGGCTTCTTAAATCAGGTTCCACCATCTGTTTTGAAATTGCTGGTGCAGGGCTTTCAGCGAACAGAGGAAGAGATCAGCGGGAGATGTGCAACAGGAGGCTTATGTCAGAGTCCCTGCTGAAATCTGGCTCCCTAATATGTAAACAGGGTGTTGGTTACTGAGGCTGCCCAAGTTTTAACAGTGAACCAGTGCAAAACTCTGTAGAAGAATGCTTTGTGTTGCTACTGGCCTGATATTCACGATGGCACTTCAAGTTCAGCCATAGCATGAATTAGTTCGGGGGGGGGGGAGCTAAAGCAATGCAGGTATAAAAATCTGAGTACAAAATGTCGCAAAAGAGGCAGATCAATGGCAAGCAGATTCATGACATAATGCAATTAACAATAGATTAAACAGAAAAACAACAGAGCCAAAATTGTATTGCACTTATTTAAATGTTAAACACAAACTACTAGTATGAATTCATTCTTCATCTGGGCACATTTTGCTCTACTGACAGCTAGACCATATCACGTGGCCTCAAAATAGCTTCGACTGACTATATTTATCTTTACTGCAACTGCACAAGGCAATTAAAATTGTCTTCTAATGGGATTTTTCCCTTGGATTTGGCCCAATTTCTTTTCAGCATTCGATGAAGGTGCTTCTTTCTCTTTCTCTCTCCCCCTCCCCCCCGCCATACCATCAATTGTATGTTTTTTTGGACAACCGTAATAGCTTCATTTATAACAGGAATGCTTGAAAACAAAACAAAATGATCCAACAATTTTTAGTGGCAGAATTGTATTATCCAAATAGACCAAAACATTTTGCCTAAGGGTACATACTAATTTTTTTGAGCATGCAGTTCAAGAATCTGAAAGGAGAGTAAAAAACTGGGGAATATAAGGTGGAGGCACAGTGTGGAGTAGGTTCTGCACAGTTGAAATATCTATCTGTGCAAGAGAAGCAAATAACAGTCCATTACCTGTTCATCCCTCAGTTCATTCTCCAGCAGTGAAAGAATCCTGCCATCTTTGAGAGTACAACTATATCACTATCACAACAACTATATCACTATCACTATCACAACATACTGCTTCTCAAAACCACCATAAGAAAACCAGCATAAGAAAAAGCTTGAAGAGACCAGCTGCCTAAAGAAAAAAGTCTCACACCCAAAATTTCCACAGGCTGGGTTGGAAACAGAAAATGTATTGTTGTAGATAATCTAAGGGACGCGGGTGGCGCTGTGGGTTAAACCACAGCGCCTAGGACTTGCAGATCAGAAGGTTGGCGGTTCGAATCCCCGCGATGGAGTGAGCTCCCGTTGCTCGGTCCCTGCTCCTGCCAACCTAGCAGTTCAAAAGCACGTCGAAGTGCAAGTAGAGAAATAGGTACTGCTCCGGCGGGAAGGTAAACGGCATTTCTGTGCGCTGCTCTGGTTCGCCAGAAGCGGCTTAGTCATGCTGGCCACATGACCTGGAAGCTGTCTGCAGACCAACACCGGCTCCCTCGGCCAATAAAGCGAGATGAGCACCGCAACCGCATAGTCGGCCGCGACTGGACTTAATGGTCAGGGGTCCCTTTACCTTTACTAGATAATCTAAATGTAAAGCTTCGGAAATTTTTCTGCACCTTCTGCAGAACCTAACATACATGAAGCCATTTCAGGAATGCAAATCCTCCACTGCTTGCTCATTTTAAACTCAAGAGTGGAATCCTTCCTAGAAGACATTATTGAGCCAATATGAAGAATGGGGTAAGAATGGCAGCATAAGTGGCTTATGGATCGCAGCCGCTGTCTTATCAGTATAGTTTTAGACTATAATGTCATAGGCCTGGAAACTTCAGGGCAAGGAACTGTAAAAGAAAAACGATCCTGATGTAGTTTTATCTCTCACTTATATTTTCCTGCCTTGGTCAGATGATACTAAAATAATCTGGCTCTTTTTCTGAGTGACAAGGTGGAATCTGCAGCCTGTTTGAGTCGCTGCTGTTTTAAGAGAATTCAGATATTTTGAATTTTGGATTTTTTTTAAAAAAGTCACTGTTAGTAATAATTCATACCATTTTGTTTCAAACAGCCTTGTCTCATTTGAACCACATCTTCTGTGCCTCATGGATGCCAGCATAAGACACATTCTTCATACTACAATGCCTCCTATCAGATTTCTGGCTATAAACGCATTTCAGTCCATGGGCTGGTTCAGAAATTAAGCCTGGCACCAAACCCATTCTCTCTCTGCCATTTTATACACCTATAAACTCCTTCTATGAATGTTTATATGGTGGCACCTCTCCTCTCCCCTTTCAAAGGCTTTCGGCTTTACTCTCCATCCATGACCTGACTGCAGTCACACAAATGTCATTGTGATTTTCTCATTATCATCCATTGTTGTCACCGCCATCCCCTGTTCCTTCTACTGTTGTGTTCCCCATTTCAATTTTAGCTCGTTTGGAGCAGTGACCTCTTTTTGTGTCCTTTGATGGCCAGTTGTTGAACTGTACATACATGCTCAGCTTATGTGCGACATCATTTGCACAATAACAGCCATGCTTGTTGCTAAGGCTTACGCAGAAGTTTGAAGCCACAAAATTTATACCCCAGTGCGCCGCTATCGGAAAGTAGGGTGCCAGTCAACAGTTCATCAAATATCAAGCAAGCCAAGCCACACATGTAACCTGGGAAGAAATTCCTTCCCATCTCGATTTATTATGATCATGTTTTCAGATGTTACACATGACCAAAAGCCACCCACTTTTTTGATCCAAAGGAATCTCCTTAATAAGGACACTGTTTCTGCAGTAATCCATAAAAGAATGTAGGTATGGAAGAGGGAAGGAAAAGTCTTTCCATATACAAGTTGTAAGGTATTTTGTTTCAGTGGAGGGGTCAACACGAGAACGGGCCTTTTCTGTAGTGGCTCCCTGTTTGTGGAATCCTGTCCCCAAGGAGGTTGGTCTGCCACCTTAGAATCATAGAGTTGGAAGGGACCACACGGATCATTTAGTTCAACCCCCTGTAATGCAGGAATCCTTCGTCCAACATGGCACTCGAACCCACAACCCTGAGATTAAGAGTCTCATGCTTTACTGACTGAGCCTTCATTATATATTTTTAGGCACCATGCAAAAATGTTCCTCTTCAACCAGGCCTTTGGCTGCTTAATATTCTATGCCTTTTAAATGTGTTTTTTTGGGGGGGAGGGAGCTATTGTTTTGTTGTTTTTGTTTTAACTACTTATTGGTGTTTTCATCTGGTGAACTCCCAGAGATCTTTTGATGGAGGGCAGTATATAAATCTGATAAAATAAATAAACTAACTTCATGTTGAAAGGGATGTGCATATGTTAATTGGAAAAACTTGCAAATACTAGATAGACTTAGGATTTAAATATGTGATGTTAAAGAACAAAATGTTTGAAGTTAAAATGGAAAGGAAGAAAGATGTTAAGCGACTAAGTTAATTTTATGAGAAAATTGGTTTTGGGAAACTGTTACAATGATATACAATGAAACTCAGCCTGTGGGATTTGAGGAAGTCATTTAACAATGTTATTAAGATTGGATTAAGCACAGTTAAGATCTATGTTTGTTTGTTTAAAATTTGGGAAAATCAGTAAAAAAAATAGGAAAAAAAATAAAGGGATGTGCATATGGAGGTGGCTTCTCCATTCAAGTGAATGAGGGAACCTGCTCATGTGTGAACAGCAGTCAACCCTAGTACCACTGGGGGGAGGCAGTTGCCCCCCCCCCGCCCCCCCTAAATCATAAACCTCGGATTCCCAGCCTTTTTTAAAAAAACAAGTTACTAGCATTTGTAAAAGCTGAGATTTGAGGCAACATGTACAGACAATAAACGCCCTTCTCATTTTTTTTTGTGAGAAACTAGCCTGCTCCCCACTTTTATTTTGCTTTCCTTCCCCCTGCATAAAAATTCCTGTGGATGCCCATGCCTTGAGCACATGCAGAATTCTAGATGGGAGAGGGTGTTAACAGGTAGGGTATCGAGTAATTAGATTCGCAGTGCAGCCGTGTCCTTAAAATGCAGCTCTGAATCATCCCTGTGCCTCAGGGTTAGCTGAAGACATTATGCCTGCTACAACTCCCTGCCCCAGGTGCTCAGTATCCAAGCCTGGCCATCTTATTTGGCACCTGAGGCAGAAAAATTGCACAAGTGTTTCTTCCCCTCCCTGGCAGAATAGTACAATCGTAATAAATTAAATATCTAACCATTTTCTGCCTTTCATGAAGCTCAAAACACTGTACCTTATGGTAGGGCTAGGCCTGTGATAAGTGCATAATATTTACGTATACTTTGCGTGGGGTTTTTTGTTTGTTTTTTGTTTAATCTGCTCAAGAAAATTGGCTGGTTTTTTTTTAAATTACACTTGAGTTAACAGATGCTGAAGCTATTCCCCCTGTTGATGGTAATGTGGTTAAAGGATCCTCTGGAAGTTCAACCAAATTCATTCTGAAAATAATTTGTACTCCATTAAGCCATTTATTCCCTCACTAGTTACACTGATACACAAACTCTCAGATTATATGAATATCCTCCATGCCCTGAATGTCTATTCAGCCAGATAGAGAGAAGAAAGGGGTGCTGTTTGCCTGCTTGATATGTTTGGCTTAGCTATACTTTAAAAATAAATTTCAAATCCAGGCTTCAACTGATGCAAGTTGGAATATTTTTACTTGGCAACGAGCAGGTCTGTTTTCTATTTTTATTTCCTTTTTTTTCCAATTGAGTTACGTTACTAGGCAACGGAAGCATTCTGCTCTATTGGTTAATAGCTATACTGTATTTCACATAATCAGTTGGTATATTTGGGCAAATTGTCTATGGAGTGGGGGGGAAGACAGCACAAATGACTGTCTTTTGGACACCAATTGCTTATAAACTGTGTTACCAGCTGTCTCTACTTAGGGACAGAAAGCACTCGGACGCCATTCAGTTTGCAATTTATAGAGGTTGTCTCTGCTATGAAAGGGGAATGACAAATTTCCAAAACAGTATCCTCAGTAAAAGGCAATTTGATCAGTTTAATTTCCTAAAGATACAATTCAGCAAGCACACCAGCCACACTGTGTGCTCACAAAGGACAAGGTTTTGTTTTGCTGCAGGAAAAACAACAGCCGTATGAAAACAGAGCCACTTTGAATTTATGGCCAAAGTGGCATGGAATCACTGAATACATACCACATTTCTTTCTTGTTACATGTATACATCACCTTCCCAATAAATAAATAAAAAGCCGAAGGTGGCTAAAAACAATAAAACAGAAAGTAAGCAAATAAAACTGTATAATCAGAAAAGAGCTGATTAAAATGTAACAACAGCAGGCCGTTAAAATTATAGGGTGATGTCTTAGTCAAACTCACAGTAGGCCCACTGAACTCAATGGGTTTTTTAATCATAGACTCATAGAATTGTAGAGTTGGAAGGGACCCCAATGATCATCTGGTCCAACCCTGTGCAATGCAGGAATGTGTCTGAATGACTTGGTTGGCTGCCACCCTTAGCTTAAAAACAAAATGGGAGAGAAGAGCAAAGCAGCTCAGCAGAGCAAACACCTATTTAAATAGAAAGGTTTTTGTCTGCTGCTGGAAAGGCCATCAAGGAGAGATCTAGATGAGCCTCTCTCTGCGGAGCATCAAAGTCTGGGTGCAGCCACCAAGAAGGCCCTTTCTGGAGTTTCCACCAAATTTGCACAAGATGTTGGCAGGACAAGACAGAAGGTTTCTCAGGCAGATTCCAGTGCCTGGGCAGGCTTGTACAGGAGATGGCAGTCTTTCAGGCAGCCTGGTCCCAAGCTGTTTAGCCTCCATACCCTCCAACATTTCAGGGACAAAATATAGGAACATGACTGTGACATTTTCGTTCTCATATTTGTCCCTTTGGGCTAGCTAGACTAGAAAAATGTAGTTGTCCTACAAAAGGTTTTTGGCAGTTCCAATACACATTTCAGTAGCTGCAATGTTTAAAATGCCAGGTAGTGCATGAAATGGTGCCTTAAGGTTCATACAGGTGCATTTACAGGTTGTGTAGATTAGAAGCAAGGTGGGCCTACAGGTGCCCCAACTCATAGATGTAACTGTTAGGAGACCCGAAGAAGGGTCTCTATCTACTCTCACATTATTAACATGGCATTTCCCAAAGGCTAAAGTAAGGGAAACATCCCAGGGGTCAGTCATAATGAGACAGTGTTTCTCAACCTTGGGTCTCCAGCTGTTGTTGGACTACAACTCCCATCATCCCTGACTACTGAGTCTGCTAGCTAGGGATGATGGAAGCTGCAGTCCAGCAACGTCCATCCCCGTTTCCTGTGTGCTATATCATTTAGTCTAAGCCACTCTGGACACTGCTTTGTTTAAAGAAAGGCTTTAAATAAAGAACTAAATTGGGGCGAAATTGCTTTCCTGGCACAACTGGTTGCAAAGGACCACTGCAGGGCCTTAGATGGAAGGGAAACAGGTATGCAAATGTCCCAGCACATTTGAATAGCAACAGGCAACACTGCTACGAGTGTACTGAAAATTAATACGCAATCAGAATTGCATGATTTAATTATGCTCTATTAGAGAATTGACAACTTTCTATCAATTTATTCAATGATAACTATAATAAGATATGGAAAACGATCAAAAAAGATTTGGAAATTTGGAACAGATTAAACCTGTCGCTTTGGGGGAGACTCTCAACAATTAAGATGAATGTGCTCCCAAAAATGTTCTATTTCAGATGATCCCAATTGGAGGGCGGGGCTGGATGTTTTAGGGACTGGCAGAAGGAGCTATCAAAATTTATTTGGAAAGGGAAGAAACCCTGAATCAAATATAAATTACTAATGGATATTAAGGAAAGAGGGGGTTTTGCACTACAGATCTTAAGCTCTATTATGAGGTCTCATGCCTTTGTTGGTTAAAAGAATGGATGACTCTGCAAAATACTGATATATTGGACATGGAAGGATGGGACAACAGATTTGGGTGGCATGCATTGGGTGGCTATGAAAAAGTAAAAGTTCATAAGGGCTTTCTAAATAATATAATTTGGAAATATACAGTATGGGACAGGTATAAAAATTTGCTAGAACAAAAGACACCCTGGTGTCACCTCTAGAGGCCATTTCAGTAAAAATGAAGAACATGGAAACAAAACTGGGTAACATAAAGAAATTCTAGAGAAAGATCAAAACCAACTCAAGCTAATTTTTTTTTTAAGAAATCAAACATTATTTTACGGATTGGTTACAATACCACCAACTAAACAATGTTTTCAAAGCAGATAGGAAAATTGGGTATGAGACAGAAATATCTAAGTTGGAAAAAGACTTATTACAAAACAAAAAGAAAATACTATCTAAAATGTACAGATTGCTGCTGGACTGGGAGGTTAAGGATGAAGAGGTCAAAGAAGTGATGATCGAATGGTCAAAGGACTTTGGTTATTCCATCCAGATGGACAACTGGGAAAAATTATGGGAAAAGACTTAAAATTCACAGCTTGCTACACAATAAAGGAAAATTTTATGAAAATGCTATATAGATGGTACATAACACCCAGCAAATTGGCCAAAATATATAAAACTCAAATGTGTGTTGGAGGTGTAAGCAAACGGAAGGAACAATGTACCACATGTGGTGGGGTTGTGACAAAATTAAAAAGAAATGGGACATTGTCTATGATGAATAAAAAAAAATATGTTTAGACAAATATTTGTGAAGAAGCCAGAAGCCTTTCTTTTGGGTATTCTGACAATTTATATCTCAAATTAATAAAAGGAGGGTGTTCCTATATGCTACAATGTAGCAAGAATACTGATCACTAAAAATTGGAAAGGGGATAGGTCACTCGCGATGGAAGAATGGCAAAGAATATTTTAAAAAGACAACTTTCCATTTTACCACAAGCAGAACATACCCTCTGCTCTGATCACTTCTCTCCCCGCATTTCCCAAACACCTTTTTATCCCTGTTTCCTCTCCTTAGCACAGATTCATCTTCACAGTCAAATTAGCCCGTGCATACAAAAAGGAACATGCTCCCTTGTTTTAGACTTCTGCCATTCCTAAGTGAATTAGAGAGCTTAGATTTTAAACCTTTTTAAAGTCACGTATACAAATAGCTATGGAAATTAGCAAAATGTTTTCACTTAAAAGCAATGAATATAAAGCATAAAAAACCCCCCACTATGTTTGCAAATAAGCTTTTCTAGATATTCCCAGAAAGGGCTCTAATACTATAAAGCCCTATTCAGTCGGGGAAGAGTCTAATATAACCTGTAGACCCACCCAACCCACCACATGCTGTTGTGACTCACAGACGAATGCTTCTTCCTGTGTCTATGATGCACAGTGACATCTCAGGTTGGCTCGGGTTCAGCAGGAAGAAGCCATGTCTGGCTAGCTGGCTAGCACTGTGACTGGAACAGGGTGGTGCAACTTTCCCCATCCTGATGTCTCCCATATAATGTTTAGGAAGACTGTGGAGTATAGGTCAGTGCCAGCGGGGGAAATAATTTGGTACGCTTTTATCGAAGTGACATAATCTATGCAAACTGGTCCAACACAGCAGCTGATTCAAGACAGCATTTTGTTACGAAGTTCAACAGAACCAAGGAAATGTGAATTGTCCACGAGTGAATGTCTCTTGGTCTTTTTCAATGTGGCCTCATGTGATAAAACATCAAGTGTGCGAGTTACCTGAAATCTGGCGGACTTAAATCTTTTGCCGGACACTGTAAGGACTAATTCGTTATTCTCTGCGGATGTGATATTTATACTTCCCCACAGGGCTGTTTATCTGGGCTCATGGCAATATTTCAAAATACATGTTACTTTGGTAGATCTTAAATGAATAATTCATTGGCAATTAATCCTCTGAATATTCATCTGTGCTATGAATCAGTTTTGTGAATTATTCCCATGTTTATGAGCCATTCATAGTCCAGATTCTGCAAATATTATTTTCTTCTAATTACATATAGAAAAGAAACAACATATATATATATTACAAAAAATCACTTCCTGCATCTTTCTTTTGAAAATATTTGATTCACAGAAAAGTCACAAATGATGATTTGGAATATCAAGTTCTTCTGATTTCTCTGGAGGCTGCTGATTTAATTTTGGGATGTTTAAATGCGAAAACTATTAAAATCAAAACACCATGGGTCATCACAGTACTCTCACTGTAAATCAGTGCAGCTTAACTGATTTAACTGGAACTATTTTTTTTAGAAAACAGGATCATTCAATATAACATATTCAGAAGCATATGTTTTCCAACTACAGAAGAAGAAGAAAAATTCAAACCAGGGAATTGATGGGATTATTTCTATACAGTGGTGCCTCGCAAGACGAAATTTATCCGACCACAGATCTCTTCGTCTTGCTTAGTTTTCGGTCTTGCGATGCACGTTTCCTAGGAATGCATTGAACAATCACATTGTGTTCTTGGAAACCGCTTCAGCACCAGGTCCGGGACAGTCTGTCCCGGACTCTTCTGAAGGCTGGGGGCAGGGCATTGCTGTCCCACCCCATGCATTTGTAAGACCCTGGACAGCTGGAGGACTTCTCCGCTGTCCGAGCGATCTTGGAATGCTGGCGGGCGGCATTTAAAATCACTCCGGACAGCGGAGGACTTCTCCGCTGTCCAGGGCAGTTAAGAGCCCTGGGAAGGCAGGCAGGAGGACAAAGACTTTGCCCCCGCCAGCCTTCAGAAGAGGTCCTGGACCTCTTCTGAAGGCGGGCGGAGCGAAAGTCTTGCTCCCCGCCTTCAAAGCCCTCCGGGACAGGCAGGCAGGGAGCAAAGACTTCGCCACCGCCCGCCTTCAGAAGGTCTTCCTCCCCCGCCCGGTCAGAGCACCGTTCGAAGCCGGGCGCGGCAGGAGGTCTTCCTCCCCCGCCCGGCTCGGAGCACCGTTCCGAGCCGGGCGGCGGCGGAGGTGTTCCCTCCCCCGCCCGGCTCGGAGCACCGTTCTGAAGCCGGGCGGCGGCGGCAGGTGTTCCCTCCCCCGCCCGGCTCGGAGGAGCCTTCCGAAGCCCGGCGGCGGCGGGAGGAGGTGTCCCCGCCCGCCGCCAGGCTTCGGAGGAGGTCCGAGGACAGTGGGGAAGACGCGCTGCGCTTCCCGCTGTCCCTGAGACTTCCTATGGGCTGTCGTCTTGCGAGCAAGCCCATAGGAAATTCGTTTTATGAGCGCTCCAAAACGGAAAACCCTTTCGTCTAGCGGGTTTTCCGTCTTGCGAGGCGTTCGTCTTGCGGGGTACCACTGTACACAGCTAATGTGAAGGAATTTATCCAACCACAGATTCCATTTGCTTAGCTTGGGCTTGGAACTTCAACCCCAGTTAACAGTACATTATATTTTGAAGCAGCACCAGGCTATCATTGCAAAATGGGTGGGGCAGTGATTGGTGTGCAATATGTGTTGGTATGCATAGCCCATACCTCTTAGATGTGCAAAAATATGAAGTTTATTATTAATAATAAGCAACTGACTTTTTTCTTTCCCCCTTTATTTGGGCAAGGTAGAGGCTGAAAAGTCTTAAGCAGGTTTTCCAGAACTGTGCCTTCACCTACTTAAATTACTACCCACATCATCATTTTCTTTTAATATCATACAGGTCACCTATATGTGTGCAACACAATCTCCTTTTAACCGTCATTGTTTAGGAAGGATCCAAAGAGCACCTTGCATGAGCAGAAGGCCCTTTTGCATGCAGGGGGTGGGTGGGTGTCGCAGGTTTCCAATTCCTTCTCCCAAACCGGCACCCCCTACAGCACAGCCCCCATTTACGAAACTGTGTTCTAGAGGTTATTCTTCAGAGTTATGAGGAGTGCCGTAAAGCCTTTCCTCCTTCCAGGAGGGGAGGGGTTGTGAGCGGGAGACGATTCCCGCGTCATGCAGGGGGCGCCCCGCCCCCTGTTTCAACTCCAGGGCTGGCGTGCCACACCCCTTCCCGGTTGGGCACCCAATAGGGAAGCTCGTGGGGGCATGGCTTGCTGCTCAAACGCAGCCGCGCCAGCCATCCCCACCATTGCACACACATTTTCTTCGAGTCACCCACCCTCCACTCCCTTTAGATTAGCTGTTCCAGAGACTTTGCTATGGACCTCTGCTTGGTCGCCCTGTTTAACCAGGGAGCCTGGTAGGAGTTTTTCCCAATTGGCTAAATTGGCCCGGCCTCTTGGTTTTTTTCGCCTACCTTGTAGCAACCGTCACAACTTTAGTGGTATTTGGCGGTTAGGCATTGGAATGTGTTGTTGGTGTTTCGGGGGGCAAGGTGTGGCCATTGCCTTCCCCGACAATTTTGGGTATTCTGCTAAAGGAATCCGGCGGTCGTGGATCCTGTCAGATGCCCATGTGGCGGGGGGGCCATGGCACGACCCTCGGTGACATCAGGAGAGAACCTATAGTTGGATTAGCATCAACAGGCTCCCCCTCCTGGTGGTTAACCCCTCCTCAGACTCACCCCTCTTCGAGTGGGTGGAGTCTAATGTTCCGTGGTCCAATGCCTAAGCCAATACCTTCTCACATGCTGTAATCAATAAAGTTGTGGCCTTTACCTTACCCATTAACCTTACATTCTGTGTCCACGTGTCTTTATTCCCCAAGCGGGGATCGGGTCCCTCGAAGAGGGAGCAGAAAAGCCTCCTTGTATGACCAAGACTTCTCTTTTGGAGCAAAGTCATTGCATCTGATTGCTTCTCCATTGCTACTAAGGTCCCATTTCTGGTGCTGACATGATGGAATTGCTCGTCCAATACTTATTAAAGAATGTTGAATGAATTGGTAATGTTGAACTTTGCCATTTCCATGCAACTTTTAAGATCTAAAATGTAAATGATTTTTTAAAAAAATTAATTGCAGTTTGCCCTCTCTTCTTTAACTGAACTTGAACAGAACATTTGCTGCAATGTGGGTTCAGATGTTGCTGCGACAATTTCCCCCTCACCTCAAATTCACCTTCCCACATCTATAGTATCTACCAACATAACCCCATATTCTGAAACTGATTATATGGAAGACCAGTTCTATGATGTGATGTGTACCATCCCTTTCCCACTTGGCATTCTTTATGATATTGTATTTTAAGCTGGCCTGGCCTGCGATCATATTTCTATTAGCACATTCCAGAGGGGAGAATTTATTCTCTCATGCAGGTATGAACCCTTGACTTGCACTTATAATAACGCCACAAAGGTTGGAAAAGTAATGTTATTCCTCCCCCGCCCCAAACCATATAAATATCCATACACAAATAGACATGCACACACACACACACCTGACAACTGCTGTAAACTGAATAATTTAAAACCGGGGGTGGGGGGAAATAGCAACACTGGAAGAAGAAAAATCAGAAATTCAGGAAGCTGTACAAGAGGCAGGCTTTGCTATTTTTGCTCATGCTCTTTTCGTCTGATTTAGTGTATTTCTTCTGAATAGCAGTATCAATTAAAAACTCACTTAGCACTGGGATTTAGATGAAATTTTCTTTTACTTTCAGAAGAAGAAGAGGAGGTAGTAAATTAGACTTAAAAAGCATCAACAAAACCAGCCTAGATCCCAAATATACTGCTTATTTGACAGACTCATATGAAATGTCTGAATTTGACTTGGAAAATAAGTTTTGTTTGTTTGTTTGATTGATTGACTGATTTATAGACCACCCTTCATCACAAGATCTCAGGGCATTTCACAAGATAAAAATATAAGGTAAAAATACAAATAGTTAAAAACAGCAAAATAATAACCCACTTTCCCACATTTCAAAGGCTGTAGAATGTTAATCAGCCAAAGGACAGGTTGAGGAGGAATGTTTTTGCCTGGTGCCTAAAGATATATAATGAAGATATATAACGAAGGTGCCAGATGAACCACCCACAGTGGCCAAGTGGGTGGATTAGGTATGACAAATGTTTGTACGCTTATAACACCATTAACCTTGCCGTGCAAGGTTTCACCAGCCTAAAATGGTTACTTGCACCTCCCATATTCACACAGTGCCCACCTGATGCCCACCACACAGAACAAGTAGGTACATGACCGGAGGACAGAGAAACTAAATAAAATTAACCAGACACGATGACCAAATTTCTCTCAGGACATTGGCTGTTGATTGCTGGTGGCGAAAGAAACTGCTTCCCTTCAGATCCCTCTTCGGCAAAACTGTGACTTTGTCGCAGGGAGATTCATTAAGTTCCAAGTGTAAATAAAACCAAATGGTTCAAAATTAGTCTGTGTTTTAGCTCAGAGTTCAGTAACTAGCAGGTTTAAGAACAAAAAACAAAAAAGCAACTGAAGTTTGCTCCCCAAAGCTTCCTTGAATTTCCCAGTAAAAGTAACTTAGCAGAAAGCTAAGAGCAAATTTTCACAGCCAACATTTGGATGCTCTTGTCCCATGATCATGTACTTGTGGGTAGCTGGTTGTCTCGGACTGAGAAGATAATCAAATTAGAGCATCTGAAGATGCTTTTGTCCACGGACATCTGCTAACTAGGTCAGCATTCCCATTTCCCCCGTTCTTGTTGGCGAATCTTCTGCAACCATGCTGGTAAGGTAAAGGTAAAGGTAAAGGGCCATTAGGTCCAGTCGTGGCCGACTCTGGGGTTGCAGCGCTCATCTCGCTTAATTGGCTGAGGGAGCCGGCGTACAGCTTCCGGGTCATGTGGCCAGCATGTGGAGAACCAGAGCAGCGCACGAAAACGCCATTTACCTTCCCGCCGGAGCGGTACCTATTTATCTACTTGCACTTTGACGTGCTTTCGAACTGCTAGGTTGGCAGGAGCAGGGACCGAGCAACGGGAGCTCACCCCGTCGTGGGGATTCGAACCACCGACCTTCTGATCGGCAAGTCCTAGGCTCTGTGGTTTAACCCACAGCGCCACCCGCGTGCTGGTAAGCAAGTGCAAATGATAAGGCAAATCTCTGCTGCACTCACAAGATGTGGGGCTGCAGCATCAACCCTTTTCACCTTTCATGCACGTGCCATGTGAAATTAGTGATAGTCTGCTCCAGAAACTGAGGTCTAGACTGTGTGGGCTTCTGTTATCCATAGTTATATTTTTAGAACACAAACTTTGCCTGGTGCAAAATTCAAATAACGGAGAGGAATTTTGTATAGTTTTACTTGCTGAGAAGGGCTGCTTTGGTATATAAACCATAGAAAAATATTCCGTTACTGATGGTAGTTTGAGTGCAACTGCCGAGCTTTTGCAGGTAGAATCAACCAACAGAAGACCTGTTTATTGTGTATTCATCTAGATTTGTTTGCAGGGAGATTAGATGATGTTGGTTATTTAATGACCACTCATTCTGATTTGTTTGTGGGGATGTTAGACAATGTCGCATCAAAACAGCATTTAATCATATATGGAATTTATACAGTGCTTTAGAGCAGGGATGGGAAACTTTCCCCCACTGTCAATAATGACACTCCCTGAGAGAGTAATATATTATTGCAATGTGTTCCATGTGGGGCTGCCCTTGAAGATGACCTGGAAACTGCAACCGGTCCAAGATCGAGCTGGAGTTCCTGTTAGAACTCTTATAACCCCTGGTTTTAAAACAGCTGCATTGGTTGCCAGTTCATTTCCTGGCCCAGTTCAAGGTGCTCGACAACTTAGGCCCCAAAGATCTGAGACACTGAATATTGAACCTTTCGGGTGTCACGAGCAGCAGAGGGCTCTCTCGGTAGTTCCACTGCTCAAAGAAGTTCAGTATGGCAGCAGCCCAAGAGATGGTCTTCTTTGTGGCAGGCCCCTAAGTTGCAAAACTCCCTCCCCACATAGATGAGTCTGGCAACTTCTTTTTTTGTAAACCACTTTGAGGGGAGTTTTTTTTAAAAAAATAAACAATCAAGTGGTGTATACATTTTAATGAAAATAATAATAAATATACAGCTTTCATTGTGCGCTGAAGATGCACCTCTTTACCCTGGGGTCTCTGAGATGCATATTTAGGGGACCCAGCCTGTTCTTGTGATTGCAACTTGTTCTAAACCATTTTAACATGGTATCCTAAAATGTTGCGACCTGCCCTGGAACCTTAGGGCAAGAGGCAGGTAATAAATCAAACTAATAATAGTAATAACAGCCACATGGAGGCGGTGGGTGGAGCCAATGCCAGCAATGGGTAGGGCAGCTCATCCTCTCTTGTCACTTGCTTCTCTCACTGTCTGCCTGTCTCTGTCATCTCCTCTTCCCATCTTTGCCCACCTGCATGAAATCAGGCTAAGGGCAACATGTGCCCTCACATACTTGTTATTTTATTTATTTATAAACTCATATGCAATATCAAGGCGGTGCACAACAATATATACAGTGGTACCTCGGGTTAAGTACTTAATTCGTTCCGGAGATCTGTTCTTAACCTGAAACTGTTCTTAACCTGAAGCACCACTTTAGCTAATGGGGCCTCCCACTGCTGCCGCGCCGCTGGAGCAAGATTTCTGTTCTTATCCTGAAGCAAAGTTCTTAACCTGAAGCACTATTTCTGGGTTAGCGGAGTCTGTAACCTGAAGCGTCTGTAACCCGAAGCGTATATAACCTGAGGTACCACTGTACAATAAAACATAAAACAGTATACAATAGAGCTGGGTGATATATCAATATATTCTCCAACAAGCGGTTTGAAGTCCATATCTTGATATTGGTTTCATAATTTTTGACCTGGCAATATATCACAAATCATGGTGTGGGTGTGTGCGTGCACGCTATGCAAAAATCACGATGTGGGGAAAACCATGAAGCTGGTGATATATTGTGATGTTGAAAACCATATATCGCCCAGACCTAGTATAGAAACAATACGAAGGCCACCTCAACCTTTCAGATGTTTCTGGACTCCAACTCCCATCTGCCCCAGTCAACATGGATAAAGCTCAGGGAACATGGGAGCTAAGGTCTAGTACCACCTGAAGGACCACAATGTCTGCGAGGGAAGCCTCCCCTGTAATGTGGGGACTGAGACTAGGTGAGCCAACCCTAAGTTCCTGACTGAGGCAAGGTTTGGACTGTAGATTTTTCTGGTCCAATCAGAGGAGCACTCCTCTCAAAAGAGGAGACTGAGAGGAGATATAATAGCCACCTTCAAATATCTAAAGGGCTGTCCAATGGAAAGAGGAGCAAGCTTGTATTCTCGTGCTCCGGAGGGTAGGACACAAACCAATGGATTCAAATTACAAGAAAAGCGATGCCAAATAAACATCAGGAAGAACTTTCTGATGGTAAGAGCTGTTCAACAGTGGAATGGACTCCTATAAGAGGTGGTGGACTCTCCTTCCTTGTGAGTTTTTTAAGCAGAGGTTGGATGGCTACCTGTCAGAGATGCATTAGCTGAAATTCCTGCATTGCAGGAGGTTGGACTAGGTAACTGTCAGTGTCCCTTCCAGCTCTGCAGTTCTATGATTCTATGACTGAATCACAGCTGAGTCTGTTAGGCTGTTGAGCTTTTCTACCTGCCATTGCCCTTCTGGGCTTTAAAATGGGTTGGGTGGAGCAAAAAAAAAAAGGAAAAGAAGAAGGAAACAGGGGGAGATGGCTAATTGTGCTAATATAAATCCAGCAGATGGCAACCATTTAACAATTCTCCTCCGAGGCAGTTTTTGCATTATTCTTAAGATACGGGTGCTGGAAGTCACACCTGTGCCTGAAGATGGATGAAAGCACACTGTGCCAATGCAGTAATACATCTGAATGTCTTGGAGAGGAAATGTCCTATGCACAACGTGTCGGCTTTCTCTGCAAAACACACTTTATTATCATCCCTTGATCTTCAGCATTTTCAGAGAAGGAAGTGCCTAGCGACCAGGTTTGAGACTGGAGCAGATTTGCCAGTACACCTGCATGAACTTAAATCTTGTTGATCCTAAACATTTGCTTTAAGGAGAGTGGGGATTGGTGGGGAAATCCTTTCAGACAGTTCTGTTACAAAACAATTGCTTCCTTACGGGTGGGGGACAGTTAACTGCCAGAGATTGCTCCCGTCACTTGAGAAACCAATTCAACCGGCCAGCCACGGAAAATGTGCTTTATAAAAAGGTTAGATTCGAAATGGACAGAGAGGCAACAGCTTTTTGTTCCCTCTGCGATGCTGAGGTTTGGAACGTGGCAAATCTATGTCCTCTTTGTGCACTGAAGAGAACATTATAGAGCCGTTTGTGCAGCCGGAGAGTTAACTGAATGGTGCCTGGTTGAACCACAGCCATTTATCTTGCTAAAATGACACAAACTTCATTAGAGCGAGCTGTCACACAGCTTCCCTCCTGATTAGTGATATGGCTCCACCAAATAGATGGAATTTAGTCAGACTGCAATGACTCTATAGTGTCCAGAGGAGACAGTTATACTTCATCTTCTATTAAACCAGAATAATTACTTCCTGGCTTTCTTTTCCAGCAGCTTCCTCTAATACCAATGGATCTTGGTGTTCGCTTTCAGCTGGCACTTCTGAATTCTATTGTCTGGATAGTGGCATTTCAATCTCTTTGATTTTCGCAACAATACTCCCCCCTCCCTTGCATAACTCTGACCCTTTTTTATTACTCTATTTTCTTGATCGTGTTTAAAGTAGCAATTAACAGCACAAGCCTAACCACGTCTACTCAAAAGTAAGCGACTGGAGTGATTGTTCTGTGGTATTATGGCAGTGGACAAAGCTGAAGTGTAACTATTGAATAAATGTGTTTTTAACTAAAAATAAATAAAAAGTAAGCCCTATTGAATTCAATGGGGCTTACCCCCAGGTAAGTGGGGTGAGTTTGCAAAATAACAGAGTGGAATCCTGCTGAGCCATATCCCACCCTTCATTCAGACCTTCCTCAAAGGAGGTCCTGGGCTGCCCAGATGACAAGACCCCCCTCTCGGCCTCGCTAATGTGGTCCAAAGGATAGCAGAACAATACATTTGGCACCAGCTTGGCTGCAGGAGCTGCCAGAGGGAGGCAGACAAGACACCATCCAACCACTCTGGATTTGTGTAGGTCTTACTGAGCCTTTTCTTCTCCAGAAGATACTCTGCAAGGCAGCGGAGGTTGAGGATCAGAGTTCTCCTTCTCCTAGATAGGCTATCTTCCCAGGTTGACAAGCCTCATCTGCCCCTCACTTCCCTCTACAGCACGTGCAGAAACCACCTTCTTGACCTTTGGACCCACTCTTGGTCTAGTCCGCTCAATCTGCAGGAGCCTGTCTATGTAGGGAAGTCCCTAACTCACCAAGGGTTTGAGACCCATCAGCTATCTTCACCTGGTTTAGCCAGCCAATCAAAACCATTTCCTGGGGTGTGACCACTGTCGCATGCTGACAGCTTCTAGGACCCACAGGTGATAGCTGAGTACAGAGTGGGGACCAAAGGTGGACAAACTACTCCAGAAGGAGTATGTGTGCCCCATACTACCCCTCCCCTAACATCCCTTACACCACTTACTACTACTACCACTACTATAAGTTCTTTGTGCTTATTGCATGAGATCCAATCATTTCAGTGTTTAATTTTATTTCATTTTCTCCAGACAGCTACTAGGGGAAAGGGGGGTGGGGGTGGGTAGAAGAGCATTATCGAAGAATGTAAGCTTTGGGTGTAGAGAAATCGAAAGTATTTTTAATACCAAGCCTGGGTTATCATTTCATGTTGATTCCATCCAGATAATAAAGTCATTTATCATTCCAGTACCTGAGCTGATTCAATATCGGATGGAAAATGCTGATGATTAATTCCATTGATTCCCCTGAAATACTGGAGTCCAGTCATGACTTCTTGCTTGTACGGTTTTCGATTTGGGGAGGGAGCAGTAATAAATAAACCATTGATTACAAAATGGCCCAGACAATGCTTGACAGGCCTGATTTACACCTGTAGCTCCTCTTGCTGCGCCTCGTTAATATGTTGCAACTGCTGTTGACAGAAGAGCATCTCGGCCGTGACACCCATGAGTAATGCTGCAAGTTAGTCACTACAATGCATGTCAATTACACAGGGTATGCTTTCTACGGACGGCAGCTTATGCCAGATAAAAACTATTAACTAAATAAGCTAAGCCATCGGCATACGTTGTCTATCACCTTACGTGAGAAAAACATCCATCATAAATCTCATGTAGGGCCACACTGTGTATGAAGTTAGGGCTGCACACAATCATTGAACCCTCCATAAATCAACAGCGTTACAGAAATATTATGCTGCGCTACTCCCCCACCTCCTTGATTCTACCTTTCCGTAAATTGCTAACGCCTTTCCAGTATTCTGTTAGGAAGGAGCGCGGTGGAGCTTGCTGAGTTAGGCAGGAGAAATGTATCACAGCTTCCGCACAAAAGATGGCTTTGCTCACGTGTAAGAGTAAGATAGGCTTCTTGAATTGTCATGGCCCACCTTATGGCACGGCATACATGTGCTCAGTGTAATTCAGTGTAATACTGGTGATAATTGCCTAGCTGCACAGAGTGAACTCATAGGCTCTATCCATTTGAAAAATAGGTGGCAGGATGCTTTGAGTATGATGCCTCTGAAGACAAGTGTACAGTGGTACCTCTGGTTACGTATTTAATTCATTCCAGAGGTCCGTTCTTAACCTGAAACCGTTCTTAACCTGAGGTACCACTTTAATTAATGGGGTCTCCTGCTGCCGCCTTGCTGCTGGCGCACAATTTCTGTTTTCATCCTGGGGCAAAGTTCTTAACCCGAGGTTAGCAGAGTCTGTAACCCGAAGTGTTTGCAACCCGAGGCGTTTGTAACCTGAGGTACCACTGTAGTATCCAGATTCTACCACCACTGTTGTCACAGTTCTACTGACTTTAAGGAAATTAAATTCCCTGCCTGCGATCTGGAGTGCAAGGTTGCTCTAAACAACATGGCCGCAAAGCTATGAAACACCACTCCCTCGTGCCTGAAAGCATGTCTTTGCTAACCTGGGTCAATTAGAATGCAATTAAGACGCAATTCAGGAAAACAAATCAGGTTTTTCATGACTAATGTAAAAGAAATGTGACCTCTGCCTCAGAGTTCTAGAAACACAGGTAGCTGTCTCTGTGTTTATCAAGCTCTATATTGTCTATCCCAGGGTGCCTCTCAACAGCCTGAGGAATGCTCTTTCCCCACGGAGAACCTTTCCAGTGGACACATGCCAATGGTGGGGATAATAATAATAATAATAATAATAATTTACACCCCGCCCATCTGGCTGGGTTTCCCCAGTCACTCTGGGCGGTTCCCAACAGAATATAAAAATATGATAAAACAAACACTAAAAACTTCCCTAAACAGGGTTGCCTTCAGATGTCTTCTAAAAGTCAGATAGTTGATTATTTCCTTGACATCTGATGGGAGGGTGTTCCACAGGGTGGGCGCCACCACCGAGAAGGCCCTCTGCCTGGTTTCCTGTAACCTCACCTCTTGCAATCAGGGAACCGCCAGAAGGCCATCGGAGCTGGACTTCAGTGTCCGGGCTGAATAATGGGGGTGGAGACGCTCCTTCAGGTCTACTGGGCCGAGGGTGTTTAGGGCTTTAAAGATCAGCACCAACACTCTGAATTGTGCTTGGAAATGCACTGGGAGCCAATGTAGGTCTTTCAGGACCAGTGTTATATGGGCAGGGCAAAATGCAAAAGGGAATGCAGGAACAGGTGTGACTCCTAGCTTTTGTGCAGCAGACTATTTTCCAGGTATGCAGATGTCTTCACTTACACCCCCACACTTATCTCTATCCTCCACACAGACAGGTTAAGGGGCAGTGCAAAGAATCATCCCATCCAGGCGTAAAACACTTGAGGATAGATCAGAGCAAGGCTGTTGAGGGGCACAGCCTGGGAATATGGGTGTGGCCTGAGGAAAGCCCTGAGGGCCAGACAGAAAGGGCTGGAGGTCCGCATTTATTCTCCTTCCACACCCACCAGGCTTAGGCTCCGCACCCCTGCTCTACACTGGATGGCAGTGGCTTTCCAAGGTTTCAGGTAGGAAGCATTTTCCAATCTTACCTGGAGTTGCCAGGGATGGAACCTGGGGACTTTTTACATGCAAAGCTCAGGCTCTTACTAAGGAGCTACAGCCCAGCAGACAAACAGTTAGTATCAGTATGTGTTGGATGGTACAAGTTGGAATATTTGTTGGGCTAGGTACTTTGTAGACTTATTTGCAAGGCCTGACATACTAGGAAACACACGCGCGCGCACACACACACACACACACACACACACATCAGTGTTGTCAAATAAACAACACCGAACAGCATTCATTTTTACTGCAATTATTATGGGTGTATCACACCAATAGCAGCTCTTGCTAGAGAGCTGCCGCAGTTAAATCTAGCGATGTTCTACTAAATATTACTCTTCCCTTTTTCTTTTAACGATGTAACTATATGCCTGCCATGCCTGAATTCTTCATGCTTCTGAGCCGGAATAAAGCACGGGAATAAGTAATGTTCAATGTGCATCACCATGTAAAATCAGGCAAAAATCAAGACTGTGAAGCAGGCAGGCTGCAGAGATGGCCAGCCTTGCATTAACGCCAGTGCTGTACATCTGCTATGCATTTTTAATCTATTTAAATAATGCAGGCTTTTACTCACAGGAAGAAGCTTCCAAAAGCAAATAATGAGAACACCTAATTTAAGGAGGAAAACATCCAAATGAGCATGTCATGTTTATTTACTTCTTTCAAAAAAGGAAAAATCTGCTCATTCACATCACTGTTAACCTTATTACATCAAAAATCCCTGCTCTAAAGCACTGTATAAATTCCATATATGATTAAATGCTGTTTTGATGCAACATTGTCTAACATCCCCACAAATAAATCAAATGCTGCATGAAGGATTGCTTTGCAGTAGCATTCTAACCATGAGTTTGTGCTTTTTTAAAGATGCAGAAGCAGAAAATGGTTTGTCTCCATCATTCCATTTTCCTGTCAAGTGATTCTTGCTCAACTCTTCCAGTTCCTTGATCCTTTTTGCCAGTGTGGCTTGCAAAATGGCAAAAACATGCACAAGCCTAGTTAGAATGGTAACTGCATCTCAACCAATCAGATTTATTTCCTCCGCACCAAGTCCCACCTCTCATCTCCCCATTTTTCGGCCCATCTTGTTCATTAGGTAATCTTATCAGAAAGCTTGCCCAAACACCCAGTAAGCACACCCTGCAGCGTTTAAACTGTACATGTTTTCCACCAACAGTTGGAAATAATTGCTATTATCACAGCATAATTATGCAGCCATCAGCATGCATAAAGAAAGCAGTGCATTATGCCCAAACTGACAATTTTGTTTAAATAGGACTTAAGGTGTGTCAAATTTTCATTAAGGAGTTTGCTTTTGTGAAAATACAGATTGAATAAGGACATGATCCACTGCATTAAATGTGGACTTCTTTAACATTCCAACTCCACCTGTGAGGATATAAAATATATTTGTTTGTTTTAAAGGCCACAAAGAAAACCTACTGATATTGAAGAAGTTGGGGAGGATGGAGCCTGACGCTGCAGCAAGGTGAAGTTCCATCTTTTCGTTTTGCAGAAATGGCATCTCTGTTTGTTGGCTCTTCACTGTGAGCAAGTGGAAATCCTGATGGAAAACCTGGACAAACAAACAAAATCTTAGGAAAGTGTTGAAATTTACATAGGGTAGTGATGGGCAAATCATTTTTACAATCTCAAGTTTAGTGCTTCACATTTTCACATTAGTTTGCAATTTTTTAAAAAGGCAGTCCTCCTTAAAATTCATCAGCATTCCGGTGCAAATTTGTCTCAATATACACATTTTTTCTATGCAACTTTGCCTAATGAACAATTTATCGCAAACAAATTATCCTTAATACTAAGCATTTTGTTATGTTCCTTTTGCCAAAATAGTAAATAATAATAATAATAATAATAATAATAATAATAATAATAATAATTTATTATTTATACCCTGCCCATCTGGCTGGGTTTCCCCAGCCACTCTGGGCAGCTTCCAACAAAATATTAAAATACAATGGTCTGTTAAACATTAAAAGCTTCCCTAAACAAGGCTGCGTTCAGATGTCTTCTAAAAGTCTGGTAGTTGTTTTTCTCTTTGACATCTGGTGGGAGGGTGTTCCACAGGGTGGGTGCCACTCTGCCTGGTTCCCTAAAACTTGGCTTCTCGCAGCGAGGGAACCGCCAGAAGGCCCTCGGAGCTGGACCTCAGTGTCAGGGTTGGACAATGGGGGTGGAGACGCTCCTTCAGGTATCCTGGACCAGGCCATTTAGGGTTCTAATGGTCAGCACCAACACTTTGAATTGTGCAGAGTTTACTCTAGTAAGTGCATTTTTTTACACAGTGCTTGTCCGAAGAACTGCACTGCAAACTTTGGAGAAGAGCAAATTTCAAATAATGGTTGTGTTTCGGTTCTCATACTGTTTTGGAAAGTGTGAGGTAGGTACATTTGTCTTTTAATGTGGACCAAATCAAAATTTTCCTGTACCTCTGAGTGATTAAGGGTGATTATGTGGTTAATTTAAAACTGATTAATTTTCTTACACTGATATCCTACTTTTCATCTATCATGGAACTTGGTTGGGGGAGAGGGAGCTTTCCATTCAAGTAGTAACCCAGGAACGTAGCATGGTGAGGGGCTGCCAGGGCGATTACCCTGGGTCATTTTTCTGGGGAGTGTGCTGTTCATGCTGCCCCCCCCCCCGAGCCAGCCCTGTGCTGCTTTGCGAGATGAGGATCATTCCAGTGTCGCAAAGTGGCTCAGGAATGGTGTTTCTCTGTTGGTGTCTGCTGTAGATTGCTGCCACCTGTAACTAGAATTAACACTGTGTCTCTCTATAAAAGCAAACATGGGATTACTGATTGTTTACTGCAGAATCCGACATGTCACCTGTTCCATGTCTCTGATACACAAAATATGGTACGTAGATCCATTGTTCAATATGCGTGTTATATGTTTTCTTTCCTAATTTGTTAAAAAAAACCTACATTATTATGTTTATCTGTATTATTTAGAGTATGCACGGCTGACGAAGCCTGGCAGGGCGAAACAAGGTATTATTCCAGGAATCCTTATCTTAAGTTCTTTCGTCTGATACCTGCATACAACAACTATACTTTGCAAATACATATGTGGAACATTACAAAGAACAAGTTCATTTTCTGCAAGTAAAGGTAAAGGTAAAGGGACCCCTGACCATTAGGTCCAGTCGTGACTGACTCTGGGGTTGGGGCGCTCATCTCGCTCTATTGGCCGAGGGAGCCGGCGTACAGCTTCCGGGTCATGTGGCCAGCATGACTAAGCCACGTCTGGCGAACCAGAGCAGCGCACGGAAACGGCGTTTACCTTCCCGCCGGAGCGGTACCTATTTATCTACTTGCACTTTGACATGCTTTCGAACTGCTAGGTTGGCAGGAGCAGGGACCAAGCAACGGGAGCTCACCCCATCGCGGGGATTCAAACCGCCGACCTTCTGATCGGCAAGTCCTAGGCTCTGTGGTTTAACCCACAGCGCCGCAAGTACTGCTTCTTAAAGTTGTTGCATCTGACACTTGTATTCGTAAAGACATACATGGAACACAAAAAAGCTTCTATTTGGACATTACGTATATAAGAACTGATCTATTTGTATTTCCTGTTCAAAATGTTGGTCTTTAATTGCTTCTACTTAATTTGATAATGTGAAAAGAGGTATGTTTATATGATGTATAAAGAATTCATATAGTTAAACACAGCCAGTTACGTTGTGGGTGTTATTGTTAGTTGGATTTACGTAACTATAGGTTTGATAGTGTTGTGTGTCTGTTGGCGTCAGGGCTGGGCTGGCTCGCGGTGGGCTCTGTTTGCCCTCCACACCCTTGGCGCCATGAAAACACGTTCTGCCAGTGCAGTGACCAAACCCCAGACCTGCTTAATTTCAGCAAGGCAGTGGCCTTGTGTTCCTTCAGACGACACTCTGGGTGAAAGCCAATGAAATTTTGTGACTCAAAGGACGGTGATTTTTACCACATGTGGTGGACATGTGATAAAATGAAAGAGTTTTGGGAATTGATCTGTAATGAATTTAAAAGGATGCTTAAATATACTTTCCCCAAAAAGCCTGAAGAACTACTGCTAGGTTTGATAGGAGAGGGTATTAAGAAGACGGACCAAAGACTATACATGTATGCTACGACAGCAGCCAGAGTTCTGATAGCCCCAAAGTGGAAAACACAGGAGATACCGACTGTAAAGGAGTGGCAGACGAAGTTGGTCGAGTACGCAGAACTAGCAAAACTGACACACAGGATTCGCAGTCAGGAGGAAACAAGGTACCAAAAAGAATGGAGTAAATTTATGGTCTATATAAGTGAGACCTGTAGAAATTTGAAGACGTTAGCAGGACTGAAATAAATCTTAGGTCATGGTTTAGTCTTTTACTAATGAAACTGTGAACTGAAGATTGGAATAAGAAAACCTGCGGAAGGGAAGGAGGGAAGTCAATGGCTCTATGGAGCATAAAGTAAGATAGATGTAAAAAGATTTGATATATTTGTTTGTTGGTGTTGGTGTATCTAAAATGAAAATTTAATAAAAAGCATATTAAAAAAAAAATTGTGACTCCTACTTACCAATGTAAAAGCGGGCACTTTTTCATGCCTTAAAAATGTGCAAGGTGGGTACACCTTGTGCCTCTTTTTATGGGGTGGAAAAGAAGGAAACGGGAAGTAATTCAGTTGCACTCCTCATTGTTCCTCTTTATTGCAACATCTAAAATGGGTCTCAGATAAGGAACAGAGATATATGTGTAAAGCAATGGGGGCGTGGAAGAATCATTCCATTTGCCTTCTGTTTTGTCTCTCCTTAACAGCCACATGTGCAAATAGCAGCTCTTCCTCCTCTTTTAATGAGATTTCCTGATCTGAGGAGTTCCATAATCTCCTGAATGACAAAAAGGTGCCATCAGAAGATGGAAGGAAATATGAGAAAACTGGAAGTCCTGTTTCTCTCTCACACACACACACACATTTTTAAATGTTTTATTTAAGCATATTTACAAACAAACAAACAAACAAACAAACAAACAAACAATAAAGTACACACACCCATTGGACTCCCCTCCACCAGCACTCTTCATCTTTGAGTCATTTAAGTTCTTATTTACATTGCATATTATTTATCACTGTAATTCTTTTATCGTACTATTATGGTATAACATCAAGTCACCTTACAAGCTTAGTCTAAACATATCAGCATGTTATCTTTAGAGCAGTGTTTGTTCATATATTCTTTGAACCATAACCACTGTGCCCTTAATTTCTGGTGTGTTTGATATCTTATTACCGCAGTTAATTTTGCCAGTTCTATAAACTCTGTTAGGGAAGTCCTGTTTCTTCTGACATCCTGTCACAGTGGACCTGGGAAGACTGGAGGAAAATATATGCATGCTCAAAAAAAATCAAACAGTAATTTACAAGCCGTTTAAGAAAGCGCCTGGAAAAATAATGTATTTTGTTGCAATTCTGTGAAATTCTAACATGGAAATAAATAAAATATATACATGATGTGACCCAAATGATATTCCTGTTGTCCCATTAATCATAATTAATGCATAAGCCCAATAATGTTATCTTTGGTTCCAGGTTCAGCAGCCCATAAATTTAACATGAGTGGCTCTTTTCACAGAGTGAATCAGGTACTAGTCCTGTCTTCTCTCACCCGCTTTTGTGCTTCTAAATTAGAAAACCCAAATGCCATTCCTTTCAGATACGAAGCAACCGTCAAGGTCACTGTAAAGAGAATAGAGTAATTAACTTTCCAAGCAAGTGTCTGTAGAGAAACAGAGCACTTGGGGAAGTGGGTAAAGAGGCCTAACACTCTTACCTTCAAGAAGCATTTTTAAAAAAAGGAAAAATCAGCCCAGAATGATTAGATAAAAAGCAAGTCCAAAGGCTCCTGTCTAATGAATATGGAAAAACTGCACCTCTTCCTGAAAACATTCTATTTTGGTAGCGAGCCTCAGCAAATTTTTATTCATGGCATCGCTTTCAGTTTGGCGCTTATGGGTTTTGAGGAGATCAGTTAGCATTTACTGGTGTCCAGCGTAGATTATCATGTGAACATAGGAAGCTGCCTTATACAGAATCAGAATATAGAATCGTAGAATTGGAAGGGATCACGAGGGTCATCTAGTCCAACCCCCTGCCATGAAGGAATATTTTGCCCCATGTGGGGCTCGAACCCACAACTCTGGGATTACGAGTACCATGCTCTACCTGCTGAGCTATCCCAGGTCATTGGTCTGTCCAGCTCAGTTTATATGCACTAGAAGGAGCTCTCCAGGGTTTCAGATAGAGGTCGTTAACAGCCCAACCTGGATATGCCAGAGACTTTCTGCAAGTATAGTAAAGTGCCCTTCCCATCTGAGCTACAGTTCTTCAGAGGCTGTGTGGGTTCTCAGGAAAACCTAGGGCACACCTGCTGGTCAGGTGGGGGTGCAATTGACCCCTTGATATTTCCCTAAGCCAGCCCCAAGTTGTCTCTGGATAGCATACCTCCACTGAGCTCTCTTAGAAGCCTTCACGAACCACCAGGTGCTTTAGGAGAGAAGTGGACAAACAGTTTAAATGAAGAGCCCACTATATAGATGCCAGGGGCAACAAGCAAATGAACAAATGGGCAGAGAGTGGCATGCAAGCAGGTGGGAGCCATGACAAGGAAGAGAGGCAGCAAGAAGGGAGACTCTGAGGAGAGGCAGCAGGGACCCCTCGGGAGGTTCTGGACTCTCCTTCCTTGGAGGTTTTTAAGCAGAAGCTGGATGGTCATCGGTCATGGATGCTTTAGCTGAGATTCCTGCATTGCAAAGCGTTGGGCTAGATGGCCCATTGGGTCCCTTCCAACTCTACAATTCTATGATTCTATGACCCAAGGGTGTTCTGTAGCAGGGTCCTCCGAAACCCAGAGCTGGCATTTGCTCCTGATCTTCCTCCACCTTTGATACCGAGATCCGGGTCAGAAGCCCAAGGCGTGAGGTCAGGATCAGGCAGAGATGGGCTTGATGAACCATGGCACCACAGTGATGGAATGTCTTCCCATGGGAGGCCTCCCTGGAACTGCCACCAATGTCCTTCCCTCAAGCTCTTTTTTGCAGAGCATTTCGGGGAAGGCTGGCTTGATGACCTGCACTGCGCCTTTGAACTTGCTGATCCGATTCCTCCACCATGCTGATTGTGCTGTGGAAGTTATGCTTAGGATGTGCTAATGTCTCATTGTTTAAGTTGGCTGGCAGTCACCTTGAGCCCCTTGACTGAAGAGGACGTATTTTAATTAAATACTGGGTTCCTCTTGCTACTTGATGGTTGCTGTGCTGTCATACAGCAACGGAAGAAGGAACCACTGGGTCCCTTCCAACTACAGTGGTACCTCGGGTTACATACGCTTCAGGTTACATACACTTCAGGTTACAGACTCCGCTAGCCCAGAAATAGTACTTCGGGTTAAGAACTTTGCTTCAGGATGAGAACAGAAATCGTGCTCCGGCAGCACGGTGGCAGCAGGAGGCCCCATTAGCTAAAGTGGTACCTAAGGTTAAGAACAGTTTCAGGTTAAGAACGGACCTCCAGAATGAATTAAGTTCTTAACCCGAGGTACCACTGTACTGCCTCTGCAGGGCTAGCTGGGAGCAGGATCTGCCACATTCAAACTACTTACTACGCCAAACTTTTAATAGGCATTACAAGTGTAAGGTAAAGGGACCCCTGATAATTAAGTCCAGTTGCGAGCGACTCTGGGGTTGCAGCGCTCATCTCACTTTAAAGGCCAAGGGAGCTGGCATTTGTCCGCTTCCGCAGACAGTCCCCCCCCCCCCAGGTCATGTGGCCAGCATGACTAAGCCGCTTCTGGCAAAACCAGAGCAGCGCATGGAAATGCCATAAAACATCCATATATAAAATTTTAAAATATATACAAATAAACAGCCATGTAAAATATATAATGACGAAGCTTTTCATTGGGTTTTCTTCCCACTAAATAGTGCCATTCACCACTCTAAGAGATACTATTGACAAAAACTCAGCCACCCTTGCAGTTACTTCCGGGTTAATGTCAAACAGATAGAACCTGATATTTTCATTGTGTCGTGATGTTAGACTACCCAGAAAAGGGAATAGCACGCATTTGCGTAGCTGGTTGTACAATAGACAGTAGAAAAGGATATACATGTAAACTTCTGCAACCCAGGACATCCTGGTGATGAGCTGTTGAACCAAAACTCTCTGACAGTGGAGGCTTGTCTCCTGCAGCCAGTGTCTGGCAGCAGCACAGTTACTGAATGCGCTCCCAGAGAGACTGGCCTGGCCCCTTCCTGACGCGCCTTTATTTTGGGTGCCTTTTAACTTCCCCAGGCTTTCAAAGATCTAGGATGGGAGTTGTAGTCCAACAACAGTTGGAGACTCAAGTTTGGGAAAGCCAGTGGACCTCTGAGTTGCAGAATATAAGCTGAGGAAGACGCACATCTAGTACCAGCTTCTAGGTACTTTGGAAGTATCCTGGGGGAGAAAAGTACTCAGTTTTTGTGCTCCAATTAAGACCAATGTTAAATTATTGCCAGACCTACATCATCAAAATTTTCAGTGGGTTCATCCTGTCCCATATCTGCCTCAAAAGTATCCCCCTCCACACTTCCAGTCTCTAACCAGGAATGTATCCGTGAACTTAACTACTAGATCCAGTTGGAAGCCAGGGGAAGGCAAAGCTGCTAGGAACCCACTCAGAATCACCTACCAAGGATATATGCTCGACTTGGACAGAAGTCAGGATGAAAGTTCTACTCATGGAACCATGCTGGCTCTCAACTGATTCAAACAGTAAATCCAGCTATTACTCTTCTTTCTTCTGCTTGATTAAAAAGCTATTTGGAGACATAAAAATCTAAGGCACCTTTTCAAAATGTGTAGGTTTATAAAGTAGAAAGAACTAGGTGCATCCACAGAGCCCAAGGCTATTATTACAAGGTCTATCGTCTATGTCAGAGATGGGGAAACTGTGGTCCTCCAGATGTCACTGGATTACAACACCCATCACCCTTGACCACTGGACATGCTGGCTGGGGCTGATGGGAGTTGGGAGTCCAACAAAATCTTAAAGGCGCCAGGTCCTCCATCCCTGATGTGGACAATACTGAGCTAGAAGAGCCAACAGACTGATTCAGTACATGCAGCCTGGTCAGCCTCCTATTGTTCCTATTTTAAGGTTTTATGTATACAACTAAAAATATGTTTTGAGAGTATGTGTGTGTGCATGTGAACGAGGGAGAGAGGGAGAGAGAGACTTATAGGAAGGGACAAATATAGTACAGTGGTGCCCCGCAAGACGAATGCCTCGCAAGACGGAAAACCCGCTAGACGAAAGGGTTTTCCGTTTTTGAGTTGCTTCGCAGGACGAATTTCCTTATGGGCTTGCTTCGCAAGACGAAAATGTCTTGCGAGTCTTGAGATTTTTTTTCGCTCCCCCCCCCCTTTTTCTAAGCCGCTAAGCCACTAATAGCCTTTTAGCAGCTAAGCCGCTAAGCCTTTAATAGCCGCTAAACCGCTAATAGCGCTAATCCGCTAAGCCGCTAATAGGGTTGCTTCGCAAGACGAAAAAACCGCTAGACGAAGACACTCGCGGAACGGATTAATTTCGTCTTGCGAGGCACCACTGTACAAGTTCCAGGGAGTTAATACTGGCCATGACTCTCTGCTGGGCACACACACTGAATCCAGAGCTGCTCTTAGCCTCCAGCCCACACTGCATTTGGCAAGAACGAGCATTTGGCAAGAAACGAGCATTCGGCAAGAAAAGGAACACAGTGAAAAACTGCTAAAGTCCAGTTCCGGCTGAAATAATCTATGTTGGCACAGGAATTCTGTGTTCCAGGATTAGATGTTCTCATTCATCCAACCACAACCTACGCAATTAGTTCCTATGAGTGGCTAGCATAGATGCCCCATGACCATTGCCACTCAAGATGGGGAGCAGCCCTCCCAGAGGGAACGATCCTACCATTGGAAACCCTGTCCCCATAGCAGGCACCTTTTTTTCTTTAGGGGAACATTGGTACTGCTTCCCTCGCTAAGTGTTAACGCACCAAACTAGACCCGTGAGAATGTCCCTTGGAGACAAGCCCCAAGTCTGTAGGATCTGCACAAAGCGACCGTACATGACTATAGTATTAACCTCTTGGTTCTTTGCAATCCCCAGTTCTCCACTCCAGAGAAAAATTATGCAAACCTTGTCAGAATAGATAGTGGGAGAACCACATCAAATCCCTTGCTCCACAGCACACTTTCTATCCTGCTAAGCCCCTTTAAGTCCATTTCCTTGTTCTGGATTGTGTATTATTATTATTATTTAGATTTATATATCATCCTTCTGTATTTGGACTCAAGGGTTTTGAAAGCCATTCCCAAGATAACTCTCTGGTTCTCTTGTAACCAAGATCTCCAGTGTCCATTTTATATGCGTTTTTAAGCAAAACAATACAAAAGGGCCTTAAAATAAGAAAGTAATAGGCAATGGTCTATTAAAGAATAGCAACGCAGACGGGAGATTTCACTGCCCTGGGTTCATTCGGGCAGGCTTTAAACAGAACCGCTAGCATATTGCTTTCCCTTGGCAAAAGAGAAGCTTGTATCTTTTGCTCTCAGGTTCATTTTTCATTGCTTTTTTGTTTCAGGCTACCCAGTTCCAGTTCCCATTTCCTCCCCATGGGACTGCGCAGTGCTCCTGAGCTGATTAAAACTCACCTGATTTCTCACATTATGCCTCTGCTAAGCTCCTTCGTTCCCAGCAGTCTGTCCATAGAACTATTATCAGCTGTTATCTGGGAAGTAGCTCATGAATGTCACACTCTCTCTCCTCCCAACTTTCCCCGAGTACACAGGGGCTTTTTCTTTAATAAGAAAAAAAGGGAGGGAGTTTTTGCCCTACATTTTATGGTTTGGCTGCAGAAGTGTGAGCTGTCACCTGTTTAGCGTGGATCTCCAGCAAAAGAGAGAGAGAGAGAGAGAGAGAGAGAGAGAGAGAGAGAGGTGCAAGCCTGAAGCACAACCAAAGCTTAAAGACTGGCTCTTTCAATGGAATTAATTAGAACATGTTAAAAGTGCTAAGAGTCAATGGAAAGTAAAGCCAGCTCCAGGGTTGGCTTGTACACTGGTAAGGAGAGTGAGGCAGGATTGGACAGCAGTACACCTTGAACACCCCACTACTAGGGAGCTCAGCAGTACCACCAACACCCCATCGCTTCTCTGCCATGGGTTTGGAGGAGAGGCTATTATTAAGTTTGCCCAGGTGCCTGCCTCTGTGATTCACAGATCCTTTGACTAAGGTTAATCACCCCCAGAGATATAAGGCTGCACAGAAAAGGAGGAGTTTCAGTGAGGAATGGTATGGAATAACATTGTCACCATGTCTTGGATTGGTTGGACGTAGAGGAATGGTGGGAGGAACCAACTGGGGAACCCCCAAGGGGAAAAGGCTCAGAGCCCAGAAAGTGGTGGTGGGACAACCATGAGTGGTCAGAGGGAGAAGACCAGAAGGAGGAGGTGTCAGAAGCTGGAGAGATAGCAGGGCTTAGTGAGCAGGGAGAGCTCGCAATGTCTGCAGCCTGCCTCTGTCTGTGCTAGTCATGAAGCGAAAAGTGGCTCAAAGCCTTGCTTTTCCCTATCCCAGCTTCCAAAACTTCAGCAGGGACAAAGTAACCAACCAGTTTTCTAGGATGGTGAAGGTGAAATTGCCAGAGTGCTGAACTGAATAGCAAGTTATTTGCCTGAGTGGTCACAGAATCATCCGATCCATGCCAATGGCTTGACTGTCTCAAAGGCAGCTATAAACCACTTCAGTAAAGGCCTCTATAACAGACTTGGCACCAACAGCGCAGCCTGTGTGCGTTCTTCTAGTCAACACAATTGGCCTGATAAGATTCAGAATCTGCTTCAGTTGGGATGTGTGGATTCAGTCCAGCCGGGAAGAACATCCTGATGGTAAGAGCTGTCCAACAGTGGAACGGACTCCCTAGGACAGTGGTGGATTCTCCTTCTTTGGAGGTTTAAAGCAAAGGTTGAATGCCCATCTGTTATGGATGCTTTAGGTGAAATTCCTGAATTGCAAGGGGATGGACTAGATGCCTCTTAGGGTTCCTTTCAACTCTACCATTTTATGATTCTATTCAGTCACCCGGTAGGGCAGGGGATTTATGTGAGTGAGGCAGACCCTAAACAACAACAGTGAATAGCAGCCCAGGATACAAACTATATCTAGCACAGTGGTACCTTCGTTGTCAAATTTAATCTGTTCCGGGAGTTCATTTGACTCCCGAAATGGTTTGAAAACCAAAGCGTGGCTTCCAAGTGGCTGCAGGAGCTTCCTGCACTCAATCGGAAGCCGCGCTGGACATTTGGCTTCCGAAAAACCAGACCACTTACTTCTGGGTTTGTGGCATTTGGGAGACGACTTGTTTGGGAGCCAAGCCATTCAAGTACCCAAGGTACCACTGTATGTGGAAGCAGAGTGTTGAAACTGAGAACTGAATCTCTAGTGGGTTGAATTCCAAGACAGCTGTAAGTAAACAGTATTGATACTAAAGCTCAGTGGTATAAGAGAAACTACACGAACAATGTTCCAGATTCAACCATGCACATCTCCTGTTAAAGGGCTCAGGCAGAACTGCTGTCAAATTCCCTATAAAAATAGGGGGGCGGGATGAACAGATTTGGGGGCTTGCTTCATCAGGTTCTGAGCAGAATTCCACTGTTTCTACTTTTGAGAAATACCACCCCGCCACATTCTTGTTAAGAATAGCCACATTAGGAATACAGTGGTACCTCAGGTTACATACGCTTCAGGTTACAGACTCCGCTAACCCAGAAATAGTACCTCGGGTTAAGAACTTTGCTTCAGGATGAGAACAGAAATCGTGCTCTGGTGGCGCGGCGACAGCGGGAGGCCCCATTAGCTAAAGTGGTGCTTCAGGTTAAGAACAGTTTCAGGTTAAGAACGGACCTCCGGAACGAATTAAGTACTTAACCCGAGGTACCACTGTAGTACCATATTGGGGCCATCTCCAAGACGGGGCCACTTTATACTTGAGCAATTTGAACGCTTACCTCCATCGTGTCCTCTAAACCAATCAGTTTCCCCCACCCCGCCCACTTTCTACTGAAGGACACACATTTCTGCCCATAAAATTCTGCCTGCAGTAGTAGCAGAAGCAACTTCGGCAAGGACCGAGCCGAGGAGTGGTAGGAACATAGCAGCTGCTCCATCGATAGCCCTCTTACTGGGTGGCACCATTATAATAATGATAATAATAAACCCTCCAGTTTTGCTTTTGAGTTTTTTTATACTTTGATTTAAAAGAGCTGCACACTGAAACACACCAACTGTTATGCATCCGCACCATAGTCTCAAATGCTCCCATTGGGATGTGAACGTTCAATTTGTTATCACACCGCCCTTTTGTTGCAATGCCCTAGTTGCAATGCTGCTGTTAAATGCTGCTGTTTAATTAAGGAGGGAGAGAGAAGGGGCTGAGGAAGAGAAGGTGGGTTAATAACTCTCATCTATGTCCACAACATAGCACAGAATGCATCACACGACAAAGACAGCCACCGGCAGTCGTATAGTTTTTTTCCAGCGAAACACAAACGTTGCCTCATGTGAATCAGATCATTGGCCACCGATATCAGTGATATCTACACTCACGGGAAGTGGGTTTCCTGGGTCTCAGGTAGGCGTTTTTCCAAGTCAATGAGTTTTCAGTCTGAGTTTTCAGTCAGACTGAGGCTGCATCCACCTGCGTATACCTTTAAAGCACACTTGAACCACATTCTTTCCCTCAAACAATTCTGGGCACTGTAGTTTCCCCTCACAGAGTTACAACTCTTAGCAACTCTTAACAAACTGTAGCACCTAGAATTATTGGAGTAGGGAAATGTGCTTCAAATACGACAGCTCGGATAGCTCAGTGAGTAGAGCCTGATATTGTGGGTTCAAAACCCCACACTGGGCAAAAGATTCCTGCATTGCAGGGGTTTGGACTAGATGACTCTAGGGGTCCCTTCCAAGTCTACAATTCTATGATTCTATGAAATATGCTTTAAAGGTATAGTGTGCATGCAGGGCCGGATTTAGGTTTGATGAGGCCCATAGCTACTGAAGGTAGTGGGGCCCTTTATATGTCCAGCTGTCTTTTGTCAACAACAAAAAGTCGCTGTTTTTGTGTTGAATATATGCCATGCAACCAGTCCATGCAGAATGTAGGCACCCTATATATAGAAATGAGCAAACCAGTGATATTTTAGGGAGCAGGCTAGCAAGCGGGGCCCATTACTTACATCATAGGAGCCTACACAAAACAAAACACTGTTGCTGTATGTAGGTTTTATTTTGCTTTTTTATCTTATACAGTATTTTGGAAATGTAAAAGGTAAAGGGACCCCTGACCATTAGGTCCAGTCGTGGCTGACTCTGGGGTTGCAGCACTCATCTCGCTTTATTGGCCAAGGGAGCCGGCGTACAGCTTCCGGGTCATGTGGCCAGCATGAGTAAGCCACTTCTGGCGAACCAGAGCAGCACACGGAAACGCCGTTTACCTTCCTGCCGGAGCGGTACCTATTTATCTACTTGCACTTTGACGTGCTTTCAAACTGCTAGGTTGGCAGGAGCAGGGACTGAACAATGGGAGCTCACCCCTTCGTGGGGATTTGAACCGCCGACCTTCTGATCGGCAAGTCCTAGGCTCTGTGGTTTAACCTACAGCACCACCTGCGTCCCTATTTTGGAAATGTACATCCAGGTTTTTTTCCCTTTAAATTTTTTGGGGGCCCCCAAGAGAGTGAGGCCCTAAGCTATAACTTGTTTAGCTTATATGTAAATCGGGCACTGCGTGCATGATTTGTGTACCATGAGAATTTAGAAAAACTATTTCAATTTACAAAGCCCAATGAAAGTGGCTAGAGCTTCCACACATATTTTATTTAAAAAACCTCCTGTGTGAATCGCCGTGTTTCAATTTATTTTTTAAGATTTACATACGAATCAAAGCAAGTCTTAATCTAAAAAGTTCTTTGTGTTAGAGTGATGCTTGCATTTATGGCCACAGGCAGCAACACGTTAGAAGAAGCATTGCCACCTATATCAGGGAACCTGCCACTTAAGATAAAAAAACTGCAAAAAAAAAAAGTATTAAAAACGTTCAGGTTCTGGAGCATTGAAAAGGTTTTTTAATTGATTAATCAGTTAGATTAATTGTTGCATCCCTAAACGTTGCATATATGAGTGACATTTTATAAGCAGCTGTGTGCATCCATTATTGCGGCAGATGATTTATCAGACTGAATGCAGCCATTAATCGTGGCAGAATTACAGGAAATGGTAGTCTTATGTCTTGCTGGAGTTAAATTACGGGAAATGCAAAGATAAATAAAAACAAGCTCATTCCACCTCCTTTTCCAGTCCTGCCCAACCCACCAAGTTCAGGTTGAGAGAGAGAGAGAGAGAGAGAGATGTCAAAGGGGAAATGCAAAGTGTGAGAGTAAACACATGTACAGTGGTACCTCAGGTTACTGGCACTTCAGGTTACAGGCGCTTCAGGTTACAGATGCTTCAGGTTACAGACTCCGCTAACCCAGAAATAGTACCTCGGGTTAAGAACTTTGCTTCAGGATGAGAACAGAAATCGTGCGGCAGCAGCGGGGGGGGGGGGCGCATTAGCTAAAGTGGTACCTCAGGTTAGGAACAGTTTCAGGTTAAGAATGGACCTTCAGAACGAATTAAGTTCTTCACCCGAGGTACCACTGTATTGCATGAGCATATGTGCTGTGGCTTCAACCACAAACAGTTACCAGGACCCCTTTGTCCCATGTGAGGTTACACTAAGGCCAAGAGCACCAATGATGAAAGCTGCAGAGGTGCTGACCCCAGGATCCAACAGCAAATAGCAAGGAGACACCTGAGCAGGACATAGCAACTCCCAGGCTGTATTGCCCCAGGAAACAGGTGTTTGCATGCCTCCCCTTAATTTCCATCAGGAGCATGGGTGCATGGACGACATGGGTGATGGAAGTCAGAGCTTTAACTCTTTCCCTTCCAGCCATGATTCCAATGGAAATCTTTTCCTGACACCCACCACTGCAACTAGTGATTGGGAGTGGGGCTGATTCTAGTTGCTTTCAGTGAGAGATTTCTTTTGTCTCTAATTGCAATGCAGATGGGGGGGGGGATTTCCATGAGGATCACAGTTGGAGGGGTGTGTGTTAAATCTCCACTACTCATGCACAGTGTTTCCAATGCAGATGTGTGTGTGCGCACACACATATCCATGATTAAAAATTCAACATTTCTTTACGTGCCTGCAAGTTATGCCATTAATGTAACGCATAGTTAAACCCTCAATAGCTGCAAAGTGAGACGTGCTGCACACTCACCCCTCTACACCCAAGTTGTTTGCATTTGTTAAATGCCTTGGTGGAGGGAAAGGAAAGAATCGGCAATCATATATATCACCAGTGGGCTATCGAGATCAGTCAGAATAAAATAAACCAGTGCAAACACGCTTTTTAGAACCAGCGAGCCCTAGGCTCATTGTACATTTTGTCACAGTCATCATGGCGTCAGTTTCTAACTGAAGCAGTGCTGTTTCACTGCCTGGACGACAGAACACTCTTCCTAAAGTGGTCTGAGACAGCAGCAACTCTTGCACGTTATTTTGCAGCTTCTTTCCAAGTTTTTTAAAAAAGTGTGCTGTCAAAAAGTCAGGAAGAGACCGGTTGTGGGGGAGTGGAGGCACTTTGCTGCTCAATATGCAGATACTGACCTCAGTTCAGGAAAGCACTTAAATGCATACATTTCCTACACAAGGGAAAGTAAAGTGGGAACAAGTCTTGGGAGAAGCACACCACTGAACTCTGACCAGGCTGAAGAGCAATGGGATGCAATTATTTCGAGATATGTAACACAGGCTTGCTCCTGTCATACCTTCAAACATATTCTTGTTTTGTGTCAGCAAAAACAGATGCAACCTCTTTGTTAAAAAGAATTAAGCTTCTCTAGTGCACACACACAAACGTGTTCACTAGGGCTGGGTGATATCTGGTTTTCAACTTTGTGATATCTCACCAGCTAAACACTGCAATATACTGATATATCGCAGTGTCTGAAGGATGGAGGTCTATAGAGGCATTGGCTGGCTTCATGTTTTTCCCCAGATTGCAATTTTTGCAGAACACACGGGCACCCATCATGATTCGTGTTATATTGCCAGATCAAAAATAATGAAACGGATTTCACGATATGGACTTCAAGCCAGTTTTGGACAATATATTGATATACCACCCAACACTAGTCTTCACAGCTTTCAGACTTCCTTAGCACCTGTTAATAATGGTTCCTTGGAAAATCCGCTTTGGTTTGTTGCTCCCACTCCCTGCCCAAGCAGACACTAAAAAAGTTCACAGGCAGAATGCATGATGGTATGATCATTGGTCAGTCAGGAGGAAGGGGTGAGAGCACAAGGATGGTATAAGCCAGCTTTCTTCAACCAGCTTGAGGGCATTCCAGAGGCTTCTGGATAGCCACTGTGGAAGGCAAGATGCTAGACAAGATTGGCTTGATGCAGCAGCGGGGCTTTTATATGCCCCCGCAGATCCTATCAAGCCCAGGCAGCATGGCTAATGGTCAGGAGCATGATGGGAGTTGTAGTCTAAAACATCTGGAGGACAACAGGATGGGGAAGGTTGTGGTATAAACCATTGTAAGAATGTTTGAAAACAGAGCATAGATTCCATGACCACCACAACACTCACAATCCGAGCCTTCGACCAAGCCAATTCAGACACATTGACAGGACGGGGGGGAGGGGGGGTTGATGGAGAAGGTAGATACCAGTCTCCTAACAGATGCTCAAGAAGCTTGCATTGTAGGAAACAATGGAGCCTTGCATCATCAAAAAGGTCTCTGTGGCAATCTCCCATTCCCCGAAGGAAAGACCACCTAGTAGCAGTAAGAAAGCAGGAAATACCAAGGTTTTGTGCAATTTGATGCTGAGATTGCTGGGGTGGTCGGGAGGAGAGAATGCAGAAAATTCTACTGGGTGCAGAATTGTGCTTTCTCAGAATCACCTTTGATTCTAAAAAGCTTCCAACTTATATGATGTCCTTACGAAGCTACCTGACTAATTATAGAATTTTTATCACAAGAGTTTTTATCAACACTAAGATTTGCCCCCTTATTCCCTACTCTCCAGTTAAAAGGAAAGCAATTAAAAATGAGGGCATTCCATCTACTACGAGCTCTACCTCTCCACCCTCAGACTTAATTAGTTGGACAGAGACCCCCATGCCCCTCCTATCAAAGGCTACTCATCTTGAGAATTCGATGGAGCAGGAATTACTTGTCTCCTTCTCCCATCTGCCAAAAGCCGAACAAACAGAGATAACGGACAGACTAGATGAGTTATTACTCTATCTCCGCAACTTTGAAGATCTAGCGCCCATAAAAGAGGCAAATATTCCACCTAACTTGGAGCGAAAAATGGGTCATGAATCTCCTCAGGTCACGGCAGAACACACACCTCTACTCTGCCCATCTGAAATCCACGCCGAAATCTCTGTGGCGCCCTAATCACATTACCGGAGACTCAACCATCCAATGGTTGCATCTTCCACGACCCGGGAAAACACTAGATGCTATTGAAGAGACAAAATGACTCTCACCCCTACTACTATCCTGGAACGTTGCTGGATGGCAATCGAAAACAAGGGACAAAGACGTTTTAACCTACGTATCACAGTTCAAGATCATCCTGCTCCAAGAAACCTGGATGCAAAATCCTTTCGAACTACACAATTACTTTGCTTTCCATTCCCCTGCCTCAATCGGCCCAAAAGGCGGAAGACCGGCGGGAGGTTTGAGCACCTTCGTATCGACAGATCTAGGAGCCTCCCCTATCCAATTGAAAATCGATAAAAAATGGATTTTGGCCGTTAAAATATTCTCCACCCATTTTAAGATCATATGCATCAATGTTTATATTCACCCACTTATGAAACAAACTGATCTTAAAAACATCTGGAACGAACTGGAAGACTGCATTCTCCTTGTCTCAAATAAGTTTCCCTCTGCCTCCTTAATTATTGGTGGGGATTTTAATGCAAGGCTAGGCCACTCAGACGAACAGTTAATCAAGGAAAGTGGAATGGGTCCCCTAAATGCTAATGATGAATATTGGCCCCTATTCAGGCGTCACTCACTTGACCCAGTCACCAATTTTGCTGGTACATGTCTTTTTTTAATGGCACTTAGATTAAACCTTGTTATTTTAAACGGCCTCTCCTCGGGGGACTGCCCTGGCCAATTTACTTACTGGTCAGGCCTAAGGCATTCTGTTATTGACTACATCCTTGTCTCCCAAGAACTTTTCGATGAATATATTGAATTTACTGTAGATATAAGAACCGAAAGTGACCATTTACCCCTAAATCTTAAAAGGACTGAATTTTGGGAACCCTCTAGATGTGGGCTTGCCCCGCAGACTCCTGATCCTAGCGCTTTACAACAAATAGGTAGATCCAGAATTAAATGGTCCCCTTATGTTAATAACCATTTTGGTATTTGGACACAATCAATGGAAGGTCAACTCCTCTGGGCTGATCTGACTTCCAACGACACTGAAGAGACCTCCCCAATTGACCATTATAACACATTAATCCGAAAACTCCAACCGTTATTGTCAAGACCCAGAAGATCTAACCAAAATGACTCCCCTACCAACAAAAATGGTTTGACCACGAATGCACTCAGGCAAAACTTATACTCAGGGAATGCTTTAAGGTCTTCCAGCAAAATCCTAACCCTATCACTAAATTGGAGTTACAACTTAAAAAAAGAACTACAAAGAGTTATTAAAAACCAAAAAAGAACCGCAGACTCTCTCATCTGGCAGGCCCTCATAAAAGCGTCAATAGAAAAAGACAATTCTAATTTCTGGAAAATTATCTCCAGTCAAACCAAAGCTCCTAATGAGGGCACAATAATCCCTGCAAATTCATGGGAAGAGCACTATAAAGTGCTGTTTAGGGAAGATCGTCCTTCTGCGCCGCTTAACATCCCCTTAGATAATGATACACCATGGCCCCCAACATCTGAAACTGAAATCGCTTCGCTAATTCTACAAATGAAATCTGGCAAAGCCCCAGGAAGTGATTTCATTGTCGCTGAACTTTTGAAAGCGCAAATAAACTGGTGGGCCCCGGTCCTTGCAAATCTATTTTCATATATAGACAAGACAACTGAAATCCCTAAAGATTGGGGACTAGCTATAATTGTTCCCATATTTAAAAAGGGCAACCCCTCTGATCCATCTAATTATAGACCAATTAGTCTCCTGAATGTGATCTGTAAACTTTATACAAAACATCTATGCCTAAAATTATGGGAATGGTTAGATCATAACAACTTGCTAGAAATTGAACAAGCAGGGTTTACATCCGGACGTTCCACCATTGATCACTGCTTGGTGTTAGATTACTTTGTCTATAAGTATGCGAAATATTGGAAAAAGTCATTATATGCGGCCTTTGTGGACCTAAAGGCAGCATTTGATTCTGTATCTAGGAGCAGGCTCTGGGCCAAATTGGCCAATATGGGTATTAACAGAAGGTTATTACTTCTGATGATTAAGCTTCATGAGAACAATACCCTCCAGATAAGACTTGCACAGGACGGCAGACTCTCTAGAGAAATCCCAGTCCAAAGAGGAGTTAGACAAGGATGCCTATTAGCCCCATTCCTATTTAACATCTATGTTAACTCCCTGGTCACATGCTGCCGTGAAATTGAAACCCACCCCCCTGTGTTCTCTAATGGCAGAAAAGTACCAATTTTAATGTATGCGGATGACGCTGTTCTTCTCTCTCAAACCAAAGTGGGTCTGAAACGTGCCTTAGGAAAGTTTAGTGACCAATGTAACACTGAACTGCTAACAATTAACTTTGCCAAAACCAAAATTGTACATTTTAACCGCTCCTTCAGGAAGGATAATTGGAGCGTAAAGGGAAACGCCATTGAACAGACTAAGACCTTCCAATATTTAGGCATTACTTTCTCTTATAATGCCAAATTCTCAGCACACTTGACCACATCAGCTATATCAGCAGAAAGAAGTGCAAATGCTATCCTTAGATTATTCAGAAGGAAAGGAGCTGGCTTCCTCCCGATGGCCCTAACAGTCTTTCAGGCAAAATCTTTAGCCCAACTTCTATATGGCTCTCAAATTAGCCCCTCTGCCAACCTTAAGACCCTTGAAACAGTACAATCTAAATTCTTAAGATCATTATTTGCTACCCCTAAGTGTACACCTAATGCAGTCTTAAGGCAAGAGGCAGGACTGCCCAGAGTGGAATTAAAAGTCTGGGAACAAGCAATATCCCTCTGGCTGAAAATCCATTACAATCCTAAGGGTCTATTACCTTGCTTCCTGGCCGCAGTTCCCTATCCTCCTTGGCTTATGCAAATAACTAACAAGATCAAACAAATTGGCCTAAACCCTGAAAATATTTTTATTGGAACTCTGAACAAGGCAAAAGCTACTATTACTCGGAGACTTTATGATATCGAATTACAACAAGAAGGCGCCCTACTCCCAGAGACGTATAGATGTTTAAAAGCTTGGCCTAATTTTACAGCTGCCCCTTACTTAACCAACATCACTAGCGAAGCCTATAGATGGGCTTTCTCTAGAGCCCGCTTTGAGACAATGCCCTCAGCAGTGCTGTACGGCAAATTCACGCGGGTTCCAATGCATGCGCGTCTCTGCCCTTGTATGTCTAATAAGGTAGAATCTGTCACACACATTCTTCTATCTTGCGAATTCTATAGTGAAGAACGAGCTCAACTTATTTTACCGCTTCTATCAAAATTTATACCCCTTCAATATTATTTGGAATCCTCCCCTGAAATTCTTCGAAAATACCTCCTGGAAGATTCCTCAAGCTCAGTATCATATGAGGTGGCTAAATTTTGCACTTTAGTAATTAAGAAACGTAAATCTCTTCTGTTGAATGGCACACTGCGAAGTTCCCTTGTGTAACCTTTTTTCTTTTCTGAAGTTGTTGCTGATTTCTTGTTGTCTGATCTTGGGATGTTTAGTGTCACTGGCTTTGGCCGCAATAAACTTGAACTTGAACTTGCTTTCTCAGAATCCCTTAATTGCTGTTGTCTTTCCCCCCCTTTTTTCTTAAAGGAAGCTTCTGCTCCTTTCATGCTTGAGATGATATGGCTGCTGAACTCACAGGAGAGGTGTCGCTAGATAAAATTTCCAGCCTGAAGGAACGCTTTTGATTTTCCCTTGTCATGTGGGTGGCAGAATAAATGATCCGAAGTAAGATATGCAGTGCACCTTGGCATTAATTCATGCAGGTTGCAGAACCCAGCCTTTCTGGGTGCAGAAACAGAATCTCCTGAGCAACGAATGCTGGTTTTTAGCACACCGCCCTGCTCACAAGTAGACGGGGGGTGGGGGAGGAAAGGTGGCGCCAGCACCTATTCAACTTTCCCTTCTTTGTTCTTCCCACGCAGATACAACAGCCAAGCATTCCAACCTCTAACGGATAGTACTGCAAGCAGTTTCCTGAAGGGAATGCTATTTTTTCCTTTGTGTTCAAAACGCCAAAGTATTTTTCGGTACACGACAACCTAGCAGAGCCGTAATAGAGGCATAATTAATATCTTCAACAGAAGGAACAAAAGGGGGAGAGAAAGCAATTTTAAACCCCATTTCTTAAAGGGAAAAAAAAAGAGAAAGGATTGGACTGAAGAGAGAGCAATGAACGGGATGGATGCCAGGGCAGCACAACCTGTTTATAGGTGTGGCTAATGCCAAGGATGGTTCCCTATGGATAGTCACCTGTGCGTAACCCACATGCATTTTAGAATCAGTCATCGACCCTAACACCAGCAGCCAGGTAAAGAATTTGTTGTTGTATATACTGTATGGATATCTACAAGCTCTCATTTAATACGGACAAGACTGGGAAGTCAAGCATTCAGTCCCTGAGAACAAAAAGACAGAAGAGCGTAGTGTGAATGCAAAACCTCTAGCTAGTTGACTTAAAAAGAAGAAGACAGAGAGCTGATTTAAAGCAAACAGTGCCATTTTTTACCCTGCGGATATCTAGCTTTTTGTTGCTGCAACTCTCCCCACAGCAAATATTCATATTGTTTGACCCAGAAAGGCAAACAAAGCGAGAGAGTGTTCGTGCACCTGCAAATTGCAAAGGAACTGGTGGGAATACCTTTTAGATGCTGCTTGAGGAGGAGCATGAGAATACGGACGACCCCGAATGGAAGCCAAGAGGCTATACAGTGGTACCTCGGGTTAAGTACTTAATTCGTTCCAGAGGTCCATTCTTAACCTGAAACTGTTCTTAACCTGAAGCACCACTTTAGCTAATGGGGCCTCCTGCTGCTGTCGCACCGTGGGAGCCCGATTTCTGTTCTTATCCTGAAGCAAAGTTCTTAACCCGAGGTACTATTTCTGGGTTAGCGGAGTCTGTAACCTGAAGCATATGTAACCTGAAGCGTATGTAACCCGAGGTACCACTGTATTGTAGAAATCGCCAGCAAAATGACTTTTGTTTTGTGGGGAGGGGCAGGCACAGGGGCAACCATATGTCCTCTTGTATCTGCTGTTGAAATGTTGCTTCTATGCAAGAACAACTTGCCTTGCAGTGTTTCCCAAACTTGGGTCTCCAGCTGTTTTTGGACTACAACTCCTATCATCCCTAGCTAGCAGGACCAGTGGTCAGGGATGATGGGAGCTATAGTCCAAAAACAGCTGGAGACCCAAGTCTGAGAGACACTGTTGCCACATTTCTCAAACTACAACTCCCATCATCCCTAGCTAGCAGGACCAGTGGTCAGGGGTGATGGGAGAAGTAGTCCAACAACAGCTGGGGATCCAAGGTAGAGTAATAGGCCTTGGTTGTTAAGTCTGGCCTTTGCTCATGGGGAAGAGTATTATAAGAACTTGCATAGGAGCTGCTCAAAGGAGCAAACAGCCTTTCCCCAGTTCTGCAAACCGTGCCAGGCTATGGCAGGGATGGAGAACCTGTGGTCTGAAGACACACAATACAGGAGGGGTTGGGAGCCTGTGGCCCTCCAAAGGTTGCTAGACTCCATCTCCCATCATCCACAAGCAGCATGGCCAGGGAGAATGGGAGTTGTAGTCAGGTTCCCCACCTTTGCCTTGATGGGATGGGGAGCTGATTCAGGCACTTGATAGGTTCACCAAGTTCCCTCTCCCTCTGAACTGAGCAGCCTTCCCCCAAGCTGATGTCCTCCAGATGTTTAGAATCCCATCAGCCCCAGCAAGCACAGCTGTGTGGGGAGTTGTACTGAAAAACAGCTGGAGGGCACAGGCTGGAGCAAGCTGGAACAAAGCCCAATTGGTTCCTTGGTTTACTAGGGAGCTGGAGTGATGCAGCAGACTAGAATGCCAGTGGCAGAACACTCAGAATGAATCCAACCGAACACAGGCTAGTTACCATTTCAGGGCGTATTACTTAGTGGTAATAGTGGTAGAGTTTTCCCCCTGAATGGTTCAAGTCCTTGTTCAACCGGAACCACAAAGTAGCTCCCAGGAACCCTGTTAATTATTTGCTAAACCCTTTGACGATTAAAGAAATACCACTAAATGTCATGATGCTACTATTTGCTAGTCAGTGGGCCCCTAAGCTATTACCCATAGTTTCTCAGTTCTGATACAATGGGAAACTATAGCCAAGTATAGCTTTCGAGCATCTTTCCCCACTCACAGAAAGCACACACCACTTGTGTGATTTGATTGTCTGAATGTGGCTGTTGCATTTGCAGGAAGTCCCTTTAATTTTGATGGAATTACGAATTCTTTCTCGTCCTAGTACTGTCGCCAGAGAGAGGGAGACAGAAATGAGGCCGCTGCTCTGCAGACAGACAGACTGATGATAAAGAAAAAGTTAAATATGTCAAAAGCGCCTTTGTTAAAATATGTAGAGGGGTTCAGTAACATGGAAGACCACTTGCTCCAGCTGTTCCTAGTGTCTGCTTAGGAGTGCATTGCCTCGTTTTGGGAGATGGATTCAGTCATGGGTAGGCAAACTAAGGCCCAGGGGATGGATCCGGCCCAATCGCCTTCTAAATCTGGCCCACGGATAAAATCAGCGTGTTTTTACATGAGTAGAATGTGGCCTTTTATTTAAAATGCATCTCTGGGTTATTTGTGGGGCATAGAATTTGTTCATTTTTCCCCCTTCAAAATATAGTCCGGCCCCCCACAAGGTCTGAGGGACAGTGGAAAAGTTTGCTGACCCCTGGATTCAGTAGATAGTTTTAAGTTGAATGGGCAGCTTGTGTGTCACACTTCTCTCCGTGTCATAAAGAAGGCTTCCTCAAACTCGGCCCTCCAGATGTTTTGAGACTACAATTCCCATCATCCCTAACCACTGGTCCTGCTAGCTAGGCATCATGGGAGTAGTAGGCCAAAAACATCTGGAGGGCCGAGTTTGAAGAAGCCTGTCATAAAGGGTAAGGAAATAAGTACTGAAAATAGAAGCAATTCAGTATATAGCCCATCTCCTGTTATACAGCTGAAGTCACATGTGCTAATTGTAATCCAATTACAAAGCTCTCATAATACTTGATAGGCCCTGTAGTCCGGCTCCACTTTTGATATGAAAATTTCTATACTCCATTTAATTCACAATGAATTCAACATGGTATTGTGTTTAGCTCCAAGACTACTACAAAACTATTCAATAATTATGAGAAAAGGGTACCCCTATGCCTGCAGCTCATACTGGTCAACTCACCCTCTTTAGTGTCATCAATTATATACCAATACCTAATCATACTAGAAGCACACCTCTCCAAATGCAAAACCAACCAACCAACAAACAAACAACCTCTGGTAACAGGGTATAATTTTCTGCTCTATTTGCCTTTCTATGTCATACCTGCACAGGGCTATTTTGAGGTATTGTATGTGCTACTTTTTTGTGCGCTTAATACCTGTAAGTCATAAGACAGGGATGTGGGACCTTAGGCCCTCCAGATGTTGGGCTCCAACCTCTATCAGTCCCAGCCAACATGGCCAATGGGAGGTGTGGTTCAGCAACATCTGGAAGGCCACAATTCCCATTGGTCATGGTGGCTGGGGTGGGTGGGGACTGGCACCCAACGATATCTAGACGGCCACAGATTCCAATTTACAAGTGCCTGTGTATGTAGGGATTTTTGTTTGTTATTTACAAAAACATTTTAATACCACTTTTCAGTACAGTGGTACCTCGGGTTACATATGCTTCAGGTTACAGACTCCGCTAACCCAGAAATAGTGCTTCAGGTTAAGAACTTTGCTTCAGGATGAGAACAGAAATTGTGCTCCAGCGGCACGGCAGCAGCGGGAGGCCCCATTAGCTAAAGTGGTGCTTCAGGTTAAGAACAGTTTCAGGTTAAGTACGGACCTCCAGAACGAATTAAGTACTTAACCCGAGGTACCACTGTACTAGCAAGCCCCCACCCCCAGGCTGATTTTACAACAGTAAAATCTCAAAACACTTTTAAAAGCAGAAAGCGTTAAAAGTCACTGCAAGACAATTAAAACTATTTTAAAAAACAACTAGACTTAAAGTTTGCTGGAATGAAAATGTCTTAACCAACCATATAAAAGGCAACAGAGAAGAGTATGGTCTAATCTCTCTTGGGATGGAGTTCCACAGTCAAGGTGCTACGCTTGACTAGGCACCCCACCAACCATAACTGTCTCGGTGGTCATCTAGGAACTCCACTGGGTCCAATAGAACCCCAAAACTGCAAACCTGGTCTTTTAGAGATACAGTGGTGCCCCGCAAGACGAATGCCTCGCAAGACGAAAAACTCGCTAGACGAAAGGGTTTTTCGTTTTTTGAGCTGTTTCACAAGACGATTTTCCCTATGGGCTTGCTTCGCAAGACGGAAACGTCTTGCAAGTTTGTTTCCTTTTCTTAACACCGTTAATACAGTTGCGACTTGACTTCGAGGAGCAACTCATAGAACGCGGTGTGGTAGCCTTTTTTGAGGTTTTTGAAGACTTTGGTGACTTTTGAAGCTTTTCCAAAACTTTCCCGACACCGTGCTTCGCAAGACGAAAAAAATCGCAAGACGACAAAACTCGCGGAACGAATTAATTTCGTCTTGCGAGGCACCACTGTAGTGCTGCCCTGAGCCTCTAATCCTGGGTCAGCATATCTACTAATTAGATATGCTTCTGTCTCAGTTGGATCAAACTCTTCTGTCTTTTAGCCTCCATCTCATCCATCACTGAACTTAGATGCTACCAGTTCAGGAGGATCCCTACAGGCTCCTTGGCTCAGCTGGGCCTTGCTAGCATACTGTTGGCATCCAACACCAAAACTCCCAATGACCATTCTCTGCAGTTTTAATGGAGATGCTAAACAGAATGGAGGTCAAAATAGAGCCCTGAGGGATCCCATTGGCCAAGTGATCCAACAGAAGACCGTCAACACCACCATCTAACTAGATTGGACCAAAGCTACCACAGAACACTGCTTCATGCCCAGAAGGATTCCATGTTCAAAGGTACGGAGAGTTCCAAAATCCAACAGACACACAGTCCCCACCATATCTAGTGCCTGGTGTAGGGCATCCACCAAGCCAGTTTCACCCCAAAATGGACCTCAATCTAAACTGGAAAAGATCTAAATAATCAGGAGCATCCAAGAAAGTCTGAAGTTGAGTTGCCACCAACTTGCTCTAACACCTTACTCCAAAAATTGTGATGTTAGAGGCTGGCCAAAAATGATCAAGGATGGTATAGTCCAAAAAGTGCTTTAATAAAAAGAAAAGAAAAAAAAAAGAAAAAAAAGCAATCTTACAATTGCTTCATTAGCAAAGTTGGGGCTCAGCCCTCGTCTTCAAGCTGAAACACATCAATCAAAACAGGACAAGCAGGCACTGATGACTTGTGGGCTACATCCAATAAGAAGTTCACATGTGACAGAAGGGACTGGTGTTAGCAAAATGATGACACTCTGTGCCCCACAATACCTCCCCCCCCCCAATGCTTTGCATAGAACAATGCAGTGTGGGAAGAAGATTTGGGGCAGCCCCAATGGGTTAGTCTGAAACACTTTTATCCTGTGTAAGCACCACTAAAAGGCGCATGATATACATAGGAAACTGCCTATGCGCTCAACTAGCACAGTACAGACTCAGAAGAACCGCACCATTTCTCAATGCACAGCACCCCTTGCATTCGGTGTAACAGACGAGACAATGCAGTCTTATACATGTCTAAAGGTAAAGGTAAAGGGACCCCTGAACATTAGGTCCAGTCGTGGCCGACTCTGGGGTTGCAGCGCTAATCTTGCTTTATTGGCCGAGGGAGCCGGCGTACAGCTTCTGGGTCATGTGGCTAGCATGACTAAGCCGCTTCTGGCGAACAAGAGCAGCGCATGGAAACGCCGTTTACCTTCCCGATGGAGCAGTACCTATTTATCTACTTGCACTTTGACATGCTTTCGAACTGCTAGGTTGGCAGGAGCAGGGACCGAGCAACGGGAGCTCAAACTGTCGCAGGGATTCGAACCGCCGACCTTCTGATCGGCAAGTCCTAGGCTCTGTGGTTTAACCCACAGCGCCACCCTTATACATGTCTAATCCTATCTCACTGAGAATTAGGCTTGGTGCCACATCCCTTGTCCTCCTAGAACATCATATTTTCCATGAAGCCTTTGGTTCGAATTCCATAGCCCTATGTCAGCAGAAACCCAAAGTACACGTAACAGCCTTTGCTCACATTCAGCCCCCTGGTGCAAATCTCCCTTTGTGATCTCCTACTGTAAAAAGAAATAAAGACCGAAAACTCCCCGGGCCTGTCTTCTTGCTTGCCTTGCTCCCTAAAGCACCCCTGATGAGGTGCGCTATATAAATGAGGCTTGAATTTACACATGTATATCCATCACTTGACATCTCATGGCTCTGTTGAAAGTTAGCTCTCTGTGTGGCATTTGGTTTGTGAATGGCTGTTTCATATTTGCAGGTCAACACTCGTGGCATGGGTTCACACAACACAGGAACATGCCTGTGCCGAAGAATCATGCCAAGGGCCAATTTGCACAAATCAACAAGACGGCGGGTCACCCAGTGGTTGCATTCAGGTGTCACCAATAAACTATGGCCTGTCTTCACTACTGTTTGTTGAAAGGACCACTAGGTACTGTGAATCAGAATCTTTTCCAGAAGTGTTCAATCATGTTTTTAAAAAGGCATTTAAAAGCCAAACTGGTTCTGCTCATTTGAAGCGTTTCTTCCCCCTTTGAGAAAAGCACAAGAAAAACACACGAAACCTAAGTCCTCTCAGAGGATCATTTTGCAAGTTTACCATGAAGTATTGTTGGTATTCTGGTTAAACAAAACACCGTATTGAAACATTCACTGTGTGTGTGTGTGTTTTCAATCAAAGTTTAAACATCAGAGGCAATGTCTCACTAGTTCAAGACGCAGGAGGAGGGAGCCACACACAACAAGAATGCTATCTGACAAAGAAATCTGTGAACAGACTTTAAAATGCTACATTTTAAAGCAAATAAGAACAGTGTAGACAAGCAATGGATTTCTGTCTTTCTTTGTTATATCAGCTTGTGGCACTATTTCCGAAAAACAACTTATTTGCATGTTATATAAAGAATGGAGTTTGCTCCAATGTTAAAATCACTTGCTACTTCTTAAACAAAAAAACAGTCTCTCTCTACTCCCAAGAACTGCTAATTCAAATCACTCTTGTGCAAGTACTTGTCTTGGTGACACTTCAGTATATTCCATTCCACTCCTCTTTCTCCCAGCGTAAAATAACAAGAGCTGAAACCAAACACAACAAGGTCTATCTATTTGTGTAATAGACCTTTGTGGTATAGGATGTTAATCTCCAATTTTCTCTGTAAAGCATTTATTATTATGGTTAGTAATCCTCTGCTAATATCTACAATCCTATACACGATGACATTTGTGTATATTCCAGCTACAAAGGTTACAGATAGGGAAAAAGGCTCACTGTTTCAAGTAACACCTTCGGCAGCTAATGAGTTAAAGATGATAAACGATATTAACAAAGGAAAGAGGATCTTTCCTTTGTTTCCTATAGAACGTAGGTTTACAGCAAAAGGTGTCTCAACAGGCATAATGAGAATTTCCCAGATTTATTTATTCTTCTGCTTCCTTAAAAAAAAGAAAACCACACACTTGGCAAGAATACCAAGAGATACAAACACCACCACTATACTGAATTTAGGATTCTGTTTTGTACATTTCTCCCCTTAAATCTTAGGTTTGAGAATATATATCTGTGTGTATATATGTATGTATGTGTGTGTGTATATATATATATATATATATATATATATATATATATATATATATATGAATCTGTACGCCATTTTGTACTTGCTTAAAACATAAATATCCCCAAATCAGAGAAGTACATAGAATTGTGGTGCCACAACAGACAAGGAAATTTTTTTAAAAACATAATTGCAAGTTTTAGTAGTTTTGACATTGTGTTAAGACTTCAGCAATCCATTTTGGAGCCTTCCTTGTCTGAACTGGTATGTATGTGAATTCAGAGTAAGGTTTAAAGTTATTCGTTTTGCATAAAATAAAACCAAGATTTTCATAGAGCAATCACTAGTTGTTTAGAGTCTCCCCTTATTCTGAGGAGCAGTAAGTTGGACCTTTGCAAATGCAATCATTCCATTGGAAACAATAGGATAATTCTAGGGGGTAAAGAATTAGTCATGGCAACTGAAGAACTAACTTTAGCCTTCCCGTTTTTAAAATAAAACCCACAGATCAGAGTAGCAAAGTTGATAAACTATTTTCACCCTATATAAGCCCTGCTGTGGAATTCATCAATAAATTGAAGCATTGGCCTCACCCACTATGATAAAGGAAAATAACCTATATTATTATACTCTGCTGTTTTGTCACCCTAACAAATCTAATTTTTAACTTTCATTATCCTTGCAAATCCAGCCTAGTGCAACAGAAGGTTCCCAATAAAAATGGTGCTTGATCATGAATCGGTGTTCAATGCAGTCATCAACAGAACTCATAAAACAGGATCTCTTTACCATTTTAAAACAGGTGAATATTATTGCCGAACTTACATATCTGTCAAGAATACATCTCCATTACAATACTACCCATGTATTTTTAGAAGTCCAAGTTGTATTTTGTCCTCAGTTTTTTCTTCAAAAATATTAATACATCTCTTTTGTCCCTTTGTTATACCCTTAGACTTGAATTAACCTACGGGGATGTTACAGACATGAATGCATGCATATGGTAGACTTTGCAAATTAAACAAAGCAAGCTCAGTTTTGAGAGATCAGAACTCCCCCACGCTTAAGAAAAATGGAGAAGTCTGCAGATTTAAAAAAATAAAATAAAACGTTTGTCAAAATAAAGAATACATTTGTTACTGATGATACAGGCTATTTTTAAAAATTCTTTTAATGGGACACTTTTTACATTGGGACAGTTTGTATGCATCAATGCTTATGGGAATAGGAGGAATATGGATGAAGAATGAACAAAAAGCCACAATGGCTTTTTTAAAAAAAACTTACTGCCCAAGAACATGATTATAGTTCCAATTTGCTGTAATTTACAGACAAGGTGATGCATACATACATACACACACACACACACACACACACACACACAATTCCTGTATCACCTAAAGAAAATGGAGAAATCCACCATCTCCTTATTATTTCTCGCTACCCGATGCACAATATACATCCCAAGAACTCAATGCAAGCAGAGATTGCCTTGAGACAAGAGGAAAGAGCGAATGCAGCCGGGTTTCCCTTTCCACATTATTTGCAACAATGTTTGGCAACCCATATAATACGGGAAATTACTCTTCTCGTTCCAGACAAGTTATGCTATTTGCCCTGCACAGCTCAGAACTTCCAGTACTATTCTGTTGCTGCAGGGGACTGAATGAGTGATGGAAGGCAGTGGCAGTGTTTTAAAACATGTCTCTTGACAATCTATCCGGAAATGCATTCCTCTGCATTATACTGCGAGCGCACAAGACAATGCTGCAACCCAGCTGTGTCCAACTACAGACATTTACATCTGCTGTTTTGCCTTACACCGAGCCTAGCCCCCTGAAATCATGCAAATCACATGGCTGCTTTACATAGCATATTAGAAATCAGCGCACACGGAACAAAAGCTTTTGTTTAGGCAGGTGGGTGATTGCGCGATCCCAGGAAGTGCAAAGATACAATGGAAAGCTTCCTTTCAGAACTTTCTTTTTTAAAAAGGCAGCCTGCTGTCATTCCCCTAACCCTAAACAGCTGAAAGAGGTGGGGAATCCGTTCTCTCCAAATGCCCCTGTCAATTCAGAACAGCTGTCAGGAACAGAGCAGATTCAAACTGAAACACCGGGTCTTGTTTGGAAAAAGAAGACGACGAAGCGGGGGGGTTGGGGGGTGGGCCAGAGGAGGAGGAGAGAAATAAGGCTATCTCCATTTTCAGGCTTACTTACAGCATTGTGTCGAATGACACAGGACGGGACAGGTTTTCCAGGGGGCTTTATATCCCGTCTCCGGTAAGATGCATGCACAACACAGCAGTACTCCAAGTCGGCAGCAAGGAAGGCGCTTACCTTTCCAACACGTTAACAAAAGGAGAAGCCGCTCTCCTGTTCAGCTTCCCCCGACACGGATGCCTCTGCGAAGAAAAGGCAAAGAGGGGGAATAGGTCAGCTTGGGAGCTGTGCAGAGGCACTACCAATCTGTGCTGGCACCCATCTCCTACTCTTTCTCTTTCTCTCTCTCTCCCTCTCTCTCTCTCTCCCCACTCTCTCTCTCTCTCCCCACCTCTGCATCACAGCAGGCTACTGTAGCCAGGAGACAGAGGTGCTTAAATTAGAAAACCACTGCCAGAGGAAATAAACAGGAACCACAGCGACCCCCTCGACCCCAGCAGCCATCAAATCCGGGAAGATACAGTGCACATCTGTTTCACGAGGCCCCTTGGGATCGCCAACTCCAGCTACTTACCCTGTCTGCATTATTAATAGATGTTAATGGCTCCATTATATTGGAAAGAAAGCCTTTTGCTTTCCTATCATATGGAAGCGCAAAGGAGTTTTAGTTTTTGTTTTTTTAAAAAAAGGAAAAACCACAAGATAGCAGGCAACTGCCTCCATGGTCCCTGGGCTGGCAGAACAGCCACATTTCTCCACCCCTTCCACCATATGCATATCCGCTGCTGGGACCCCACCCTTCAATATACCAATGTGAGTCGCAGAAATTGATTCAGGGCGGTGAACGATTGCAGTAACGGAAAAGAAGTGCAGCAGAGATGTCCAGCCACAGGGCTACTTCCCAAATAAAAGAACATTTTAAAAACGATTATTATGGTTGGAAATGTTCATTTGGAACATCTTTTCTACTTTATGTAAAACGATGCACAGAATCAAGAATTAAAATAATCCATGGCGTAGGCGAAAGATCCGCATGCTACTTAAATGGAGGGGGCTGGAAATTATGTGTCTTCTGTGGCAGAGACAGTATATTTAGGATTTGGAGCAGGGGGAAGACTTCAGCCCTCTGATTTGTGAAAGAATGAGATAATAAAGCATGCTGAAAGGCTAGGCAGTGAAGAATTATTATTATTATTATTATTATTATTATTAAATACCTGGGTTTCCTAAGAAAGTGGCATGCCCCCTCGAGGTATTGTGTAGGGCAAGCACACTTTAAAGTGGGCAACAGACACAAGCACTGAGATATCGATCAGTTTTTAAAACCAGATCTTCCTAGGAAATGTTGCCGAAGCTACCACCAAGGAATAGAGAGAACTAAAGGGTTTCCAAACAGCCTTTCGATAGCAGTACATGGGGGGATGTGTACTTGTCAATATACTACTACATGTTCCTTGGAGTTTGCATCAATAATACAGCTCAAGTGAATGGGGATCTATGAAAGAGAGAGAGAGAATCGCAGCTACAGTGCAAGATATTTCACAATAGTGTATACTCATTAAATATCTGTACATGTGTGCATCTCTCTCCTGTCTCTCTACTGTCACGTTAAATGATTCCCAGCTAAATTTAGCTTTCAGCCCAGGGAATGGCAGCGAAAAAGGCTCTTTTGTCCAATGCAGAAAAGGCGAATGTTAAAGTTTAACTGATTTTGTTTGCTGTTTAAATTAAAATATACAGTGCTACATATTCTTATAGACTATGCACCGGGTGCTTTTTCATGGCCGTGTAGAAGGCCTTGGAATAAGCCAGCAAGGCAGGATTTTCTCTGTTCCTGATGCAAGATGCAGCTGTTTGCTTACTTCTGACAAATACATGAGAAGTGTCATTAATTCATCCGAGACAAATGCAAAGCAATTGGCTTTGTTGCCCATTGCCTCTATACAGATTTTTTTTTAATGAGACGGGCACTGCAAGTGTTCTGCAGAAATGAAAAAACACAGAGATCGACTGTATTAACTGTGTCGCAGACAGACAGACTCAGCACGACAGTCTTCATCTCCCTCTCTAATTATTTATCTAGATAAAGCCTGACTGCTGGAAAATTAGCTCTTGACGGGAGGTAACTGATCTGAAAGGTTGCTTTTTTGACTACGAAATTGTGAACAGCCACTGCTGCGGAGGCCAGCGAGTCACCGCAAGGGCCAGTGTAAGATTCAATTGAAAAACTGGTCTGTCTTCATTCATCTCCAGAAAGGGAACCAGGGGCGATGAAAAATTGGGGAAATACCTGCACTCAAAAGAATTTCAAAAGCACGGAATCTGGCTATTTGCACAGGATTCACAGAGAACAGGAGAAACACCCTGTTCATTTCTTATTGTAATGGGTTGTGTACGTGTTTCAATTTGCTTTACGCAAACAAAGACTTTGTAATCCCGATTTACGCAGGGACTTAAAAAAAAAAAGACAGAAAGAAAAAGCCTGCAGTGATTCCACCATGAATATTTACTATGTTCTTTTGCATGGATTTTGTTCACAAGATCGATCTAAAACATGGGTTAAATTCAAATGCAGGCTAATAAAAGGAAGAATAAAGTAGATTCGAGGAGGGAGGTTTACTTGTCTAGACCTCCAGCTATAAGGGGGAAAAAATCTAATTTCCAATTTTCAGATTTGAGAAAAATGTATGACTACAATCCATTCCCCCCACATCCAACAGCCCTCAGTTCACCATCTATTCACTTTTCACACATGGGCGTAGCCAGGATTTGGGGCGGGGGGACGCTTTGTTGGGGGGGAGAACCTCATTTGTATTGATTTTCACTGATTATGGGGGGCAGTTGCCCCCCCACCCCCCTTGGCTACACACATGTTTTCACACTATTCCAGCAAAGCAGTCCCACCCGACACAACCCCCTCCGTCGGTTGAATGATATAATTTGTATGCACTGTACACATCTATACTACAGAAAAATGACAAAGCTTGAACCAGATACACGAGGTTTTTGGGACAATAAAGTGTTAAAAACTGCAGTAATTTAACAGTAAATCAAAGTAGCTAATTATAAACAACAATGAAACAAAATAGGGTTTTAAAAAAAGCAAACTTGCAGCTTATACACTAGTGGATTCCACGTATCCGGAGCTGTAGTGGAACCACTGGCAATTACTACATTTTCCAGGTTTACTTCTTCAAATACGACCGAGAACCAAGTTTTCACTGCATTTTTATACCAAATTCCAGATCAGGCTAGTTAGCAAAGCCACCTGCTTTACCTGACTGCAGAACAAAGAGCATTTTTCTTCTCCCATCATCTGGTTCCTAAGCCACACCCTTTCGTCCATACAAAGCTTTTCATTCTGAGCTGCCTTTTGCCCGCCCGGCATCAATGGCAGCGTGAATTTTTCACAATAATTTTGCAATAGTAATTAAAAAACCCCAACAACATTTCCAGGAAGGACAGAAGACTTGAGGTTAAAACTCTGTCCAGGTGCAAAATGCAAGGAAACGGCATGGAAATGCCGTCAGGTGCACAATGTCACATTTTGTGTTTGTGTGTCACTACTAACCTGCATGGAAGCTTACGGCTTTATAGAAGCTTACAGCTGTGTGCAAAAAGCCTGATCCTGAAACATTAGCATTGTGAATGGCCAGGAATGATGGAAGTTGTAGTCCAGCAAATGAATGGTAGGGAGCCAATGCACACCTTAATTTATTTACAGACACAATGATTGCCAAGGCAGGTTTCCAGAGACCACTATGGGCTTGGATGATCATTCAGTTTAGCTCTCTGGACAATCTGAGTTCACTTACTGGTCAAATATGATGGCTAAACACACTGGCAGGGCAAAAGGATGGGTCATGGCCTAGTGCACCAACCCCACAAAACTTTAATGTGAGCCAGGGCCTCTTATGAGACAGATGATGCAGGCTGGCTCTACTTGTCAATATTCACCCTAAAAGTTACGCTGCGCTACACAGGACTGTGTAGAATTCTACAGGATGTGGTATTAGTGTGTGAAAACAGTCAAGATCCAAGAGTCCCCAGGCACGATGCACCTCCAGAGGGTGGAGACGTCAGGCGCCATTCTGGTACCTGGGCATCTTCACTTGGTTGCAAGTGGCCGATAGCCAGGTGCAAAATGCGCCCGGTGCCTGGCAAACTTCAAACGTGGACTGCAAGGGAAGTTTCACCTGAAGCTGAGTCATGCAAACAGGCCTGTGAGATGACTCCACATACCCAGCAATTCAATTATGGAGGCTTACTGGAAACATGGGTACACGGGTGGCGCTGTGGGTTAAACCACAGAGCCTAGGACTTGCCGATCAGAAGGTTGGTGGTTCGAATCCCCGCGACGGGGTGAGCTCCGGTTGCTCAGTCCCTGCTCCTGCCAACCTAGCAGTTCGAAAGCATGTCAAAGTGCAAGTAGCACTTCCCAGCGGGAAGGTAAACTGCGTTTCTGTGTGCTGCTCTGGTTTGCCAGAAGTGGCTTAGTCATGCTAGCCACATGACCCGGAAGCTGTACGCCGGCTCCCTCAGCCAATAAAGCGAGATGAGCGCCGCAACCCCAGAGTCAGCCACGACTGGATCTAATGGTCAGGGGTCCCTTTATCTTTACCTTTACTGGAAACTTGATGGTGCAGAAGCTCAACCCAGGTTCAGCCGCCAGTTAACATGTATGCCTCCTGCAAGGCTCTTGCAACATGCAACCTTCCAAGCAGAGAATAACAATCCAGGAAAGTGGACAGGTGGCAGCTCTCAAACTGATGAAAGCCACAGGGCTACCAGACTGCACCTTTACTGCTGAATCAGGAGGCAGCAACGAAGCATCCTGGTCATTTTTATCCACTTTGCTCCCCAAGTCCTGCTCACTGCAAAAGGCAGGAGAGGAAGAGGACAAAGGGGTTCAGGGCAAGCCTCCACAAATGGCCGTGACTGGCTGGGGGGGCCGACAGTGACTACCAATTCCTTTCTGGCAGCCACCTGTCTCTAGTTACTTAGCACTTTAATACAGTGGTACCTTGGTTCTCAAACTCTTTGGTTCCCAAATGCCTAAAACCCAGAAGAAAGTGTTCCAGTTTTTTAAAGTTTTTCAGAAGCCGAACGTCCAATGCAAGTGTTGGCTATTGTTTCTGGGGTTCCAGCACCAATCAGAAGCTGCGCTTTGGTTTTCGAACATTTCGCAAGTCAAACAGACTTCCGTTTGGTGCTTTTGTTTTTGCTATTTATTTTGTGTTTTTGTTTTTGAGGCTTTTTTGGTTAATTTGTTTTTGTCACTGTGTGGAACCTAGTTCAGCTACTGACCGATTGTGTGACTGCAGAAATGGATGAAACCCACCCATCCAAACAATGACTATCATCAGTGCAGGGAAGAAAAATAAATAAATTTTCATTTTTATCCTCTACAATACTGTCTTATTTTTTATAGTACAGTACATTGATTTTTGCTTTCATTTTATGGATCAATGGTCTTGTTAGATAGTAAAATTCATGTTAAATTGCTCTTTTAGGGGTTGTTTTTAAAAGTCTGGAATGGATTAATTCGTTTTGCATGACTTTCTACGGGAAAGTACGTCTTGGTTTTGGAACGCTTTGGTTTTGGAACGGACTTCCAGAACGGATTAAGTTTGAGAACCAAGGTACCACTATACCGATTAGTTTCTGGGCCCCATTTAAAGTGCTGGTGCTGACCTATAAAACCTTTCATGGCTCAGGAGCTCAATATCTTAAGGACCGCCTCTCCCCATACAAACCAGCCAGGACACTGCACTTGTCATTCAAGGCCCTTCCCTATGTCCCTACCCCCCTCCTCAAGAGGTTCAGAGGGTGACGACACAGGAATGGGTAGCTCCCCATCTGTGGAAGGCTTTCCCCAGAGTGGCTTGTCTGGCACCATCATTGCATGTCTTTAGGCGCCAGACATCCTCCTCACCCAGACATTTGGCCATTAAATAATCTATGCCTCGTTAAATGTGAGGGGGGACTGTCATTACAATTATTTCGTTATTATACAGTGGTACCTCTGGTTATGAACTTAATTTGTTCCGGAGGTCCGTTCTTAAGCTGAAACTGTTCTTATCCTGAGGCGCGCTTTTGCTAATGGGGCCTCTGGCGTGCGATTTCCGTTCACATCCTGGGGCAAAGTTCGCCAGCAGGAGCAGCTACATCTGGGTTAGCGGAGCTCGTCACTTGAAGCGTTCGTAACCAGAAGCGTCCGTAACCAGAGGTACCACTGCACTGTGTATTATTATGCTTCGTATTATGCTTTAAACGACGTTTCCGCGCATTGCTCTGGTTCGCCAGAAGCGGCTTAGTCATGCTGGCCACATGACCTGGAAGCTGTACGCCGGCTCCCTCGGCCAATAAAGCAAGATGAGCACCGCAACCCCAGAGTCGGTCACGACTGGACCTAATGGTCAGGGGTCCTTTTACCTTTTATTATGCTTTTATTATTACGCTGTATAAACTACATTCTTAATGTTGTACACCACCATGGGATCCTTGGATAAAGGGTGGTATATAAATTGAAATAAGGACAACAATGACAATGACAATGACAATAATAATATCATCTCCCTTCCTGGGTGCTCATTGCAAAGCAGAAAACATCCAAGGTGGGAGGTGCCTTTCACTTCATGCTGGACAGGATGAACAACCTCCAACATGTCTCTCCCAAATTATTGAGTACGTGCAGAAAGCTTGAGAAAGGGTCAGCTTTTTACTTTATGCCAGGCTCTGAGACACATGAAGCAGCAGGAGAAACTCTCTGCATCTCCAAATCCCAGCACGAACCGAGAGACGCCTCTCCTTTCTACATGCCAGTGAAGATATAGTGTCTATAGCAACAGTGAATGGTGGGCTACCAAAGCCGGTTAAAGTTTGTAGAAGCTGGGTGAGAGAAGTTCTAGTGCTTTGTGTCTTTAGTCACTAGGAAATTTATAAGCGTCACATAGTTTCCCAAACATGGGTCTCCAGCTGTTTTTGGACTACAACTCCCATCATCCCTAGCTAGCTGGACCAGTGGTCAGGGATGATGGCAGTTGTAGTCCAAAAACAGCTGGAGACCAAAGTTTGGGAAACCCTGGTGTAGAAGATAATCCTCCAGTTGCAACCTAAGAGCCCCCAGAAGGTGCAAAAAAAACCACCTCTGAGTTTAGTATGTACAGGCACACCTCGCTTAATTGAGCTTTGATTTCTTGCACTTCATGGATATTGCTCCTTACGAGGACGTGGGTGGAGCTGCAGGCAGCCTAGCTGCTTCCAGGGGAAGCAAGTCCCCCTCTGCTACCGCCCATCTTCTGACCACAGGATTGGAGCCGGCTGACGCTGGAGTCAGGTTCTTCCCCCTCCTGCCCCTGCAGCCAGGAGGTGCCTGGCTTAACAGACTACAGTATAGTGTAAACGTAACTTTTATATGCACCGAAAAAATGGTGCGACTTGCTTATTGCGATATTCGCTTTTATTGCAGTGGTCTAGAACAGAACCTGCAAATGATGTAAAGGTGGTATTTTACTCCTACTAAGCAGGCAAAAATGCATAGGAACAAGTACAAATACCTGCTGGAACTGTAAAGAAAAAGAAGGTTCCTTTTACCATATGTGGTGGACCTGTAAGATGGTAAAAGCTTTCTGGGAGATGATATATAATGGAATAAAAAAAAGTTTAAAATAACTTTTGTTAAAAAAAACCAGAAGCTTTTTTATTAGGAATTACAGGTACTGACATCCCAACGGACCAGAAAAGACGTTTTACGTATGGAACAACATCCGCTCAGATGCTACCAGCCCAGAGATGGAAAGAAGACAAAGTCGCTATCAGAGAAGAATGGCAAACCAAGCTGATGGACTATGTCGAAATGGCAAAGCTGACTGGAAAACTCAGGAACCAAGAGGATAAAAACTTTACAAAAGAATGGGAAAAATTTGTGAGTTATCAAAGAGACCACTGTAAGCAGATGGAAACACTGGCAGGATTTTGATTTCACTTGTAGTGTAACAATTGCCATGGACAATATGGATTAATATAAAAGTTAATATTTTGGAAAAAGATGCAGTTTTAAATGTTTAAAACGGGATGGGGGGTGGAGTCCTGAGATTCAGAGGAATCTCTGTATATGGTTATAAATTTGGATTTTTATAACTTTGTACAGTGGTACCTCAGTTTATGAACTTAATCCGTTCCGGAAGTCTGTTCTTAAACTGAAACCATTTTTAAACCGAGGCGCGCTTCCCCTAATGAGGCCTTCCACCGCAGGTGCCCTTCCACCGTTCGGCTTCCGTTCGTAGACTGAGGTAAAGTTTGCAAACAGGGACACTACTTCCGGTTTGGAGGAGTTCGTAAACCGAATCGTTCATAAGCAGGACTGTTCTTAAACTGAGGTACCATTGTATTGGGGAAAAAATAATTCTAAAATAAAATAGAACAAAACCTGCAAAATCTCCAAGGTCTGCCTGTATTCCATTCTTCATTCTCTCTACTGTAGCCCAGTGTTAGAGCATCTGTGCTAAATGCAGAAGGTCTTGGGTTCAACTCCCGGCATCTACAGGTAGTACTAGGAATGCTCTTGCACCATCTGAGACTCTGCAGAGCCACTGCTAGTAGCTGCCTTTTACTTGACTCAGTAAAAGGCAGCTTCCTATGTTCCTCTGAGCCTGGCTTCAGCTGGGGAGGGCGGGATATAAATAAAACATTATTATTACTATTATTACTATTATTATTATTCCTACCCATCCCCAAATCCAAAGAATCCAACAGCACCTAAATATAATTTGGGTTCCTTCCCCCTCTACAATTCTACGATTCTATGATTTCGATTTTTGGATTTGTGAGGGCGAGTACAAAGACAGGAAGAAGAAAAAAATATGTGTTAGTAGGATTTCCCCTTTTGGGGAGAATAATATGGCAGAATAATATAAGTGAACCTCAACTGAATCGAGAAAGTGACTCAGGGTGGGGTGGGGTGTTAACTATTCTTTTGATCTTCAACTTGCAATTGTTTGCTTAAAGCGATGGGAAGTATTTGCCGCTGGTCCTTTGCTGCGCTGTTAGTAAGTAATACTGAATTAAGGGAAGAAAAATGGCTAGACCCCTTTTCTAAATTTCAGAAACATTTTTTTGTGCAAAGTGTTCAATATTCAGAAGCATTTTCTGGGAGAACGGCATTGAGTAGATCTCTCTGGCAGCTGTTAGCCCTACATGGATGGAGTGCCAGATGAAAAACTGCAGCACTGCGGACTGGATATCACTACCGTAGCAGAATTCAGTATCAGAAAAAGTACACTGGAAGTAAAAGTACCGGGTGTTGACCTGGAAAACACACAGATCTGTAAAGAATCCCAAGTACTTGTAAGTATTGTATTAATTCCATACACACATAGCGTTGGATCCAGACTTAACTCATCCTTTAGAGCAGGCCTACTGAAATCAGTAGGATTTAAGTTAAATACGACTATCACTTGGTCAGCTTTTTATCACTGCATCTGAACTAAGAAATTTGTTTTTGGAGGTGCAAACAGCAACATTCACCACTTTATTTTCAAACTATAGATGTCTTTCACATTATTAGATCACAACTAACTAATCGCCATGATTTCAGTCCGTCTTCTGTAAGACTGGACCCAACCCATCAGCAGAACTGATGGATTGCTTAACCATGTCCACTCAGAAGTCCTTCTTATTTAATTCAATGGGGCTTACACCCAGGTGAGGGGGGTTGGGAATGGAGACTATGAATGAATAAAGGGCAACAAAATTATCTAGGTATATATATATAACCACGTGATAAACTATCAATCTATCACCAGCAGGACAATGCAAGGAAAACCTTGCCCCCTTTCTGCACTGGATCTGAAATCCAGGGAAGCCGTGATCCATATTCACCCTGTGATTTACAAAATTAAAATTATAACAAACACTTTTTTTAAACCCACAGCTTTATGCGAGTCCTGTATATGCACAAACAGAAAACTTGTACTTCAAATATTTAAGTACAAGGTAACAAGTACTTGCATGCATGCTTAAGTTTCTGAAACTCAGGGAGGGTGGGGAAAGTACTATTCACCCAGTGCTTTTCCAGCTGCATTGGCTCCCGGTGGAGTACAGGGTCAGATTTAAGGTGCTGGTTTTGACCTTTAAAGCCCTTCACGGCCCAGGACCCTCATACCTACGGGTATGCCCCACGGAGAACCTTAAGGTCCATATATAGCAACACCCTAGAGGACCCGGGCCCTAAGGAAGTTAGATTAGCCTCAACCAGAGCCAGGGCCTTCTCAACACTGGCTCCGGCCTGGTGGAACGCTCTGTCTCTTGAGACCAGGGCCCTGCGGGATCTGATTTCTTTCTGCAGGGCCTGTAAGACAGAGTTGTTCCACTTGGCCTTTGGCTTAGAATCAGTTTGATTCCCTTCTCCTCTTTCTTTTTCCTTTCTCCTCCTATGAAGAAATTGCACCCTAATGTTTTAATGTTGTATCTTAATCTTTTAAATTGTATTTTAATCAACTTGTTTTTATTATTGGTTGTTAGCCGCCCTCAGCCTGGTCTTGGCTGGGGAGGCCGGGGTATAAATAAAAATTTATTATTATTATTATTATTATTACTACTACTAACTGAGGGGACAGGACAACAACACACATTCATATACATTCCCCACTGAGTGTCATCCACTAGTGTGGACATTGAGAGACTTCAGTTGAAGCGGCTCTTGTGTGGACAAATGTTCACAAAAGCACAACAGAACACTCTGGCGTACACACAGTCTCAGAGAAGATGCAATATGATGTCATAGCCTAGCTGGCCCTTTCACATTTGCACATCATTGTGGTTAAACAGTGAAAATGCATGTGCGATCCAGACCAGAAATAATCAGGGATCAGCTCTGGAAAGTGTGAAGTAACAGAATTATGCCTCAGAGCATGTGCACTTTCATCTCATACTATCCATACCCTTTCTACTGAGTAGACAGATATTGTGAATTACGGATTGTAGGTAAAGGACCCCTGGACGGTTAAGTCCAGTCAAAGGCAACTATGGGGTTGCGGCGCTCATCTCGCTTTCAGGCCGAGGGAGCCAGCGTTTGTCCAGAGATAGCTTTTCGGGTCATGTGGCCAACATGACTAAACATTTCTGGCGCAACGGGACACCGTGACAGAAGCCGGAGCACACGGAAACGCAGTTTACCAATTACAGATTGTATCCTAAATGTTACCAGGAGACGGTCAGTCGGTAGCTGCTGGAGGAAGTAGGCCAGGCAATTACAAACGAATCCTATTTTCAAGTTTCAGACAGGTGAACCGTGAAATGCTCCAAAGACCTGCATGGGCACCTGTGCTTTTTTAACATATCCAGTAGTTACTAGAAATCCACCTCATTTCAAGTTAATTTAAGAAATCTGGCACCGTGCCAGTCTATGGGCCCTATTCTTCCATACCTGCAGTGCATGACTCTTCCTGTCCTTAGGCGAAATTCCCCCTGGTTTCTTGCCACCTCTCTCTCCACAGAGATGGGTCTCTTCTCTCCATTCTTCAGGCTCCCCTCCTTTTCGCTCGCTGCCTATATTTCCTGTAGCCACCCAGCCTCCTGGGCTCTCTTCCCAGTCAGCTTTCTATCTGGCTTTTAGAAGACATCTGAAGGTAGCCCTGTTTAGGGAAGTTTTTAATGTTTGATGTTTTATCATGTTTTTAATATTCTGTTGGGAGCTACCCTGACTGGCTGGGGAATTCCAGCCAGGTGAGCGGGGTATAAATGATAATAATTTAATTTTATTATTATTATTAGCCTCCGGCTGCCTGGCAAAGTGTCCTTCATGGGCTCCCTCAGACGTCCCTGGGTTGCCACGGCGACTGGCAGCAGGGGTGCTACTACCTGCAGCAGGTGGCTGCAAGCCACTCAGAAAGGTAATTACCCACAATGCCCTGTGAGAGCATTGCTCTAGAACATTCTGGGGGGCAAATGAATAATGGGGGTGCTTTCTGACTGTCCCCTACAGCTGCTCCACAGGCAGGTCTGGATCCTAGAGACAGGAAGGGCCCAGAACAGGTGTCAGTACCTGTGACTCCTGCTGGGGACCTGGCTGTAGACAATAATAATAATAATAATAATTTTACCCTGCCCATGTGGCAGGGTTGCCCCAGCCACTCAGGCCTTCCTCAGGGCCCCCCCGCCAATACTTCTAGTGTATCTTCTTTTCCATCACTAGGCCTGACGCCAAGTTCTTTCCAGTCAAACGGGCTTTGAATTCCCTCGCCACCAATGAGAGGAAGTCAAATTTGTCTGCTATAAGGAGCTGATAGGGAAAAGGTAAAGGACCCCTGGACTGTTAAGTCCAGTTAAAGGCGACTATGGGGTTGCGGCGCTCATCTTGCTTTCAGGCTGAGGGATCCAGCGTTTGCTCTCAGACAGCTTTTTCAGGTTATGTGGCCAGCTGGACTAAACCGCTTCTGGCACAACAGAACACTGTGACGGAAACCAGAGCACACGGAAACGCCATTTACCTTCTCACCACAGCAGTACCTATGTATCTACCCATGCTGGTATGCTTTCGAACTGCTAGGTTGAGAGGAGGGAGCCGACGCACTGCAGTGGAGCAATGATGTTTTGCACACCGATGGCGCCGCTATTTTCACAAAGCGTCTCAATGGGTTATGCAGATACGGCAAGACCTAAGTAAGTTTGAGGACTGAAGGCTAATTTCAGAGCGACGTGAGGCTTAAGTGAATTCACTCAAAAAAATAATTTAAAAAAACTGGAGTGGACAAGATTATATATGCATCATCCAGCAAGCTCTGGAGCTGACCTGGCTGCAACTATTGGTGACCGCTCTGCTTCCAGTTTCACTTTGTAAAGTTCAAAGGGATGGGATCTTCAGTCAGGACGCTGGAAAAATATGGAGTCTCCAAAACAGTGAGTGGCTACCTTAAAAAGGTGGGGGGACGGCAGACTAAGATACAGCAATAATCAACATATATGTATATTATTATGTATATGGGTGTACTTTGAAGAACACTAGGAAGAGGCCACATAGTTAAAGAGCAGCATCAAATATATTTTACCCTGCAATGAAGAAGGACTAGTGGCAGCATCTAACATGGCAGCAGTAATAGATCATATATTTTCTACTTTAAAGAAAGAGAAAAGAAATATTTCTTCCCATATCACTCATTATCAACTGGCTCTGGCCCTATGATTGGCAGGAGAGGCTGCTGCCCAGTTGGCGTTGATCTGTGACAGGGCCTTCTTGGTGGCAGTTCCCTGTTTGCACTGTTGACTTTCAGGAGGAATTTTAAAACATCTCTGTTCACTCAGATGGTTGATGGCTGAAAGACAGTGGCCATGGCAACCTTGAAATTAGCTTCTGTGAGGGTACACAATTGCTTTTAAATGCTTTCGTCGTTAGTTTTTATTTCTTTTAAATATATATATTTTAATTGCAAATCGCATTGTTTTAATATTATTTATGTTTGCTGTGTCCTGACCTCCTTCGGGAGGAAGGGCGGGATAGAAATTTAATAATTCTAAAATTTGTGTATTACTTGAACTCTCATGCCTACTACCTGGTTACTACAATGGCATGCATCTAAAACAGGCATGTCCAAAGTCTGTTGATTTAATCCAGCCCCCGTGGCAGTATATGTCCTGGGGTAAAATCCAAAAAAAAAGCTTAACAACTTTGGTCGGCCCTCATGCATCTTCACTTCATCAAATCTGGCCCTCTTTGAAAATAGTTTGGGCACCCCTGATCTAAAATGAAGCTTTTTATACTACCTAGGAACATGCAAAACACTTGGACACGCAGTCCACATGCCTTCTGTATTACAATATTGCCACAATGCACACATTATCCTACAGGACCGCAACTAGACAAAATGTGAAGTGCTTTGAACACTTGAACATGCTAGTGTGGTGTTGTGGTTAAGAGCGGTAGTCCCGTAATCTGGTGAACTGGGTTCGCGTCTCCGCTCCTCCACATGCAGCTGCTGGGTGACCTTGGGCTAGTCCCACTTCTTTGAAGTCTCTCAGCCCCACTCACCTCACAGAGTGTTTGTTGTGGGGGAGGAAGGGAAAGGAGAATGTGAGCCGCTTTGAGACTCCTTCGGGTAGTGATAAAGCGGGATATCAAATCCAAACTCTTCTTCTTCTATACAAAAGTTATCAATGATGTTGTACAGAGGCCATTTGGCTCTGCTTGTACAAGTAACATCAACAGTCGTAGTACTAATAATTTATTGACGTGTGTAGTGCTTTCAAGTGTTCAAAGCAGGTCACGTCCAATACGTAGCTGCAATCTTTACTGCAGCCCTGTAAAGCAAGTCAGTATTACTATCCACATGTCGCAGGTGGGGGGGCCAAGACTGACAAGTCTGTGGCTTGCCTAAGCCCACCAAATGAGTTCATGGGCAAGGAGATGTTCAGAGCAAGGACTTCCCAATTCATTGCTCAGCCTCTTAGCTGCATTGCTATACCAGCTCAAATGCAAGAACACTAAGCAAGATCACTTGCTGACATTTTAAATAAATAATAATAATTATAATAAATTTATTATTTGTACCTCGCCCATCTGGCTGGGTTTCCCCAGCCACTCTGGGCGGCTTCCAACAAAGATTAAAAATACATTAAAATGTCACACATTAAAAACGTCTCTGAACAGGGCTGCCTTCAGAGGTCTTCTAAATGTCAGGTAGTTGTTTATCTCTTTGACATCTGATGGGAGGGCGTTCCACAGGGTGGGTGCCACTACCGAGAAGGCCCTCTGCCTGGTTCCCTGTAGCTTTGCTTCTCGCAATGAGAGAACCGCCAGAATGCCCTCGGCGCTGGACCTCCGCGTCCGGGCAGAACGATGGGGCTGGAGACACTCCTTCTATACACGCTTATTGGGCAGTAAGTTTCATTAAACAAAGTGAGGCTTCCTTCCAAGTAAACATAGGAGAAGGGTATAAATATTCAGAACTTTCCAGATGCAAAGGCAGGTAGTTAACAAGGCAAAAGAGTTTCTCTCAGTGAGTAGAGAGAAAAGGTCTATGTTGAGAAGACGTCTGGAGAACGTAAGATGGGATAAGTGTATATTTCTTCTACAAATCATGAAAAAATGGCTTTGAACGTATGAAACAGACCAATAAGCCATCTGTTCTGGTGTGCAGCAGTTCAGCAAGGTCCTCTAGCTGGAGAGTGAACCCAGGACCTCATGCAACAGGCAGATGTCCTATATTTATTACTCAATAATATGTTTACCTTTGCCCAAAGCGCTCCAAGTGGCATAGAGGGTTCCCTCCCCTATTTTATCCTCACAACAACCATGTGATGCAGAGAAGGTTGAAAGAGAATGACTGGCCCCAGGTCACCAAGCGACCTTCGTGGCCAAGGGGAAATCTGTACCTGGCACATTCTCCACAGTCCTAGTCTCTAACCACTATGCCATGCTGCATCTACCACTGAAACCCCCATTTTATGGAGGAGGTAGCTTCAGCTATTAGGAGTAGTTCTAAGCAACAGACATTCATAAAGCTAAGACTATCCCTGTTCGTTTAAGGAGTATGTAATATAAACTGCTAAATGTCACGAGTGTATTTTTTTTTGCTTGAGTATTTTGCTAGCCTCCTTTCATCTGGCTCTAACCCCAATACAATATGATAATCTTTATTGCCACTGTCCCACACAGAACAACGAAGCTGAAAATCTACATCAGACATTCAGAAACCAATCCGCACTAATGTTTTTTGTCTAAATCAACACTGCTAGAGATCTTATTTTTCATGTAGCTGATTCCAGTACAGTGGTACCTCGGGTTAAGTACTTAATTTGTTCCAGAGGTCTGTTCTTAACCTGGAACTCTTCTTAACCTGAAGCACCACTTTAGCTAATGGGGCCTTCTGCTGCTGCCGCGCTGCCGAAGCCCAATTTCTGTTCTTATCCTGAAGCAAAGTTCTTAACCTGAAGCACTATTTCTGTTTTTTTTTATATAAGATATTTATTAAGATTTTTTCAAATATTACAATAACAAATAAAAAAATAAAAATAAAAATGATTAAAAACCACTCAGTTTTTCCATTGCTTATTTTTCCTTAGCTTGTTTCCCGGACCTCCTCATACCTCCCTTTTTTGTATTCCAGTTCAGTTTGTTGGTTCAGCAAATCCTTACCCTCTTTATTTGTCCTAATCTTTGGTCTTAAAATAGTAACGTTAGATTTTTACCTCTTAACAACCCATTTTTCATATTCCCTTAAAGCATTACAGCTGGAAACCACTTAATTTCTATCCAACATCGTTCTAACATTCATTAATTTTACAATATTTCTGTAGATAATCTTTAAACTTCTTCCAATCTTCTTCCACCGACTCTTCTCCCTGGTCTCGGATTCTGCCAGTCATTTCTGCCAGTTCCATATAGTCCATCAACTTCATCTGCCATTCTTCCAGAGTGGGTAGATCTTGTGTCTTCCAATACTTTGCAATGAGTATTCTTGCTGCTGTTGTAGCACTATTTCTGGGTTAGCTGAGTGTGTAACCTGAAGCGTATGTAACCCGAGGTACCACTGTACTACTTAATGGATAGCTATATTAGTGTTTTTAGCTGTATCTTAATTTGAAGTTGGCAGGGGGTGAGAAGTTTGCTCAGCGTTTCTAGAATATTTAGATATTTCCTTTATTTAAAAAATGGAAATGCTCTGGTAACAAAAGGCTTAAGTTTCCTGACCCTGTCTGATGTACCAGACAGGAGCACATTTTTCAGAACAAATCTGGCATGCACATGCAGAAGATGTCCGAGGGGACCCTAATCCCTTCTCTAATTGATTGCCCTTTCATTTTTGCAG